TGGATTTCCCGATCACAAGCATCTTCCCGAGGCAAGGGTGTTAACTGACTAGAAAAGTAACGTTTCCACCCCAGCCGAACTAGGCTAGAATTATGGAGTTATATTTTGGCTGGACTAACGAGTTTATGCATAGTCCAATCAAATTCGCGTGACGAAAACTGCCGTGCAGATTTCGATCGATTCCAGACAACTAAGCGTCAACAGATATTTTCCAAATCTTTTCATGTTGTTAATCAAGGTGCTCGCGTGATTTGTGTACTTCGCGAAGTTAGACCCGTTTTATTTCAACATAGATCTTGATTGTCGATCAGAATCTTCTTCACTGGGCGACGCCATTTTATTTGAAGCAAATGCAAGTGATATATGAGTTGGAATCTGATTGGTTAATATAGGAGGGACATAGAAGGGACACAAATCGCAACAGCTATTGGTGTCACTACGACTGAGTCTGGAAATTCCAGCCTAGTTCAGCCAGGGTGGAAACTGGACTTTTATGGTCAGTCAACGCCCTTGCCTCGGAAAGAGTGATCGGTTCGTGAGGCTCCGTGACTTGGGTGATTGCATGACGTCAAATTTCAGTTGCGTTCTTCGATGCTCGTTATGTCGACCACTGGATTGTCTGATCTAGAATCGATTATTTACAGACAGATGTCATACAGCTGGAATATTGCTGAGCGCAGCTGCGGCTTCAAAGAACAAAGGAGAAATATAGGTAGACAACCCCAAGAAGATGGACTGATAGTGTTTAATTAATTCATACTGTATGTAATAGTGGTTCTTCTACCTTCATCACCCGTAAAAGGCGACTATGCTTGTCGTAAGAGGCGACTAACCGTATCGCGGGTGGTCAGGCTCGCTGACTTGGTTGATACAAGTCATCGTGTCCTTTTTGCGTGGATCGATGCTCGTGATATCAATCACTGGATTGTCTGGTCCAGACTCGATTATCTGCATACCGCCGTTAATATATATAGCTGGAATATTGCATGATGAGTGCTGCGTTAAGCAACAAACAAACAAACCTACGTCACCACGTACAAACCAACTTCGGCATTATGAATTGGGAACTTTCCTTATGAAAGCCTTTAATATTTGTCCGAGGATGTAACTGTTTAGGTACACGAATAAAGTGTTATGATTGAATAACTATGATGAAATATAACTGTAGAAATAATGTTGGTCAATATATGCGTGAATGTTGATAAGCAACGCGTGTTTACATCTGAAAATGTTTGGATAAAGTTGAAATGGAGTGCTTATTTGGTTCATAATACATGTATGAGAATATTTTACGTTTGTGAGGAATACGTCCATGACGACATGTCTGTTTTTCATAACATTCCTTCTGTACAAGAAGGATATCCTGGCAGATATGGTGCCGTTTTGAAAGCCGCGCCGTTTTAGTCTGATTTCAAAAGGAATATGTTTTACATGCAGACACTTGCACATCTCGTTGCTTGCCATCTACCTAACGCCGTGAAGGTCCGGGTTAGAACAGGTCTTCTGCACCCATGCTTCTTGTAACTATGCATGTCCCTACAAAAAGAGGCGACTAACGGGACCGGGGTCAGGTTCGCTGACTTGTTTGATGCATGTCATCGGTTTGGATCGATGCTCATGGTACCAATAACTGGATTATCTGGTCCAGCTTTTAATTTTACCCTGTCTGGTCACAACCAGGGGTAATATTTTGTAGACTTTTAGACAAGCTTGTTGTAAGGACCTGTTTGATTACTTACAGGATGACGAAAGGTTATCTGTGTTTTTAATTTTGTAGTTGTACTGTCTTTATGTGACGTCATTTACCTTCAGTTTTCGATTTGGCATCAGTGTCTTCTTTATGTTAATTGTCTTCGTTTATATATTGCAGTCTAACTTTGACGCAGCTTGATTGTAAGGATTAAAAAATGTATTATATGTTACATTAGCATAAAAGAGAGGCAATATCTCTTCAATTCGGGTATATATCTATGTTGTATCCGAACATTTGACAAGTTGACACTTCCTCACAAAAAAAAGGTATGCATGTTATGTTTTCTTGACTTTTACATACAATTTTGTACTACTCATGTGTCAATAATTGTGTTGAAGTATTGCTAAAAAAAAATTCAACATTCAGAATACCAGATTTGTAAAATAAATGGCTTGATTATCAGGTATATGATCGTGGTTATGCAAGCAGGCAAGTATCCAACGTGTTTTGTAGTGTCCCTAGCCCTATGGCTATTTAAATACCTAACAACAGCTGACTGTTTGCGCTTTTATATATTTAACAGGTTGTCCCCAGCTAGAGTAGGGTTGTTTGAATTTCCCTGTACAGACTATTGTGGAATAGGAAAACAAATGTCCGTCGCCACTTTTATTTTATTTTATTGTTTTGAAAAAGAAGTACCTGCTACATAAAATGCGCTTCTGCACAGGGTAGCAGGAAACATATAGCACAACTTATTAGTACATCTTAATAACATACTTCTCACTCACACATTCACTCTAGTAATACAAACATACTGCATATAGCAAGTATGCATAAACTATTAAAGTTTATATATCATATTGCAGTGCAGGAAAGTGTACATGGTTCCAAACATTAAAGTCTTAAGTATAAAATTAAAAGCTGCTTTTCGAAAAGTTTATGATACAGCATCCAAGCTCCATAGAATTTCTGTTGATTACCTGTCTTGAAAGCAATAACATTTTCAATGTTGTATGGTGAAAAAGTTTCATTTTTGTTATAAACATGAAAATAAGGTTTTGTATTTTGGAATTACATCTATAGATATAGAATTTTGTAATAACTAAGAATAAATCGTACACTTTATCTGTTTTGATGTTCTCTTTGACTCCAAAAAGTATCAATTCTGCACAAAATGTCATATTATAAACATGAAAACACTGGTCTATCCACACTGACACTTCATCCCCAAAGTGAGTAATTGTTTCCTTTTCATTGTGACAGAAGGAGCACAGATCATTTTGAACATAATTAAGTATATACAGAAAAGTATTGGTGTTGAGAATTATGTGGGTAATTTTGTATTGAAACCATCGCTGTTTGACATCCTATATGTTGTACTGAATATTTTATGACAAATATTGTTCCAATTTAAGTTTTCAAATTGTAATTCCCACCATTTGGATTTACTTCTGTTGAAACCAATGAAAAACAAATATGCTTTGAACCTGATAATACACATAATTTTTATGACTCAGGGCTGGTCCTCCACATAATCCGTAGTAACTTCAACAATATTAAGAGTTTTAAGGTATTGTTTAATGCTGCTGACAACACCATAAAATTCTAAATAGGATGAACAAATACCATACATTTCATTCAATACCTAATATGATAAACACTCCTTATTTGCCTTGACCAAGTCTACAACTTGAGAGAAACCCTTCTCAAACCAGTATTTCAAGAAAAATTAGTTCCTATTAATTTGAATATTAGGGTTATGAAAAATTGGTAAAGTTAAAAAACTACTGAAAGATTCTGGCTTGATTTTCTTATCAAGCATTTTAAATGACTGAAAACAACCTTTCCAAAACTCATTACTTATCATAATTCACGAAGTTTACACAAATAAGGATATGTAGATTTAAACAAGGGCTTCCATTTTTTAGCACCTGAGGACACAAGTCCCCTTACCCATGACGCTTTAAGAGATGTTACCTATGAAAAAATATTCACCTGTAGTCCTAAATTCAGGGCAAGTGAGTCAGTCGCCCAGAAGTTAATCTTTATTGGTTTACAAATTTGTCATATACTATTATCTAGAAGTTTTGAAATGATGTGATAAAACTTGCTAGATATTGATACCAGGTATTTGCGGAAGAAAAACCTCTACTTTCAGTTTATTTACGATATTTTCAATCATGTTTCGTCTGTTTTCTCAGGCAGGAAAAAAGGAGGTTTACTTCGCAGTAGGTCATATTGTGTCAAGTCAAATAGAACACATACCTGCCCTCATTGTTTTGTCAAATAAACTGTTTACTTCAGGAATCTTTTTTTTATATTTCTTCAATGTTAAATAGTAGTTAGATGTTTGTGCTGAGTTTGAGACAAAACCGAAAGACAATTAAGGAAAAAAAGATCAGGCATAAAAGACCTGTAGACCTTAAATTTTCTTACACCACTAAGCACTTTAATTGCATTTGATTTCTCAACAATAGTGCAACAAAAATGTGACCCCTGACAGTGACAAGGCCGTTACAGACCGCCGCCATGGCTGAGTGCGGCGCAAACAACAAAGAAACATATCTAAAACGTCACTGAATCTTCTGGCGAAAACGGCCCCGCTTCATCTCTCATCCACAAATATCAGGCATATTTGTCATCAAAGTCTCATAGATTGTCACACTCCAATACCTTGATATAGTTACACGTGAATAATTGTGATTTAACAGCACCCTGTTGTGCATCTTAAATACAGTTTCAGCTTGACATTGTGATGTTTTCTCAAAATAGTTTAGTTGCGCCTTCCGATCAAAGTCTGCAGGTAAATTGGAGTAGAGGCAAATTTATAACGTAAACATAAAGTGGTTATTATTTCACAATTAATTGTCTTTGCAAGTGGAGATGTGAGCTGAATGTCTTGTGTGTTTTTTAAAACCAAGGTGAAAAAATTATGGTGCCGTGTTCGCTTCGCAATAGTTGCCGTTTTCGCTCGGTGACATTTGCTGAGGCGCCGAACCCTGTACTTGTTTGTGATTTTGAGAAAAGTTAAACACAAAACACTAAATTTGTCACTCGATTTGAAATCTTTGAACGGCAACGGTTCGAACATGATTATTATTAGTGAAAGGAATTTGGTGCGCGAGTGAAGGACGGGAGTGAGGAGTTACGTCCCCTCTTCCGATGATGACGTAACGGATTTCCGGCACATTTCGGTTAATTTGCTAAAATTATATGAGCATTATTTTTAATTTTCCGGGCAGTATTAAGATTTCAGACTAATGTAATGCGTAAAATATCATAATACATTTTGTGTCAGAGTATAAAAGCAAAAATGAACAAGTGTAAGACAACAATATGGCGGGGATTTGTTGCAGTCCCTAGCTAGATGGAATAAAGAAACGGTTGTCATTCGATCATGATCGAATGATTTCTAGGTTTATCCGTGTAACATGTTTTTACAAGAATATTTCTGTTAGTGTAACAAGGTATCACCATGTGTGATGTCTGCTCAGACGTGCTGGTGCTTCTTGAAAACCGTAAGTGAAAACAGCTTCGTCACAATATTTTCAACATGCGCGCCTTTCTCAGGGGTCAAAATCTGAATAATAATCGAAATGTGTCCCCCATGTCAACAAATTTATATTTGATATGTACCTACCGATTTTCGTGTTGGAGTGAAAACTGATTCAAAACTGTGCACTTACATAGTTGCGATGAGACGAATGTTCTCCCCAACCAATTTAAGAAATTTCAGCCGTCAATGTCTGGAACAGGGAAATGTGGTTGTCCAAAAATTGAAATAATCTTCTGTGTATTTGGGATGATAAGTGACTATTTTGAAAGAATTTTAATTGTCTATTGCTATTCGTCCTTTGTTTAGGTATATGTGCTCATCGCATGATAATGTGCTCAAACAATTCTGAGACATTACGACGACAGGCAGGAACGGCATAAATGTCACTTACAACCCACCAATAACAATACTCACAAAATCCAGTTTGTTTTAACATCATCATAATTATAACAATATCCTTGTTACAGTTTGTTATCCACTCTATCACCAGTATTTTTGTTTATTATTATTTCATATGGAAAAACCATGGTAAGCGATGTGTTGAAACATTTATGACTGCAAGCGTAATAATAGGAAAGTCATGGAACATGTATGCCCGCTAGTATTGCAACAAAAAACGTAAAGACATGAAATCATTGGCTTGCATCCAGTAATCCTAATAGATAGTTCATCGCGACAGTCTGACATCTTTTTTAAGATGCAGGCATTGTGTTACATGCCAGGTGTAAACAAAGAACAGATGTAATTTGTCTATTAATGATTGCTTGATATTGCTAGATCATAAACATTGATAAGCATGTTAACAGATTAATAACTTGTCTCAATGGCTGATTCTATGTTGAATTTATACACCTCCATCATCTTTTGTGTTGCTGTATTTTGTCAACTGAGCATGGTGAGTGAGTTAAGAGATTTCCAAGAATACGGATATTGCGTTTACAGGATATCATCGTCAATCATTTGAGTATTTTGGCATTGTTTACTAGTTTTTAGTCTTGGTACCATGTTTACCCTGCTGTAGGTAAAGAATCATATAACCACTGATAACTGTTGGATTGTTGGAGTATAATTGTTGTGCATGACTATGACTACTGAGATGTACATGTAACCTCAAAAGTGTGATAATGAACAAGGTTTTATGGACTGTTGTCACGACAATGTTTCTGAGCATCTTTGTTTGCGTTACAGAGTAACCATGTCTGTAAAATATCATTTAAGAACAACTCAAAAGCATATGATATTAAAAACTTGGTGTCAGTATTACTTAAACAAATGTAAGTTCCAGAAGCATTGTTGATGAAAATTCACCTCTTTTTTCATTTCAATATCTTAGCTGTCTTACCCTGTATTTTGTATGTTTTTAATTACAGTAAACTATGGTTATAATGAAATCTAAGGGACCACTAACTTTAGTTTGTTATAACCATAGTTTGTTATAAGCATATATACGGCAAATGGCTGGGACAAAATAACAGTTATATCCGTCAGTTTGTTATATAATAAAGTGTGTTCGTTATTAACATAGTTTGCTGTAGCTGTTATTATCAACAATAAATTGTAATGCTAATTACTGAAATATGTTAATGAGGGGCATATCACAAGCAGAAGTGTTTGATTTCCTTGAGGTTAAGACTTATTTACTGTTAAATAATGTTATATATATATATGTCTGTTGATTGCTGTAGATGATGAGCGTGTGCATCGTGGAGAAGGCCTACGGCTCAACAAGAGAGAGATCAATGCTGTACTACACTATGTTTGCACATGGCCACAGAGGTATACAATTTGAACATTTCTATTGAATTTGGTCAAAAGGGGAAGACACCATTGGCAATATCCAACTAGTTTGCAGCTTATTTTGGACTAGTAATGTAATATAACTAGATTTTTTGAGAAAACGATTGGTTCATCCAGATTTTCACTAGTCTCAGACTCACGGACTAGTGAGGTTGTCTCTCTGATTCCCACGTTTGTGATGAGTCCACAATTGGAATCGTGTGGTCACTATGGTGTTGAGGAAGAATGCAATACCAGTACTAGTTGGTGACAGCCACTCTTGTCTCTGAACCTGGTGGAGTGAGTGTCATAGTAGCCAGCGCCAGCATGGTTGGTTCATGATATAAAACACTTGTTTGTCTGGTCCAGGCTCATTTAATTATAGATTGCCGTGATAGATCTGTTACGTTGCTGACTGACAGTTTTCTTTGTCATGTTATGCCTTGCGGTATAGCACCATTAAGTATAATTTTATTTAATAGCTTTAACTTGTGGACCCTTCAGTGTTTGAAAATAAGCATGAAAATCAAGGTTTCCTTGTCACTACCCTTATGTTACAATGTACAGATTTAGGTGGTACCTAGAATTAAATATTGTAGCAGGAAACCTGAAGAAGTCTTTTGTGATGCATTTGAGATGCATCTTCCCGAGGCAAGGGAGTTAACTGATTATAGAAGTCCAGTTGCCACCTTTGCTGATTGTAGCACCAACAGTGGCTATTATGAGTTATGTCCCTTCTATACCCCTCCAATTGACCAATCAGATTCCACCTATCATATCACTTGCATTTGCTTCAAACAAAATGGCTGTGCCCAGTCAAGGCGATCTGGTCGATAATCAATATCTATTTTGTAATTAAGTGGGTCTTACCTCGCGAAGTGCATCATATCACGTGAACACCTTGATGGAAAACATGACAAGATTTGGCAAATGTCTGTCAATGCCCAGTTGACGGTACACATGATTTGCAAATCCTGCAATCGACTGGAATCTGCACGTGATTAAGAACCGGATGTCCAGTTCTTTATGTGATTTTGATTGGATTATCCATAGACTCCTTAGTCCAGCCAAAATATAACTAAGTAATATAACCAGTGGAAACTGGCCTTCTATAGTCAGTTAACTCGTTTGCCTCCGGAAGATGTTGAGATTACACCTGTGGGGATTCCAGGTTAGAATTGGATCTTAGCAACCTTTGCTGGTCTTAGAGGCGACTAAATGCATTGGGTGGTCAGATTCGGTTACTTTGTTAGTAACATGTCAACCTACCCGACAGCGTTGGTCGTTGCTCGCGTTGTTATCATTGGCCAACTTAATGTGTAGGTGGTTGTTTACTTATCTATTGCAATTGTGAATATTTGATTGTCAGGCAGTGCATGTGCTGCTACAAGGATTTCAAGAACTTTGAGCGACTGAACAACATCGTACAGGTTATTCTGGTAGTTGCGATCCGCTTCATCCAGACACTTCCTATCGACTATGAGAAGGAGACGACCAGGGAGATACTGCAGGTGAAGCGGGACACAGAGGATAAGGATGGAGCAAGTAAAGATGGAGACAAGAATGAAGAGAAGAATGAAAAGGAAGATCGAGAGATGGTCGAAGAGAAAGAAGAAGAGGAATATTGGAGTATGGAGGAGAAAGAGAGATTGTTACAGTTTGTTACCAAAGTCTTCCTGATGAACTTCCCCTCCTACATGGCTTACAAACATATTGTGCATTCGTCACTCGAGGTGAGATATGCTTTTAACTCCTGAGGGCAATATACAGCATTTGTGACAGCATTTCTGGTATATTCATCACTTTCGGTGAGCTATACCACAGTTTTGGCCAATTCTGTTTTGGTCTGCTAACGATGCTATCTAAGTCCTCCTTTTGGAATCTTGTAACTTAGTTAACAAGCCTATATTCTGTTACAAGACTTTGGTCTTGTGGTTAACCGTTAATGGCACAACTGAATCAGTTGATGGCAAATTTAGCAATTTTCTCATCCTTTTTTTCCCTGTGGAGATTCCTTGAACAGATAGACCCCAGTACCAGGTTTGTCTTATGATCTGACTACATTAAGGATCTGGTGACATTGCTGATGGTGTCATTGTTGTCATGTACCAATCAGGCTTCAAATCACTGTCCAGGCTATCACTTGTTGGCCTGGCCTGGACTTGATTATTTACAAGTTGCTGTGATATGGCTGGAATATTGCTGACTGTGGCATAAAACATCTCATTCATTTATGGTGTTTACTCACTCACTCACTCAGTCTTTGATCAATGCTCTTGCTTTTCTTGAGGAAAGACTTTTGCTCCCCATGCTTAATAGAGACAGGAAGGTATTGAACCACCTAGGGCAGATTAGCTCATACTGTTAGGCGAGGTTGAAGAATTTTGTTGTTGACAGTTTGACAAATCCAAAAACAATTCTTGGCCTCACGATGTAAGTTTTATTGTTTTTGAAGTTTTGACTCTGGACTATCCCCCTAAAACAGCAAACAAATCTGGAAATTTGTACCATAACCATGACAGATAAGGGTTAATGGACAGGGACTTACAAATGTTTTTCTTCTTCAAAATTATTAGTGAAAAAGACTTCAAAGATTAGCCTAATGATTTCCCCTCATGTACTTAAAAAATGTTTAATGATTTCTATCCAAGTAGAATTGGGGACATGGATGGCCCAGTAGTCTAAGGTGCTGCAATGCGTTTTGCAGAGTCGTGTCCCTTGGGCACACCAGAAACCTATGATCGTGGGTTCAAATCCAAGTTTGCTCTGGTTAGGTTTCTAGGTTTGTTAGCACCACATGATGCTAGTGGGTTTCGCTTGCATCAGTTGTGGCTTTAAGCTGAGACGATGTGATACAACTGGAATATTGTTCAAAGAGGCGTTAACTCCCAACTCACTCACATGCTTGAAATAATTTGTTGAAAAAGGTGACGCGAAGGACTTGTCCCAATGGTTTCCCCTCAAGTACTTTAGAAATGTTAAATTAAACAGTTTGTCTCAAAGAATATAAAAATGTACTGAATTTTGTATATATGTGTAAACATAAATCCATTATGTAATGATATTACTTTTGAACACTATACATTGATAAAGAATACCCTTCTATTGCATTGAGAACCCTTTATGTTTTGGCAGTGTGTTCAACACTGAGTATTGCTATCAGTTAGTGGTGTAGTTGTAAGGATAGGTAGTTTAAAGACCAGGAATTAGACATTAGTAATAGTAGTAGTAACGTGACTTTATAGGGGTATCATGATATGGTATCACAAGGTAAACAATCCTGTACACAATGTGCTTCGACACTTTTATATGTAGATTTTCATCAAGCATTCTGATCAAGAATGAGCAGAAATATTTGTACAATTTTTGAAAAAGTTCCAACGTATATTTTCATAGTTTTGCATCTGTACTGAGACACTGTGAAAATGTATAACCAACTTTAATTGAATGTCAGAAAAGAGGGTGTTTTTGTGCCTAAGTCCATGTCCAAAAACAACAAATGAGATTTGAACCTGTACAAAGACATTGTTTTGTTTGATTATCATGTGCCTGAATACCCCCAAACTTACTTGATTTTTGTGGCCATTTTGCCAAATATTGCAAACAATGGAATATGCGTTTTCACAGTGTCTTGGTAAGTGTTATTTTGTATTGCTGTGTGATACCATGTTATTGCATCCCTTTTACTATAGTGTTTTATACCAGGTATCTAGTTGATTATGCAATAGCGTTGGTCATTCATATGCTTATTGTGTCATGTCTGTGCGTCTGTCTTTTACAGGAATTATCACAGCAGGAAACCAGTGCACTCAACAACTACTGTGAAATTTCTGTAAGGACCCATCAAGGATTATAATATTTTTTTCTACAATATGTCAGAGTTTGCGTATATGGCATTTTATTTGAATTTACATAAGGAACTTCTTGTGAAATTATTTGCCTGTACACTTGGTCAGTACTTTGGTTCTTTATTGATCCCATTTTCTTGTATAGAGTACCAGGGTTAACTTATAAAATAGTGTTTTTGTCTCTTTGTAATGGTAGGGGTTATGAGAAAACTTCTGAATCAGACTTGAGCAGACGAAACATTACACAACTTTGCCTGATATGCAGATGAGGTTATTCTTATTTAAGACATGAGCTCAGCATAACCTGAGATTGGATTTCACATTCATTTGGACTGTTCAAGCATTTATAAAAAAATATTTATTTTATTAGTTTAGAAAGTGGATTCCAAACTAAGTGCCTTTGTCAGGCAAATTGGGAAGAATTGCTATTTTGTTAAAATTTGGGATTTGTTTAAAGTTGTTCTTTTCCTAAAAATCAGAGGTATTTTAACATTGGAGTGTAACATTCAATGCTATAATGTTAGTCTCAGCATTAAGGCCTGTTCCTCTATATTGGAGGTCTTGTCAGTGAAATACAAACCACTTTTACAAAACCCTAACATTAAGTATAACTATAACAGTATGACTTGGGAATGTTTAACTCCAACATGGAAAGTGTACTGACAGTTGGGGCAGAAATTGTTCTGGGCAGGTCTTCCTACATCCCTGCTGTTAAGAAATACATCATAGAGGGTGATACATCAGTACAAGCAAATCGGAAGCTGACTCAAACACAGGTTTCATTTACATAATCTAGGCACAGGTGTTGTCACTTACCAGATCTAGCTCTTGAAACAAAACTGTAGGTGTATCTTTCTCATGTACTGCAGTGACATCTGCCCCTTGTCTGAAGCAAGGTCAAGAAAAACATAATGAATGGTAATCAGAAAAAAACCTTAACCATTAAGATCTTGTGGATATTTGTGTGTTAGGAGATAGGAGACACAAATGTTTTAGGAATCATGTTTTGAGAAAACAAGTCCATTTGCCATTATGTACTATAGAAACTCCCCACCTGCTTAATATTGTGATTACCTTCTTTGCCAAATCACTGTCAGTGCCTGACGCAAACACTGATATAGTCAAATTAAATGTGTTTACATATAGACATCTATTTTTGTATATTCCTGTAGCTGTCATATGAAATCCCGTAAAACATGCTTTGTCCATTATCAAGTTGATCAGCCCAACTGGTCATGTTCATTGTTAGAGATGTCTTGTCACAGGCCCTTTTTATAGCCAACAGACAACTCATTTTCATTCATTTCCGATAGACAACATACATGTAGTTCTACTACTGTTAGCATGGTAAGGAATCATTAGACAAGAATTCTGGAGACTTGTCTTATCCTGATCTTGATGATTGATGAAATAAAACTTGACTAGCTTGGTTATCCTTAGTTCTCTAGCTTACAGTGGAGCCCTATGTTCTCTGTCTACTATGTGTACTTCAGTGTATGTCTGTTTATTTCAGGACCCAGAGGTGCCGCTGTATCTGCTGAGGAATGTGTGTTTCTTCTGCGACAGTAATGGCATCACGTCACTACGGCAGTGCTTTGAGAAAGCAACACCTGACACCCTTCCTTTCACCTTCGCCCATCTCCTTATTACTCTGATAGCTAATGTGAGTTTACAATATTTGGTAGTGGCGGTTTTCTTTTAGAGCCCGGGGCGGTCGGGTAGCCTAGTGGTTAAAGCGTTCGATCGCCATGCTGAAGATCCGGGTTAGAATCCCGACATGGGTACAATGTGTGAAGCCCATTGCTGGTGTCCCCAGCCGTGATATTGCTGGAATATTGCTAAAAGCGGCATAAAACCTCACTCACTCACTCGGAAGAGTTGACTGAAATGAAGATCACATGATCACAATAATCAGCATTAGAAATTGTCACTGGTCCTAATGTCCTTGCCAAACGGCCCAATAGTTAAGGCATCATGAAGATCAGTTGAAATTTGCCGTTATTAATGGTTTTACTATATGTTATCATTATAACGACCAATGGACTAAAACAGTTTCTATTGCTGATAATGTTCCATCATCAAGGTAAATAACAGGGTAAATATATATTTCTTAATTACTAAGTGATGTTTAGCTAAGAATTCAGTACATAAATATGCATGGTCGAACACAAAGGTGTCATGGTTTGAAAGGTTTTGAGTACTTCACTCTTGTTTTGAGAAGAAACTAAGATTGTATTGGTGTTGTTGCAATAAGAGCTCATTGTGGATGGCACATGTGTGGGTGACAGGCAGGGGTTGGTGACATCCTCAGGCTTGACCTTGCTGATTTCTTGTACCTGTCTGTGATCAATGCTCAGACTTCTGCCTGCTCCAAGTTAAGTAAACCTTGAAAGTCACAGCGATGGGTGTAAGTGAGTTTATGTCCTGGCTCTTTGACTGTCTGTCAATTGTAAAATATTTGCATTTTCAACATCTAAAGGCCTGTAGATAGGAACTTTTCATGGATTATCTCAGATGTCCTGAAAAGCGTTCACAGAATTCAGACCAGAACAGATTGTCGATATGGCTGCCAATGTCTTTTTTTCTCATTACTTGGCCATTGTTAGATCCTTGTGAAATTTGGGGGCGGTCCGGATCTTGCTATGGCCTTTGACCTCACAAATCCCCCTCATCCCGATTCAGTGTATGTACTACTGAAACCTCTGGGTCTATGAAGCTGAAATTGTGTATAGATGTGCCCATCAATGGGGTGAAGTTATTATTATGACCTTCACCTACATGTTGCCAATATTCATGAAAACATTTGTAAGCACTATGCATAGCCTAATGATATTGACTAATTTTAGAAGGTCAATGGTGTTTGTGATAGTATTAAACATACAGAGTTGTTTGAGAACTAGTCAGTGTGTTTTCTTTTGTAGTTGAGGTTATGGATGAACATCCCTACCGTGCTGCAGTGTATAATACCACTTAGAACTTCTGTGATCAGGTAGGTCTCCCATTGGCTACTCCAGCTGAACAATGGCGTCAGTGGTAAACAATTTGTTGACCTTGAAGACAGTACCAAAGCTCATGTAATTTGAAAGATTCAGAGGAAGTCTATATTCAAATGTTATTTTGGGTGATCGGGTAGCCAAGTGGGTAAAGCGTTCGCTTGTTACGCCGAAGAGATGGGTTTGATTCCTGACATGGGTACAACGTGTGAAGCCCATTCCTGATGTCCCCCGCTGTGATATTGCTGGAATATTGCTTAAAGCAGCGTAAAACCAGCGTAAAACCATACTCACTCGCATTCTTCCCTATTGTCAAACTCTGTTATTCATCCTTCCATTTCAGGTACATGTGCAACCTATCGGACAAAGACCTGCGAGTAGCTGGCAATCGGAGTATGACGGACCTCATGTGGGCTGCAGTGAAGGAACCACTTGACACACACTTCACCTTTGACAAGGAAGGTCTGGACCTTGCATTTAAGTACTTCACATGTTCAACACTGACAATCAGACTGGCCGGCATTGCCCAGATCAATGTAAGTAACACATCATAACCAGTTAGTGTGATTGAAGTCTTTATTGGCTTTTAGAAGTTGGATATAAGAGCAGCATGGTGGCAACCAGACAGATTGGTTGTCATGAATCCTGACTGTTTGGATCGCTGCTCGTGACATCAGTCAGTTCTTTGTCTGGCCCTGATTACATACAGGCTGCCATTATTCTGCTGTGATCTGGCTGATGTAAAAACATCTATTTGCTGACTTGTTTACCACCAATTCAAAATGTCTGCTTCACCTGAATCATCCTGAGTGATGTAGGTATACTCAACAAAAATATTTAGGGATCATGAATATTTGGGGGATATTTTTATGAAATTGCCTGCTCAGTCTTCACTACAAAATAATATCCCCCAAAATATTCATGATCTCTAACTTTTCTCGCTCAGTATATGTATTTGCATAGAATGCGGAAACGGCCTCCGTGGTCTAGTGGTAGAGCGTCTGCCTGGTGAGCGGAAGGTCCAGGGTTCGGTCCTCGGCCGCGTCCTACCAAAAGACTTTAAAAGATGGTACTTGTCGTTACACTGTCTGGCGCTCGGCATTAAGGGGCTAAAACAAGGACTGGTCGGCTCTGAGTCAGTATGCTGTGTCTGAGTGAGGTATTCATGTTAAACTGCGCATGGTATCTCAGTGAGCAGTATAAATCGGTATCAATCCGGACTAGTACACACACACACACACATATGTGCACGTCGCTATATAAGTGCAATAATCTTTGATGAAACGTTAAACCCAGTTTCAGCTCACCTCTAAGAATGTGGAGAACAGTGCCTGTTGTAAGTGTCCATGAAGCTTTCTATTTCGTTCCAGAACCAGATAAACCTTTACAATGAGAGCTGCAACAATGAGACCCTTGTAGATGCAGACAGGTAACATTTTACTTGATTTTTGTTAAAAAATACTTGTAATTCATAATTGTTTCACAAGATGAGAATTAAGTGTCCTGTTTGAACAAGAAATAAATTAGGAGGATAAATTGAGGTCATTAGGACTACCAATTCGCACTTGCCCAATGTAAACGATATCCAAAGGGCTCATCAAATTTGGATGGGATGTCCCTATCTGTTATCACTATTTGTGCAAGTTTAAGTTCTACTGCTGTACATAAAATCATGTAAAACAATATATTGAGTTCAATAATTGTTTTGCTGAGCTGCCCCCGTGAAGATCTGGGTAGAGAATAGGTCTTCAGCAACCCATACTTGCCATAAGAGGCGACTATGCTTATTGTAAGAGGCGACTAACGGGATCGTGTGGTCAGGCTTGCTGACTTGGTTCATGCATATCATCGTATCCTAATCGTGTAGATCGATGCTCATGTCAATCACTGGATTGTCTGGTCCAGACTTGATTGATTTTTACTGATCGCTGTCATATAGCTCGAATAATGCTGAGTGCTGCGTTAAACAAACAAATTTTGCCCTTTGTGTTCAACACAAATGGGGGCAGTCGGGGAGCCTAGTGGTTAAAGCGTTCGCTCGTCATGGCGAAGACCCGGGTTCGATTTCCGACATGGGTACAATGTGTGAAGCCCATTTCTGGTGTCCCCCACCGTGATATTGCTGGAATATTGCTAAAAGCAGCGTATAACCGTACTCACTCACTCACTCAACACAAATGATTTAAGGTGTTTTTGTTTTGCATGTTCATATTATTCACATTGTTATTTTTCTTCAGAGTCGGGAATGAAGTGGCACAGTGGCTGATTGACAACAAGATAATAGAGCATATATTTGGGCCAAATCTTCATGTGGAAGTAAGCAGAAAAAGCATTGGGAATAAATGTTACAAATAAATGATGCAAAGTTTCTTGGAGAAACAATCATCTCCCATCATTGCTACTTAATGAAAGCAAGAAATAAAAGAAAGTCACATTATGCCTGTTACTGCAATGGTAGTTGGTGTTCATATATTTGTCACTTGGAGAACAGTGACAGTTAGATATCATCTAAGTGTTGCTGAAGATTGTTGGCTGTTGGTAAGATGTAAAATCTGTTCACTAACATGCAGCGATTTGCAAAATCAACAGTTGTTTGCTTGTGTTGTCAGTTGTTTACTGTTACTGCCCATTGTTTACTGTTGTTGTCTGTTGTAGATCATCAAGCAGAGTCAGATAATCCTGAACTTCCTGGCGATGGAGTGGAGAATAACCAACGAGCACATAGACTGTGTGTGGGCTGCTAGTCAGGTTAGTTTTACACAGACTTTGTGTGGGCTGCTGGTCAGGTTAGTTTACATAGACTGTGTGTGGGCTGCTAGTCAGGTTAGTTTACATAGACTGTGTGTGGGCTGCTAGTCAGGTTAGTTTACATAGACTGTGTGTGGGCTGCTAGTCAGGTTAGTTTACATAGACTGTGTGTGGGCTGCTAGTCAGGTTAGTTTACACAGACTGTGTGGGCTGCTGGTCAGGTTAGTTAACATAGACTGTGTGTGGGCTGCTAGTCAGGTTAGTTTACATAGACTGTGTGTGGGCTGCTAGTCAAGTTAGTTTACATAGATTATGTGGGCTGCTGGTCAGGTTAGTTAACATAGACTGTGTGTGGGCTGCTAGTCAGGTTAGTTTACATAGACTGTGTGTGGGCTGCTGGTCAGGTTAGTTTACATAGATTATGTGGGCTGCTGGTCAGGTTAGTTAACATAGACTGTGTGTGGGCTGCTAGTCAGGTTAGTTTACATAGACTGTGTGTGGGCTGCTAGTCAGGTTAGTATACATAGTCTGTGTGTGGGCTGCTAGTCAGGTTAGTTTACATAGACTGTGTGGGCTGCTAGTCAGGTTAGTTTACATAGACTGTGTGGGCTGCTAGTCAGGTTAGTTTACATAGATTATGTGGGCTGCTGGTCAGGTTAGTTAACATAGACTGTGTGTGGGCTGCTGGTCAGGTTAGTTTACATAGACTGTGTGTGGGCTGCTAGTCAGGTTAGTTTACATAGACTGTGTGTGGGCTGCTGGTCAGGTTAGTTTACATAGATTGTGTGGGCTGCTAGTCAGGTTAGTTTACATAAACTGTGTGTGGGCTGCTAGTCAGGTTAGTTTACATAGACTGTGTGTGGGCTGCTGGTCAGGTTAGTTTACATAGATTGTGTGGGCTGCTGGTCAGGTTAGTTTACATAGACTGTGTGTGGGCTGCTAGTCAGGTTAGTTTACATAGATTATGTGGGCTGCTGGTCAGGTTAGTTAACATAGACTGTGTGTGGGCTGCTGGTCAGGTTAGTTTACATAGACTGTGTGTGGGCTGCTAGTCAGGTTAGTTTACATAGACTGTGTGTGGGCTGCTGGTCAGGTTAGTTTACATAGATTGTGTGGGCTGCTGGTCAGGTTAGTTTACATAGACTGTGTGTGGGCTGCTAGTCAGGTTAGTTTATATAGACTTAGTGTGGGCTGCTAGTCAGGTTAGTTTACATAGATTGTGTGGGCTGCTAGTCAGGTTAGTTTACATAGATTGTGTGGGCTGCTGGTCAGGTTAGTTAACATAGACTGTGTGTGGGCTGCTAGTCAGGTTAGTATACATAGACTGTGTGTGGGCTGCTGGTCAGGTTAGTTTACATAGATTGTGTGGGCTGCTAGTCAGGTTAGTTTACATGGACTTTGTGTGGGCTGCTAGTCAGGTTAGTATACATAGACTGTGTGTGGGCTGCTAGTCAGGTTAGTATACATAGTCTGTGTGTGGGCTGCTAGTCAGGTTAGTTTACATAGACTGTGTGTGGGCTGCTTGTTATGTAAGTTTACAAAGACTATAGGCTGCTAGTCTACAGAGACTGTGTGTGGGCTGCTGGTCAGGTTAGTTTACATAGACTGTGTGGGCTGCTTATGTAAGTTTACATAGACTATAGGCTGCTAGTCTACATAGACTGTGTGTGGGCTGTAAATCAGGATAGTTTACATAAACTGTGTGTAGGCTACTAGTCAACATAGATTGTGTGGGGGCTGCTACATGGTGCGAGTCAGGTTAGATTAAAAAGACCTAAAAGTCCAGTTTCCACCCTTGCGGAACTAGGCTGGAATTCCTGGGCTCGATCGTAGTGCCACCAGTGGCTGTTAGGAGTTATGTCCATTCTATGTCTCGCCTATGAACCAATCAGATTCCACCTCTCGTATTACTTATATTTACTTCAAACAAAATGGCGGCGCCCAGTCAAGACGATCTGATCTATAATCAAGATCTATATTGTGATAAAACGGTTCTTACTTCGCGAAGTGCATCAAATCTCGTGAGCACCTTGATTAAAAACATGGAAAAATCTGTTGACAACGAGTTGTGGGTGCACATGCTTTGCAAATCCTGCAATCAACCGAACTCTGCATGACAGTATATGAACTGGATTTTGATTTCATTACGCGATTTTGATTGGACTATGCCGAGACGCATTAGTCCAGCACAAATGTAACTCCATAATACCAGCGTATTTCGGCAAGGGTGGAAACTGGACTTTTATAGTGAGTTAACTCTCTTGCCTCGGGAAGATGAGATTACACAGATTGTGTGGGTCCCTAGATTGATTATTCTAATGTCCCAGTAGGACTCGTCAATAGTTATCCTGCTAGTTCAGACTTATCATAATTTCTTGATAAAAAATATAACAAAAATTTTGCAGCGTTATTTCAGGATAATTTTCTTAAAATCTTCTTTCAATACAAGTTATTTTAGGTTAAAGTTTTCTTGAATGCCATTTTGAAATGTAAATGTCCCAGGGACAAGACTACACCCAAGCCCATAAATTGGCACCAGCCTCTGTTCATTCATCTAATATGTGTGTACTTGTTGTTGCAGCTGAAGCATTGCAGTAAACAGGTGTATGACATCCTCATCTCTTTAATCAAAAACCTGGATCTGCCTCCTGTACAACATCTGCTGAAACTGGTGTCTGCACTTGAACCAACGGTGCTCACGGAATCTGTAAGTTGAGGTTAATTTTAATATTGGCAGAATGCATTGATAGTTGTAATTGATAATGTTTTTGTGATATTTTCTGCCTCCCAGATCTGCAAAGCTAGATTTGACCCTAATCATTCTTGTTTTGTCTGCACCATAATTGTGATTGTTGGTTTTGAGGTTTGCTGCTATCGTATTTAAATCTTGTGGATTTCAACTTTAAAATTCATGCCTTATTTCGAACACTGCTCAAGAAGTACAAATTCTTTGTACCAGCTTGAATGACAACTGCATCCTTCTGTTCTGCAGACTCTTTACCTGGCATCTGCATTGATCAAGTACATCTGGAACCAGTGTGCGACTGCACAACACCACGGTGCAATGGTGCAGCAACATCTACAACCACACCTCCAGACATCCTACACAGCTATCAGGCAGGACGAAGAAGAGATGGAGATCGGTGAGAACATCACACAATGGTTTTTATCATTATCCCTGTGGGGACACTGGGGCTGAATAGGTCCCCTGTTTAATGCCTGTTGCAGTATCTTACTCAGGCTTAAAAAGATAAAAGAATTGGTTCTCAGGCAATGGTTTTTGAAAATATAGTGCGGGCGGGCGGTGTCTTTTTTGGGGGGAGGGGGAGGGGGAGGGGGAGGGGTTGTTCAAACTAGTATGTAACCAATAAACAAATGTGTACAATCAACCTGGGAAAGGGCCTCCCTACATAAATGCATTCCTTGATTAGTAAAATACTGGAATACAGTATTTGACTACCGTTGGACTGAATATTTAAGGACTTTTTGTTGTTTTTTATAAAATGGAAATGAAAACAAAACGTGCGGTGAACTTTATGATGATGCGGGTGGTGCCTGAGAACCAAGACTTATTTTTTTTTAGCCTAATATGGAATCTGGTCATCAAGATGTGGTGTGTCCTCATACCTTGAAGCTACGAGTGTGAATCACTGTTTGTCCGGCATTCATGTTTTACAAGTCACAGTGATGAAGCTGTAACATAGCTGACTGTGGCAGAAGATAGTCATTCACTCATTGATTAGGGACTGCAGCAGTGCATGCCTTTGTCATGTATTACAGGAGCCCCTGTGAAGATCTAGGTTAGAATTGGCCATACTTGTCGAAGGAGGCGACTAACGAGATCGACTTGCTGCCTGAGTTGATGCATGTCATTGTATACCAATAGCGTGGATAGATGCTCATGATGTCAATCACTAGATTATCTACAAACTGTTGTCATATAGCTGGAATATTGCTGTGTGAGGTGTCAAACAAGAACAGACATTACAGTAGTAACATGTGCTTCTGATAGAAACCATTTCACAGTCGCAGACTATTTCATGTTCTTCCTTACATTCGGGGGCACGGGTGGCCCAGTCGTCTAAGGCGCCGCGATTCGCTGTGCAGGGTTGCGTCCCGTGGGCACGCCAGAAACCTATGATTGTGGGTTCGAATCCCGGTTCGCCCCGATTATGTTTCTAGGTTTGTCAGCACCATACCCGTGCTCGTGGGTTTCACCGAAGTGGTAAACGTCTAAGACCTGCATCACTTCGGGCTTTCCTCCCACTTTAAGCTGACACGCCGTGATATAACTGGAATACTGTTAAAAGGGGCGTTAAACCCAACTCACTCACTCACTCACTCTTCCTTACATTCCTACTTCCCAGTCATTCTGAACAGGGGTAGAATTGGTCTTCAGCAACCCATGCTTGCCGTAAAAGGTGACTAACGGGATCGGGTGGTCAGGCTCGCTGACTTGGTTGATGCATGTCATCGATCCCAATTGCATGGATCGATGCTCATGATGTCAATCACTGGATTGTCTGGTCCTGACTTGATTATTTACAGACCGCCGTCATATAGCTCGAATATTGCTGAGTGTGGCGTTAAACAACGAACCAACTGAACAGGTGATAACATAGGAAGGGTGTTCAGCCTGTTTGGTTGAAGACAGTTATTAATGTAAATGCAACAGTCCTATTCATGGTGTCTGAAGCTATAATATGGTTGCAACATTGCAGTAGTTGCACAAAACCTTTATGATCTGTCATGTTAGGATCTGTGTTGAGCTATAGGTGCTGTGTGTATGGAAATCTCATTAGTGAGATGACGATGAAAACTCTGTGTGAAGTGTGTTGAGTGTCGTTTTGTGTTGCAGCTGGCCTGGGGAAGCCAAGCAAACACAACATCAGCAGCAGCGAGAGCATCCAGGAGTCTGAGGAGGGGGAGCACCTGCATAGGGTCAGTAGCTGACGGCACCTTCATTATTACTGTTTTTAGCTTTGTTTTTTAATTCAATAATTAACAAATAAAGGCAACCTAACATTGATAGGGTTAAAATAATCTGTTCATAAACATGCATCTTCTTTACAGCTCTTATAAAGCTGCAATTAAAAGAAAGACAAACCTGAAAGTAAGGCTTTTAATGTAGATTGTTAGCTTTCTGGAACACTGGTGGCCCATGTTCGTCAGACGCAGATTTAGAGCGTCTATCACTTTCTCTCAAGTTTTTGTTGTTGAAAAGTTACTTGAAATGTGTTTATCTGCTGCAGGTGAAGCGAGGCCACTTGGGTGCTGAGGAGGGTCTAAGAGGGGCTGTCCGGGACCACTGTTGCCAGCACCACCATCACCACAAGGTTGTAGATGAGTCCGAGAGTAGTCTTGGGGTAGGATCGGACTTCAGCAATGAGAGCGAGGAAAGTGGATTAGAGGGAGAGGCTCAGGCCGAGCAGCTTCGCAAGATGAAGATGAGACAGAAGAAGATGGCTCGTCATGCCGGGGAGGCGAGTGAGAGTGATGTGGAATGTACAGAGTCCAGTGATGATACTGGGGAAGTGAAGGAAGGCGGGAAGGGATTCATAGGGCATCGAAAAGTCAAGGGCATTAAGGGGATGAAGAAACTGGGCAGAAAGATGGAGAAGGTTGAAGAGTCGGAAGGGGAGAGTTCAGAAGTTGATGAATGTTGTGGTCATAGTCACGATGAGGAGGAGTCTGACTACTTAAACTCAGATGAAGAGTTGTTGAAGCAGGCGAAGCTTGTGCGGTTGAAACAGCTTTGTCCTCGTGAGAGTGAAGATAGCTCAGACTTTGATGATATTGAAGAGGAGACTAAAGTGTTCCGTAAGATGAAACTGTTTCAGGCTCAACAGGAAATTCAGAAGCAGAAGAAGCAACTTGCTGAACACCGCCAACACCAGCTGCTACAGCAGGCGGCGCACATGATGCTGCGGCGGCAGGGGAAGCTGTGTCACCATGATCATGCCAACATCCAGAAGGTCAGCGAGGTCATGCAGGACGTCATGCAAGACGCTCATGACGATGCTGGAAAGGATCAAAATGCCAGTGGAGATATTCCAGACAAGGTCAAGTTAGCAGACATTGCAGCACAGGTAACGATACCTGGCGATTGATTTTGGTTGGGATTTTAACACTCATTATTGGACAAATCAGTTCATTCCACAAATCAGTCTTCAATTATGATCAATTTTCTCTCTTTGGCTGCATTTTAAAAAAAAAAAATTTGTGAAAGGTTTAGTTTTGAAAATTTTGAAGCTTATTCCCAACTGAAAATATTCTTTTTGACTGCATCTGTTTTCTGTTTAAAAGGCTGAAAGTACTCTGCCTCTAATGTAGTTACTGGTGTTTCAGGAAGGGGGGTCTTCCAGTGCCGCTGATCCCCATCTGCAGCAGGGGATGTCGGGGAAGGGACAGGACACTGAAGTGTTTGACTGTACCTCCATCATACAGAAGATGAGAGCTGCACAGAGACAAAGGGCATTACAGGGGTAGGCTCATAGACGTCTCTTAAACATTGTCAAATTCAGTCTCATTAAAATCAGGTCATTTAGGGTCATGTCAGAATGACCTTTCCCGAGTTTGACCGACCAATGATATGACTAACAAGAAGTAGACGTTAGCCAATCAGAAGGCAGCTTCCCTGAGCTTTATGGTCCTTGTTTCAAACGAGCGACATCCATTCCCTACATGGAGTGTTAAAATGTCATGATTGTTTCCTTCCAGGGAGTTCACTGAGGATATACTGAGTCCGGATGATGGCAGTTGTCACAGTTCCCACATGAGTGCCAAGTCAGACAAAAACATGGCTGACTTTGATGGGGAGGAGGGGCTGAGTGAGGAGGAGCTGGCCCAGATCAACGCCCACGCCCACTTCAATGCCAGTCAGATGCAGCACCTGACTAACATGGCATCCATGTACCACCTTCCACCATGTGAGTCTATATCTGTACCACCTTCCACCATGTGAGTGTACCTGTACCACCTTCCACCATGTGAGTCTATATATGTACCACCTTCCACCATGTGAGTCTATATCTGTACCACCTTCAACCATGTGAGTCTATATCTGTACCACCTTCCACCATGTGAGTGTACCTGTACCACCTTCCACCATGTGAGTATATCTGTACCACCTTCCACCATGTGAGTCTATATCTGTACCACCTTCCACCATGTGAGTCTATATCTGTACCACCTTCCACCATGAGTCTATATCTGTACCATCTTCCACCATGAGTCTATATCTGTACCATCTTCCACCATGTGAGTCTATATATGTACCACCTTCAACCATGTGAGTATATCTGTACCACCTTCCACCATGTGAGTCTATATCTGTACCACCTTCCACCATGTGAGTCTATATCTGTACCACCTTCCACCATGTGAGTCTATATCTGTACCACCTCCCACCATGTGAGTCTATATCTGTACCACCTCCCACCATGTGAGTCTATACATGTACCACCTCCCACCATGTGAGTCTATATCTGTACCACCTTCCACCATGTGAGTCTATCTGTACCATCTTCCACCATGTGAGTCTATATCTGTACCACCTTCCACCATGTGTCTATACCTGTACCATCTTCCACCATGTGAGTCTCTATCTGTACCACCTTCCACCATGTGAGTCTCTACATGTACCACCTTCCACCATGTGAGTCTCTACATGTACCACCTTCCACCATGTGAGTCTATATCTGTACCACCTCCCACCATGTGAGTCTATACATGTACCACCTCCCACCATGAGTCTATATCTGTACCATCTTCCACCTTGTGAGTATATCTGTACCACCTTCCACCATGTGAGTCTATATCCGTACCACCTTCCGCCATGTGAGTCTCTACATGTACCACCTTCCACCATGTGAGTCTATACATGTACCACCTCCCACCATGTGAGTCTATATCTGTACCGCCTTCCACCATGTGAGTATATCTGTACCACCTTCCACCATGTGAGTCTATATCTGTACCACCTTCCACCATGTGAGTCTATCTGTACCACCTCCCACCATGTGAGTCTATATCTGTACCACCTTCCACCATGTGTCTATACCTGTACCATCTTCCACCATGTGAGTCTCTATCTGTACCACCTTCCACCATGTGAGTCTCTACATGTACCACCTTCCACCATGTGAGTCTCTACATGTACCACCTTCCACCATGTGAGTCTATATCTGTACCACCTCCCACCATGTGAGTCTATACATGTACCACCTCCCACCATGAGTCTATATCTGTACCATCTTCCACCTTGTGAGTATATCTGTACCACCTTCCACCATGTGAGTCTATATCCGTACCACCTTCCGCCATGTGAGTCTCTACATGTACCACCTTCCACCATGTGAGTCTATACATGTACCACCTCCCACCATGTGAGTCTATATCTGTACCGCCTTCCACCATGTGAGTATATCTGTACCACCTTCCACCATGTGAGTCTATATCTGTACCACCTCCCACCATGAGTCTATATCTGTACCATCTTCCACCATGTGAGTCTATACATGTACCACCTCCCACCATGTGAGTCTATATCTGTACCACCTTCCACCATGTGAGTCTATCTGTACCACCTCCCACCATGTGAGTATATATCTGTACCACCTTCCACCATGTGAGTGTACCTGTACCACCTTCCACCATGTGAGTCCATATCTGTACCACCTTCCACCATGTGAGTCTCTATCTGTACCACCTTCCACCATGTGAGTCTATATCTGTACCACCTCCCACCATGTGAGTCTATATCTGTACCACCTTCCACCATGTGAGTCTATATCTGTACCACCTTCCACCATGTGAGTCTATACCTGTACCACCTTCCACCATGTGAGTCTATATCTGTACCACCTTCCACCATGTGAGTCTCTAACTGTACCACCTTCCACCATGTGAGCCTCTAGCTGTACCACCTTCCACCATGTGAGTCTATACCTGTACCACCTTCCACCATGAGCCTCTAGCTGTACCACCTTCCACCATGTGAGTCTCTACCTGTACCACCTTCCACCATGTGAGTCTATATCTGTACCACCTTCCACCATGTGAGTCTCTACCTGTACCACCTTCCACCATGTGAGCCTCTAGCTGTACCACCTTCCACCATGTGAGTCTATATCTGTACCACCTTCCACCATGTGAGTCTCTACCTGTACCACCTTCCACCATGTGAGCCTCTAGCTGTACCACCTTCCACCATGTGATTCTATATCTGTACCATCTTCCGCCATGTGAGTCTCTACATGTACCACCTTCCACCATGTGAGTCTATACATGTACCACCTTCCACATGTGAGTCTATATCTGTACCGCCTTCCACCATGTGAGTATATCTGTACCACCTTCCACCATGTGAGTCTATATCTGTACCACCTCCCACCATGAGTCTATATCTGTACCATCTTCCACCATGTGAGTCTATACATGTACCACCTCCCACCATGTGAGTCTCTATCTGTACCACCTTCCACTATGTGAGTCTATCTGTACCACCTTCCACCATGTGAGTGTACCTGTACCACCTTCCACCATGTGAGTCCATATCTGTACCACCTTCCACCATGTGAGTCTATATCTGTACCACCTTCCACCATGTGAGTCTATATCTGTACCACCTCCCACCATGTGAGTCTCTATCTGTACCACCTTCCACCATGTGAGTCTATACCTGTACCACCTTCCACCATGTGAGTCTCTATCTGTACCACCTTCCACCATGTGAGTCTCTACCTGTACCACCTTCCACCATGTGAGCCTCTAGCTGTACCACCTTCCACCATGTGAGTCTATATCTGTACCACCTTCCACCATGTGAGTCTATATCTGTACTGCCTTCCACCATGTGAGTCTATATCTGTACCACCTTCCACCATGTGAGTCTATATCTGTACCACCTTCCACCATGTGAGTCTATACCTGTACCACCTTCCACCATGTGAGTCTCTACCTGTACCACCTTCCACCATGTGAGTCTATATCTGTACCACCTTCCACCATGTGAGTCTCTACGTGTACCACCTTCCACCATGTGAGCCTCTAGCTGTACCACCTTCCACCATGTGAGTCTATATCTGTACCACCTTCCACCATGTGAGTCTATACCTGTACCACCTTCCACCATGTGAGTCTCTACCTGTACCACCTTCCACCATGTGAGCCTCTAGCTGTACCACCTTCCACCATGTGAGTCTCTACCTGTACCACCTTCCACCATGAGCCTCTAGCTGTACCACCTTCCACCATGTGAGTCTATATCTGTACCACCTTCCACCATGTGAGTCTATACCTGTACCACCTTCCACCATGTGAGTCTCTACCTGTACCACCTTCCACCATGTGAGCCTCTAGCTGTACCACCTTCCACCATGTGAGCCTCTAGCTGTACCACCTTCCACCATGTGAGTCTCTACCTGTACCACCTTCCACGTGTTCCATGATTGCAGTGTGACACCTGCCTGTTTGGGTGTCATCATTCTCTGGCGGTAGGAATAGTTAGTTGTTCATGCTACAAAGCCCTGGTTTCCCTCAGACAAACACTCACACCCTGTATATTGTCCTTCAGCTGTGATCCACCACCGACCCACCCAGCGAGAGGCCGGCCTGCAGAGCTGCCCAGAGTTCACCATTGATGATGTTTGCAAGAAGGGGACGACACTACTGTGGGATATTGTACAGGAAGATGTGGCAGTAAGTCCCACTGGTCCATGAGTCTTACCCATTCACAGAGTTATCTTTCAGACAAGTATACAGAAGCTTTTGTTATACTGATCATGATATTTTACTGAGACTCTTTGAAAACACATGTCCTGGTATTTAATATTTAGCATAATAGCCAAATATATTGAAATAAAGTTGTTCTGAGTATTTAGGCATCAGATAATAAAGTACAACAATGTCTTTGTATCGGTTCAAATCTCATTTGCTGTTTGGAGATGGACTTGAGCACAAAAACACATCTTTTCTGATTTCGAGTTTAAGTTGGTTATGCATGTCATAGTGTTTCAGTATATGTATAAAATGGTATGAGTATGAGTATGTAGTATGTGCTTCAGATAAACTGTTTTGAAGGTATTGATTTACATATTTTTTATTTGTTTTATCCCACAGTTGTTATGATCCATGTTCTATTTCCTGCAGCACCTGTTGCCCGACGGCCTCCTGCTGGGAGCAGAGAAGGCCCTGCACAACCTGGTGTGTTTCTCCACTGACAAGAGGATCAAGACTAAGTTTATAGAGGCCTGCATAGATAACCTGGCCTCGCACAGGTACGCCGCATTTCGAAATGTTACACCATGATAACTGTATCTCTCTGGCCTTTTGTATTCGTGTTGAATCAGAAGCTTATACCGGACTGCTCTTATTCAGGGTTGGCAGTTTTTTGGTATCATGTGCTCTCTGAAATGGTATGGTCTAAACACAACAAAACACCTGTGTGGATTATGGGTTAGAATTGGTCTTGTGGATTGTTACTCCCAGTATCAAGACTCGATTATTTATAGGCTGCTGTCATATAGTTGGACTATTGGAGTGTGATGTTAAGCAACCAACACACACTTTGTACAAGAACCTCTTAAGAATTTTTTTGTCTACCACATTACGCTTGGTAAGATGATGACCTATGTATTCAGTGATCTCTAAATCTCATGTTACGTCTTCTTGTAAATTGTGAGTCCTCATACCCGTAAAGATCCGGATTAGAATAGGTCTTCAGCAAGCCAAGCTTGCTGTAAGAGGCCACTTTGCTTGTAAGAGGTGACTAACGGGATCTGGTGGTCAGGCTCACTGACTTGGTTGATGCACGTCATCGTATCTCAATTCTGTTTATTGATGCTCATGTCAATCACTGGATTGTCAGGTCCAGGCTCGATATTTACAGACAGCTGTCTTGTTGCTGGAATATTGCTGAGTGCAGCTTTAAACAACAAACAATGACATGCCTCGTGTTGTGGAGTGTTTTAACCATGTCCTCATGTTGTGTCAGGTCGGTTGTGGTGTCCCTGAGACTCCTGCCCAAGATCTTCAACTCCTTCCAGCAGTACAGAAGTGGGGCGGACACTCATGCTGTCACTATGTGAGTATGCAGGGATCATCACAGCAACAGATTTCTTCACTTAGTTACGATAATGAAATGAAAGTCCAGAAGGTCGGTGGATGGATTTTCTGGCTGCGTCACACCAAAAGACGTTAATGGATGGTACTTGTTGTAACCCTGCCTGGTGCTCTTCATGAAGGGGATAAAACAAGGACTGGCATACACAGAGTCAGATTATGATGTCTGAGAGTGGTATCCATTTCAAAATGCGGCAGCAGGCTAACACTATAAATCCAGAAAGTCAAAACACATACAACTAGCCACACACACATGCATGCATGTCGCTATAATCTTGAATGCGAAGTTAAACCAAAAATGAAAAGAAATGTAATGTTTTACAGGGAGAAAAACGTCAGCACAGTGAGATCAATGTTAGAGATCTCAACCTTACGGATGGTCATATGGCCAGATAGGGAGGCAACATGTGGAACCACATTTAGAGGTGCGTAATAAAACATTCTGGATCTTTCCTTACAGGTGGTCAGAGAACAACCTGGGCATGATGAAACATTATTTCCGGGATCTTGTGCACTACACCGAGAACAGGAGGAACAGGTCCAACTCTCTGTAAGTAAATCTGTTTGAGGAACGAACATGCACACATCTACAGAGTACTTCATTAGCTGTCAGCAGTAGGTGAAGTCTGCCCCTCAAGGGATCTATGATCTATTTTGTTATGGCCCACTTTGTACAGTTTCATATAGGCTACGTATCAACATTAAATATGCAAAATATATCACCCTTACCCAATTACTTTTAAGAAACGCATGAAAATTTAGGAGAGCGAGTGGTATGACAATGAAGGAAGACAAGTTCTATTGATAAACAACTTCTTTATTACAATTAGTGCGACGTTTCGGTGTAGATCCTAACACCTTTATCAAGCAAGTGATGTCACAATCAGAAATCACTTGCTTGATAAAGGTGTTAGGATCTACACTGAAACGTCGCACTAATTGTAATAAAGAAGTTGTTTATCCATAGAACTTGTCTTACTTCATCACACCAACTTCTAAATGCCACTTAAAGAAGTGGTATGACAATGCTCTATGTAGGAGCTAGAATGATGCAAGTATAAGGTGTCCTGGGTGTTGTCATCAAGTAGTGGAACATGGCTGACAGGGCTATTAAGGGCTGAAGGGCTATTAAGAAGGAGCACCGATAGGCGAATGTCTGTTTTATGTTGTAGGTATTATGTGAAAATGTTTCTCTTCCCCTCCAGGTACAGCCACAAGGACGAGACAGGCGTGAGACTCGACTTTCTGACCTGTGTGTTCTCCTCCATGGGCTCTCCAGACAGTTTCAGTAAGTTCCTCCCATTGTGGATTACAGTGACAGGCTTCGACATGTAGACTGCTGGTCTGATTGGTTGATTTGTTGTTTAACACAGTCGGCAGTATTCCAGCTATATGACAGGGGTCTGTAAATAAATGAGTGTGGACCAGACACTCCAGAAGAGTGACAGTGATTGACATCATGATTTTTTTGGAGTCATCATATTGGGATACAATGACATGCAATCAAACAATCACCGAGCCAGACCACCCATTTCATTTAGTCCCAACGAGTGTGCTAAATCTAATACTAGTGTAAGGACTGATTGTATTCTCCCCTAATGAATTGTTATGTAAGCAACTAGTTAGAAATTAATTCTGGACTTGTTGGATCTGTCTCTTGGTATAGCGCTGTGACATATTTTAAACAGTAAAACATCTGTGCATGGTCAACTGTGAACAGTAATTTGACTCCATTTCAGATATACCCAGATCAAATCTAATAAGAACTCAGAAGTAGCATAGCATGGACAATAATTGTTGATTATATTGACTAAGAATCATAATGAATACACAATGCTATTTAGAAAGTGGTCAAATGTAACAAATGTTATATTTGGGATAACGCCTTTATAAAGTACAAATTCTAATACTTTTTGGGGTTGAGTCTCATCCGGGATTCAAACCCACACTAGTGAGGCACCTAATGGGAGCCATGTCAACTTACACTTATCAGAGGGGTGCACAAAGTACGTGATCTAGACTACCAGTTGTCAGACTTCCGTTTTTGTGGAAGCCTTGGTACCTGAGGGGGTTAGATTGCTGACTTTGTGTGCTGGCGATTAGGTCCTGTTTGGGACTCAACCCAAAAGAGTGCTAGAATTTGTACTTTACTAAGAAAGTGTTATCCCAAATATAACATTTGTGACATAAGATTCATTAACCTTGAATTTATGTTGGATGTAAAAGATGTCAGTGGCCTGTTGGTGGTAGTTTTGTTAGTGGTATCTATTTGCTTTTGTTTCTTCAGGGTTGAACCAGACACAGGTGGATGAACTGTGGGAGTGTTTGGCGGCCGACCCAGAGTGTACGGATGACTGTCTCAAGTGGTTCCTTACACAAGCCAAGAGCAAGGACCACCATGCACTTGGACTCGAGACATTCAAACACATCTTTCTCGAAAAAGTAGGGTCAAGTTTTATGTTGTACAAGAAAGCTAATTGTTCTTTGCTAGATCTCAACAGATGTAGATGTTGGTTATTGACGAGAGTTATCCTTTTAGTAATTGAATTCAAGAAATAAATGACTCATGGTTGTTACCCACGAGTCGTTTATTTCTTATATGAGATTAAGCCTCTTTAAGAATGTGTGTAAAAAGTAAATGCTTTAAAAATATCTACCCATATTTAAATAATGGTGACTCCCTGAATAGAATCCGACCGTGGCAATGTTGGACAAGTCCATTTTATGAACAGGAGGGTTAAATTTTCACGTCGATTATATGTACCTTCCTTCCCAATACTTTTGGAAGCTGTTGTTCGGCCATTTGATTTTATCTACGTTTCCCAGCTACATCTATGTGGAACAACTCACTAGACTCTTCCCTCTCAAAAATAACATAGTCCAATTTAGGACATCAAGTTGCAAGTGCATGTTCGAATCTCCAGAAACGACGCCATGATAAAACAATGTTTCATCGTGATATAAGCCACGCTAAGTTGTTCATTGTTCTTTGCGATTTATCACGTAGCTGTCTTATATTTGGCATTTACTATCTTGCGTGTCTTTCTTGTATGCTAGATGCCCCAGCTGAGACCGGAGACGATGAGTGCGATCGGCCTGAACCTGTTCCAGAGTCTGTCCCAACTGGCTCGTGTTGCCAATGCTTCTCTCAACAATCCACTCTCGGAAGATCAGGTATGTTTGGCTCTGGTTGGCCTCTGATTCTTCCCATGCATATTTCTTTTACCAAGATTCTCAATTATGTAAATGTTAGGAAATCTAGCCTCACTGATAACGCTATGTATGGTATAGTTTGGAAATTTATTGGAAACATTATGTGCTGTAATGAAGTTTTAGTCAACCTTTTACATTGCACAATTTATTTATGTTAATGACCACATAAGCCATCTCTCAGCTGATCAGAGCATCTTAGAGTTGCCTCCCTTAAACCATGCTGGGATATGCTTGTCTTGGGTTCAAATCCAAGGTTTGACCTAATCATGAGCTTTGATCTGGATGTAGGTTTCACCACAGTGGAACATGTTGGGAACTGCCTCCATGGTTTAGTGGAAGAGCATTTGCCCAGAGAGTAGAAGTTTTGGGTTTCGATCCCTGGATGCGTCATACCAAAAGCCGTTAAAAGATGGTACTTGTTGTTACCCTGTCTGGCGCTCGGCATTAAGGGGCAAAAACAAGGACTGGTTGGCTCGGAGTCAGTATGCTGTGCCTGAGTGGGGTATTCATGTATAACTGCGGCATGGTATCTCATTGTGATAGCCTTATGAATCGGCATCAGTCTGGACTAGTACAAGCAGCCACACACTCACAGACACACATCGGTACACATTGCTTTACAAGTGCAATAATCTTGGATGTTAAACTCTATTTCACCTCACCTCGCATGTTGGGCTTTCTTGTAACAATCAGCTGACACTCAGCTGTTTCAAGGGGTGTTAAACCCAACTCTCTCATTCACTCAGCTGTTGTGCCTGAAAAGTTGGAATGTTGAATGTTCTGACTGCCCCTTTCCTTTTCTCCCTTACAGTGAGATATTAGAATATTGTTTAAGGCGACATATCTTCCTTGGCCAATCTGGATGTTATGCTTAGCCTTCATTTCAATGCTGTGTTGTGTAGGTGTGCGGCATGGACCAACTGTGGAGCATCGCCCTCCGTGCCACCAACAAGGAGGTGAGCATGACGGCTATCCAGTACCTCAATAACTACTATATCAGCTTCGGCAACAGCATGTTGGAGAAGGAGGAGGAGTTCATACACCGCTGTATGAAGAACCTGGTAGCAGCACTGGAAAACGTTAAGAAGGTCAGTGGCGTAGGACATGGCTTGTAAAGGCATTTGATGAGTTGAATATTTCATTTAGTGACTATTCTCACTCATCTCACACTTGTCTGACTCATCTCACTTGTCACACTTTTGTCTGGCTCTTGTCTCAACCTTGTCTCAACCTTGTCTCAACCTTGTCTCATCCTTGTCTCACTCATCTCACTCTTGTCTCATCCTTGTCTCACTCTTGTCTCACTCATCTCACTCTTGTCTGACTCATCTCACTTGTCTCACTTTTGTCTCGCTCTTGTCTCAACCTTGTCTCAACCTTGTCTTACTCATCTCACACATCTCACTCGTGTCTCACTCTTGTCTCACTTTTGTCACACTTTTGTCTCACTTTTGTCTCACTCTTGTCTCACTCATCTCACGCTTGTCTCAATGTTGTCTCACCTCACTCTTGTTTCAACCTTGTCTCACTCTTGTATCACTTTTATCTCACTCCTGTCTCACTGTTGTCACACTATTGTATCACTTTTGTATCACTCTCGTATCACTCTCGTATCACTCTCGTATCACTCTTGTATCACTTTTGTCTCACTCTTGTCTCACTATTGTCTCACTCTCGTATCACTCTTGTCTCACTCTTGTCTCACATTTGTCTCACTCTTATCTCACTCTTGTCTCACTCTTGTATCACTTTTGTCTCACTCTTGTCTCACTCTTGCAGGACACATGTGGGAGTTTCCAGATCATTCAGCAGGGCCTGACTCTTTTGAAAAACCACCTTGAAGCCTTCCGTCGTCGCTATGCCTACCACTTGCGCAACTGGCAGATCGATGGCAAGGGCATTACCAGCCACCAACAGCACCGGATGGAGAAGCACTGCACCTCCATATGTGTGCTGCTGCAGCCAGCCGGCATGACAGAGAAGGTAAGGGGATGTGATCTTATCAAAACTTGCAAAGACATGGGTTAGAATGGGTTTTCAGCAACACATGCTTGTCATAATGGGCTACCAGAGGGATCGGGTGGTCAGGCTCGCTGACATGGTTGACTCATGTCATCGTATCCCAATTAAGTAAATAGATGCTCACTGGATTTGATTATTTACAGACTACCGTCATATAGCTGGAATATTGCTGAGTGCGGTGTGAAACAACAAACAAACATTTTTTTGATATTGTGATTGGTATATCCATATATGGCCTTCTGAAGAGGTTTGAAATTTAAGAAACTAGCAGGGGGTTGCAGAGACCATGTAGATCTGACACAGTAACACATCTGTGTGTGTATCTGTGCATAGAACCAGCTGGAGATGATGACCACTGACCTTGTTGCCGAGCTCCGAGCCGAGGTGGCACGATGGTGGGAAGCGCTACAGAAACAGCAGCAGCTCCAGCGCCAGCAGGCCGAGGGGGCTCATGGGGTGCTCTCGCCGATCCTTGGCGCTATGCTGGGAGATGGACCAATCAGGATGATCACACAGGGGCAGGAGCTGACTGTCGACATGGATGAGAAGACACTTGGGGAGATGCAGTTCAAGAATATGCAGGTGCGGCCAGTGTTTGAAAGTTGGGCAGGTGACCCATACATTTTGCCTACCTATCTTCAAAGTTACCTGCTCGCATTCTGACATTATTAATATTGAAAATCGCAAAACAAATATGAGACATATTGCGTCTTGATTCAGTTAAAATAATGCAAACTTGAAAATCTAATTATGATAAAACCGAAAATGTAAGTAGTCTTAAAATTACCTGCAAGTCAGACACATGTGGGGATTTTAAGTGTTATTAAAAGGACCAACTGCTCAGCTAGTATGGATAACTTTACCCTCTAGCAGTGTTTATTTTGTTTCTATATTCTGTCTATTTGCCAAAACATATCTAATTCCTGTTGTCCATTCCATTTACAGCTTGTGTTTGTCTCGGTGGGTGCGAGTCGGCAGCCACGGAAGATGGACGGATCCCTGCCGTCCTCCAGCCTCCCGTCACCACTCCGGGACAGACTTCCCATGATGCTTCTGCTGCAGGAGCCTCACTTTGACAACCTCTTCATGCTTCTACAGAGACTAGGCGACCTTGATGTGGAGTTGTCCAATATGGTCAGTTGTCCATGCTAGATTCATATTTCATATCATTGCTCCTGTAGCTATCTAATTGTCCTTCATGTATTACACACACCCATACACACTCATGTGGCCTGTACTGATATGATGTCATCACTGACTTTGTTCTCACTTTGAAGTCTGTAAAAAGTCCTCTGGCAGGTCATTGTATAGATATGATTTCAGTTATGTATGTTTCAATGAAAATAAGTCTTTGTAACTCGAAGTGATGCATCCTTACCATGTGTCGTTCCAACATGATGTATTTCATCGGCTAAACATTTGTACAAATCACAAGACCAGAGGGATCATTCATCTTGTAAAGTACACCTTTCAATAGTATGTGTGAACAGGTAACTCATAAACTTCCCCTTAAAAGTTTCCTTGTATTTTTCTTTGATTAGTGTGTTGTGTTTCAGGATCCCCTTGAGCGGGCGGGTCTCCTGGCGGAGTCACGCCGCCTGTCTCGGAACGTGTGGGAGCTGCTGATGATCCTCCCCACCAGTCCCAATCATCTCAACGGTTTCAAGAGTCTCATCATGGAGCGGGTGAGGGTACATGCCTGTCACCAGACCAACGTTGGTGCAGGTTCTTATTACAATAGGGGGAAAAGAAACAGCAATAGCTTCCTCTCAAAATGTCCGTACATTAAAGCAAATTCTGCCCTTTTCTGTAAAACAAGAAAATATTATCGCAGCTGTGTAGCACACTTCCAACTATTATACAGAAAAGTTATGTTTTTTAAGTGTGGCCCACTTTCTGTTTTTTTTTAAGAAGTGTTTTTATTTCTGAAAGTGGAGCTATGAAAAGATCAGTATTAGAGAAATATGTGATAAGTTTGGTTACTATTCATCAGGAGAATATTCCTTTCCATGCTGATTTCCAAGCTTTAGGTTGTAAATATTGATGGACTATTGATGTGTGTTCAGTCTGGTGAGAGTGGGGATGACCAGGTGACGGTGGCGTGGAACGACCTGCTACCACCCTCCAGCCCCCACAAGCTGTACTACTCACTCCAGATAGTGGAGGTCCTGTCTCACAGCCAGAAGCTCCGGCGCAAGTCACTGGTAATGCCTCGTTATTATCTTTTAGATATTCATGTTCATCGTTTGCAAGGCTTCAGTTTAGTTTTACAAGTTTTGTAAGTTGCAGAATCCATACCGAGTTTCAGGATTGCTGTCGAATTGCTTAAAGGGAAATTTATCTCAATTATGAGATTTCTCCTATTTTGGTTTATTTCTTGAGGTTGACCATTAGAAGTATGATCAATATCTCTTAAGGCTCAGGCCATTTGATAGCAGAGTCAGTATTCAGTACAGTGATCCCTCGCTATTGTGCTCTTCTATAAAGCGCTACCTCGGTTACTTACTTACAAAATTTATGTACACTTTTAATATTGAGAGTTTTACACAGACATAATTGTATTGTTGTTCGTTGTTCATTTGCACATAACGCTTCTCATTGCATAATCAACCGTTTATCGCTGAATGGAGTTCTAATAATCTGTTTGAAAATATCCGCGGCAAGTCCAGGAAATACGATTGTTCAACTAGTTAACTTTTCACACTATACATCCTTTGATCTTAGAAGCGCATGCATGCAATAAAAGAGAACCACAAGTGAAGTTTATATTCTTAATTAGTGGGCAATCCAATTTGAGGCGACACTGTCACACACATGTAGTTGCTGTCACAACACGGCAGTCATTCATTTCGTAATTGCGCTTTTGTAACATCGCCTGTTTTTTTTCCGTAGTTATAATAAGCGATTTCATTGGATTAAAATTTGTTTCTAATGACGCTTTCTTGCCTAAATCTGCTACAAGTTTCGTGATTGGTCAATTTTGAGCACGTGACCTCAGGCAGCCAATCAAATTATAGCTGTGATACCAAGCTCGTGTTTGATAAATTTCAGAAGTTGGCGAAAGATTTTTTTGTTAAATCATGTTATTCTGAACGTTTTAAGCAGGAAATCACGATATATATTAAAAATATGGAACTTCGTGAATGTATCGTGCTTGGTTACGAGCTGTGACAAAGATTTTTCATGCATATATTTTTGCATTAAACGTTGTGTCCGAGCCGAGAATTCAAGGCGACGAAAACCGAGATGTCATTTGACTTACATTACACGCGATCGCACGAAACGATGGAAATAATAACTTAGATGTAAGTTTGATTACTGTTAGAAATATTTTTGTTGATTTTATTTATCACTTTGTATAATATATTTAAAGATTTGCATAAAACGTCTTTATTTTGCTCTTTGACATGTTCAATGCGGACCCGTTGTCAAAATGTGTGTCCGAGAATTTTGTTTTCAATAACATCGCAGGAAATAGTGAATAATTTTTTAATTTATCGATAAAAAATGATAAATTAGAATGGAATACGTATTTCAGACATTTGGAAATGTGACAGATTTAATAAATGAATGATATATCAGGTAGATCTAGGTCCATAAAAATATATACTATTTTGACTCGACGTGAGATAAACACATATTGATGATTTGAGATTAGCCGAGCGCGCTCCCCCGCCTCGCCCTCGGTTAAACGGCTCATCGTCTATAACGCCCACCAATTATTTGGACCCCATTGGTAGCGTTGTAGCGAGGGACCACTGTATTCAGATTCACAAGTTGTGCCTTTGACCTTAGAACCCTTATGTTTGTTCTGTTAGTGTTGTTGTTGCTTGTCTAGTAACTTTGCTACAAATAGTCCTTAGTCGGGCAGTATCTAACAAAAATCATGGCACTAGTTTGGGTTCAATGACTGAAAAGATATTAGCATTGACTTCAAATCTTTTTGTGCTTCACTTTAAGTTGTTAGAACTTTTATGAATGCTTCAAGTAGAGCAGGTTTCACACTTGATTGTTGACATAGTGTATATGTGAATTGTACTGCACACAATTTGTGGTTGCAGATGCGGTCAGGGGGAGGAGATGCATATTTATCAAGTGGTGACCAAGAATCAGGCAGTCATGATACAGCGGAGAACCTCTGGAGCTCACAGGTATGTTACCTGTAACAGGTAAATCAATTCAGAACTGATCCCCAGTGTCTCAGGATCTATATCTAGGTCTTGTTCTTCTGTGTCCACATGTTGTGTTTGTGTTGCCTAGGTTCAAAGCGACTCTTGGAATGAAGAAGGGTAGGTGGCTTCAAAATGCCCCCTTTATTGAACCCTTCAAAAGTAAGCCCTGGAGATGACACTTCAGACGCTCAGACTCAGACTCTTTTGGTATTGACCAAACTTAGTATCAAACAATCTGGGAATTATCATGCATTCACCTGAAAGTCATCAATAGAACTGGATCTAGAGTTTGTTTTGAGCTTGTTTCCTTCTATTTCAGTTCATTGCCAAGGGAGGTTTGAGTCACTTGTTCAACATCTTCATCTCAGGAAGTCTTCAGTCGAAGGAGGGAGACAACTGGAGTCAGGTACGAGACAATATTACCATCAACTCTTTATTTGTGATCAGTTAAGAAAAAAGTACATAAAACCTCATAAGATAGATATATTACTTTAGAGAACATACTTATTTCATGACAATCCTGATTGGCAATGGTATAACCTGCCCAATTGTATAAGGTGCTGCAATTCACTGTGCAGAGTTGCGTCCCTTGGGCACACCAGAAACCTATGATCAAATCCTGGGTTGCTCCGATTATGTTTCTAGGTTTGTCAGCACTATGTCCGTGCTTGTAGGGTTCACCAGTGTGAGACCTGCACACTTCGGGGATTCCTCCCACAGTAAGGTGACGCGCAGTAATAAAACTGGAATACTGTTAAAAGCAGTGTTAAACCCAACTCACATACTCACTCACTCTAAATTACAAGTCCAATGGAGGAAATCACTGAGACAACCAATTTTGTTTAATGATGCTTGTGTGGATTCAGATAATACAGGTTCCTGAGACTTCTCTTTATACCTTGTGAATTATGTAATGGAGAAATCGCGAAAATCTGTTGATTCCGGAAATAGAATCAACGGGCTCTGACTTAAATCTTGTTATGGTTGATATATATATATACTACTTAAAAAAATCTTAATGACAACCCAATTCTTTCATATTACAAGAGTTAATCAATAGTAATATGAAAGAATTGGGTGTTCCTTAACTTCTTTTGTGTGGTATAAGTTGCATCAGTTTTACTTGTTCCAAGGCACTTTCAGAATGGCCAGTGAATTCTTGGCTTAGAATCACCTGCAACAACAGTAGTGTGATGTCATCATTATGATTTAGAGTCTGCTGAACCATTTATCTCTGAGGTGTAATTAAGGTCACAGCAGATGACAACATGAACCACATTAACACAACTGTCTTGCTGTCTTGTTCTCTAGTGGAATCAGGAATGCCTGGCCTACTTGCTTCGACTGGTGAGTCAGTTTGCCGTGAACCGTGCAGACCTCGAGACTGGATCGGAAGAACAGTCCGAGACGTATGAGAGTCCTCGCAAGAAGGTCAAGAAGTCCAAGTCAGCACATGAAAAGATCTTCATTCCAAGACTCAATCAGGTATACAAAGTAATAAGACAAAAGAGGGTCACAATTGCTTGATTTTACAGCACAGTCTTCCAAAACAGTAATATTGTTCTTGAGCCAATGATTTTAATAACGTAGACACAATTTATGGATAACAACTTCTTTAATACTGGAAAGGTGACTTTTCGGTATAGATCCTTATAACGTTGTCAAGCTTAATGGCATGAGGAACTATACCGAAACGTCGCCTTTACAGTATTAAAGAAGTTGTTATCCATAAATTGTGTCTACTTTGTCATCCGTTAACTTCTAAGTAATGCTAATAGGCAATTCAATGATTTTAACAGGAAAATGAACACAGGTTGGCAGATTTAAGAAAATTACCTGGATCTTGTTGTTCCTGAGAAGCAGCAGATGAAAATAACTTTTACTCTTGCACATAGAACAATTGCCTGTTTGGTGCTGCAAGCATTATTTGGCATAATAACAAGAGCAGTTGATGGTGTTGAAGTATACGTCATAGTATATTTACCTGTTTAAAGATTATGGTTATGTATGACATGGTTTTCCCCTTCAGTCCACCATCAACATGCTGAACACAGAGACGGTGTTGAAGATTCTCATGCAGATCCTGTATGATGCTGCATTGCCAGAGTAAGTTCTCATAATGTTGCAACCTAATTGTGACCATAAGATGTAGATGTATCTCTTAGAACATGCTTGAAATAGCCATAGACTTCGTGTATCTTCAGCATTCTTGAATTCTTCTTATCTTCCTACCCTGTGAAGAATTGGTCTTCAGCAACTCATACTTGTCATGAAAAGAGACTAACAGGATCAGGTGGTGAGATTTGCTGACTTAGATGATGCATGTCATCGTATCCAAATTGCGTAGATCGATTCTCATGATGTCAGTCACAGGATTGTCTGGGCCAGACTCAATCTTTTACAGATCACCATCATATAGCTGTAATATTGCTGAGTGCAGCAGTGAAAAACAAACAAAATGTTATCGTCCTTGGCAGCTGCCTAAAATTGCATTACAAGGTCTGTCTGTCTGATGTTCATTTCATCTTGATTGACAGGGATACAAATCAGCTGTACATCGGATCCTGGGGTCGAGCGGAAGGTGAGTGTGCATGCTGTGGGTATATGCTGCTGTCATTCCATGTATGAGTTCACATTAGTAACTGCATTCCTACTTTGCTTGTCCAAGTGGTCTAAGCTGCGAGTGTGCTAAACACTCCTTGCTGACAGTGTCTGCTGGCTGTTAGTTCTCTACATATTTTCAGCTCCATACCCGTGCTGAAAGGGCAAAAATCCTATGATTTCCACCACAAATATGATTAAGAACTGCATGAAAACTCAACACACATACTTCTTAAAAGCAGCAGTTAACTTTACAAACACTCCACCTAATACATAAGACCTGCTCCAGGTCGTATTTCTGTGCTCTTCTCTGTTTCTGCATGGAGAAGCTGGTATATTCAGCCAGTTGTGTGACTTGTATACTCTTCCAATGGTATAAAATGTATTTTCCACAAGTGATATAACTTGTATACGCAACCATTTCGGTAACGTGTATACCTACCCAGTGGTATAACTTTATATTCATCCAGTGTGGTAACTTGTATACACTACCAGTGGTAAATGTTGTATATTCCACAAGTGGGACAGCTTGTTTATTTAGCCCGTGGTATAACTTTATATTCATCCAGTGTGGTACCTTGTATACCCTACCAGTGGTATAAGTTGTATATTCCACAAGTGGGACGGCTTGTGTATTTAGCCTGTGGTATAACTTTATATTCAGCCAGTGTGGTACCTTGTATACCCTACCATTGGTATAAGTTGTATATTCCACAAGTGGGACGGCTTGTGTATTTAGCCTGTGGTATAACTTTATATTCAGCCAGTGTGGTACCTTGTATACCCTACCATTGGTATAAGTTGTATATTCCACAAGTGGGACGGCTTGTGTATTTAGCCTGTGGTATAACTTTATATTCAGCCAGTGTGGTACCTTGTATACCCTACCATTGGTATAAGTTGTATATTCCACAAGTGGGACAGCTTGTGTATTTAGCCTGTGGTATAACTTTATATTCAGCCAGTGTGGTACCTTGTATACCCTACCATTGGTATAAGTTGTATATTCCACAAGTGGGACAGCTTGTGTATTTAGCCTGTGGTATAACTTTATATTCAGCCAGTGTGGTAACTTGAATACTCTACCAGTTGTCTAACTTTATATTCAGCCAGAGTGGTAACTTGAATACTCTACCAGTTGTCTAACTGTATATTCATTCCTCTATGCCCAGTGGTCCACTGTGCACTCTCCTTTCTCATCTCACTGGCCTACTCCTGTGATGAGGTTCCTGGACTACTGTGTACCGCCACCAACTTCAATGCTTGGCTGAAACGTCTCACGCTGGAAGCACCAGAGGTAGGATCTAACTCTCGACTGTGTCTTATTCTGTACTGTATGGGGATTTGGGCTTAGAGAAAGTCCCCTACCCCTATGCTTGTCTGACTATTGGGGATCTGGTACATTGTGTCCTTTTGCTGATTGATGTCATTTTAGCCTCAGCGCTTGGATTGTTGTTCAAACTATCCACCCCTTGTTTGTCTGTCTGTTTACAAGCCACCATCATATACTTGGAATATTGCTGACTGAGGCGTACATGTTCACTCAATCGTTTCAGGATATTAGGCTAAAAAGAACAATAGTCTTGGTTCTCAGGCACAGCCCGCATCATCATAAAGTTTGCCACAGTTTTTATTTCAATTTAAAAAAACAAACAAAAAAGTCCTTAAATATTCCAAGTCCAATTGTAGTCAAATACTGTATTCCAGAATTTTACTCATCAAGGAATACATTTATGTAGGGAGGCCCTTTCCCAGGTTGATTGTACACAACTGTTTAATTGGTTACACAAATGTTTGTTTGGTTACATACTAGTTTGTAAGAGAAAGAAGACTGCCCACCCCGCTATATTTTCAAAAACCATTGCCTGAGAACCAATTCTTTTATTTTTTATGCCTTAAAAGAGGACTGAAATATGTTTTATATTATTTTTCCAGCCAGTTAATTAAAGTTTCCTACTATTTGTGATTTTCTGTAATTGACGAACTATGTTTCCTTCTTGGAAACCCTTTTGGCTTGATCCCAAGTAAAGTATGCTTGTCATCACATGTGACTTACAGTGTGTGGTTTCTGGGTTGATGCCATGGCAGGGGTTATTGCACATAAGACCAGCTACTGGTTTATCCGACCCATGAAGATCCGGGGTAGAATAGGTCTTCAGCAACCCATGCTTGCCGTAAAGAGGCGACTAACAGGATCGGGTGGTCAGGCTCGGTGACTTGGTTGATGCACGTCATCGATGCTCATGATGTCAATCACTGGATTGTCTGGTCCAGACTTGATTATTTACAGACCGCCGTCATATAGCTGGAATATTGCTGAGTCTGGCGTTAAACAACAAACAAATAAACAAAACATATATGTAACTTGCTGGTGTTTCAGCCGTACGTACGTAAGGAGGCCTGTATGGGGCTATACCGTCTGCGACTGGGGAAGACAGTGGACAACAAGCCGGGCTACAGCTTCCTGCTCCCCATCCTCTCCAGCCTTCTCAGCTTCCTACAGGTGGCACTCGAGTTTAAGCCACAGAAGAACACTGAGGTATGCTCTCTCCATTGCTTGCAACGACATTTCAGATGTTATGTTGGTATATATACCAGTATATTTTCTGTTTTGGGGGTAGATGTGGTGAGGTCAAATGCAGTCTGTGCAAAAAACATTTGATTCTACTCGCCCAAACTTTTCCTCTTAGCAATTGGCCCATTGTAGTAGATTTTTGTGTTACTATGTTGACAATTATAAGTTGAGCTTACTTGACCAAACAGAATTTTTTCTGGACCAAAGGATTAAGTCACAGGCTGCTAATTGTTTGTGAATTATTATTTTTTTCTTTTATTGTTTTTAGAAAGACGCACCTGTTACATAAATGGGCTTCCGCCCAGGGTAGCAGAAAGCCCATGACATAAAGCACAACTTATCAGTACATCTTACTTTGTTGTTTTTTACAGAAAATAACATACTTCTCACTCACACATTCACTCTTGTTTATATATCATATTGCAGTTTAGGAAAGTAAATGGTCTCAAACATTAAAATCTTAAGTACAAAACTAAAATTAAATTGAAAGCTGCTCCTCATTTTCGAAAAGTTGATGATACAGCATCCAAGCACCATAGAATTTCTGTTGATTACCTGTCTTGAAAGCAATATATTTATGTTGTATATGTTGTATCGTGAAAAAGCTTCCTTTTTATAAACATGAAAATAAGGTTTTGTATTTTGGAATTTGCATCTATATTGTTTGTGAATTTGATTGTCGTGTAGATGATGAGGGATGAATCTCTTCCCTCTCATTAAAGTCAGTGTCATTAAAGACTCCGACAACTGCAGTGGCTTGTTCATGAGCAAACACTGGCTCACAAGCTTATAGCTGTACCCATAATGTTCAGTAGCTATGGTAGCTAGATGACATGTTGTGGAAGGTGTCCCTATAGATGCCGTGAGAAAGTAACTGAATTAGTTTCTACTGCATAGAACTGTACCCATGAAACTCTGAGGTAGAATAGGTCTTCAGCAATCCATGCTTGCAGTAAAAGACAACTATGCTTGCATAAGAGCAACTAACGGGATCAGGTGGTCAGGCTTGTTGACTTGGTTGATGCATGTCATGATATCCCAATTGCGTGGATCGATGCTTATATAAATCACTGGATTGTCTGGTCCAGATTCGATTATTTACAGACCACCTTCAAATAGCTGGAATATTGCACAGTGCTGTGTTTAACAACAAACAAAACCAAAACAAAAGCATGAAACTGAAGTTAATGTTGGATGTTTTTGTGTGACAGTTTGACAGTAAGGAAAAGGAACCGTTTGGTCCAGGGTGCCGGGACTACTTTTGGCTGGTGTGCAGATTTGTTGACAGCATTTCCAAAGAGGAAGCAAGTTCAGTAAGTCATTGTTGTCTTGTGTTGCGTAGGACCACACTCATAGCCAGTGATAGCAGTTCACCACTGTCCTAATCAAACTTGACCACTTATAACATGCTTGAGGACCCGATAAGATCCGGGTAGAATAGGTCTTCAGCAAACCCATGCTTGCTGAAAAGGCGGCTGTGCTTTTTGTAAGAGGCAACTAACAGGATCGGGTGGTTGATGCATGTCATCTATCCCAATTGGGTGGATCGATGCTCATGATATCAACCACTTGAATGTCTGGCCCAGACTTGCTTATTTACCGACTGACGTCGTATAGCTGTAATATTGCTGAGTGCAGTGTTAAACAACAAACAAACGAAACAAAACATGCTGGAGCACAAACACTCTTACACTGGAATGGCTGTCCTGGCATTGTACAGGATTAATGAGATCTTACAAGAACCTTGACAGTGATAAGAATTAGAAAATTATCTTCATGAAGTTTTTAAATAATTGTTTATGTGTCCAATTTTAAAAGATGAAATGGATGATAATATGTAATTATTTGCATAGATAATGTAAGGTTGGATTGAGGTCAAATTTCTCATGTCTAGTTAGTCAGTAGGAATGTTTACTTCATGGATTGCAAGGAACTCGGTGTAGGAGAGAGGTCATAGAAAGCATCTTCACGTTATTCATATTCAATCAAAATAGTAAATATTCTGTATATCTCAGTTTGTTATAGGTCCCAGGTGACATTTTTAATTAAAAAACTATGTCTTTCAGGAAAACTGTGTTGATCTGAACTCCTTGGCAAAAGAGGCCTACCAGCTTATCATGGAGCGGCCATACTTGGAGACTCGGGTTGGATATGAAGAAGACGATGGCTTGATAGGCCTGCTCAATCTTCTCACCGCTGTCCTCAAGCACAACCCACCATTCAAAACATCATCGGACGGCAAGGTTTGTGCTCACATTATCAGCTTTTTGATCTCCCAACCAAAAGTAATTAAGATTGGAAAAATTAATGATAGATTTGTTGCATGTTTCATACAAATGTACGTCTCTAAAAAGTTTCAAATGGTGCAAGTTTCCAGAGATGTCTTTTCACTTTCATGGGAGAGAGTTTCACTCCTTAGTTGCATCGTATCCCAATTGCGTGGATCTATGCTCATGATGTCAATCACTAGATTGTCTGGTCCTGAGTCCATTATTTACAGACTGCCCTCCTTACAGCTGAAATATTGCTGAGTGCGGCGTTAAACAACAAACAAACAAAACCTTAGTTGCATCAGCCTCTATCGCCCTTGTGAGGGCAAGAGTATAGTTTATGATGTAACAGATGTTTCTCTTCACAACAAACTATGCCTTGGTAATTTAACAGGGCCCTGTACACTAAAGCAATCTTAGCGCTACAACTGTTAAAGGTCGATGTTAAGGCATGGCTGTTATCATTATCTTAGCTCCAAGATCACTTTGTGAATGGGGCCCAGATCCGTAAAGGGGATCATGAAAATATAAAAAATATGTAGATAATTGTCACTGTTCAATGGTCCACGAATTTGAGTCCGTCTAATGCGAAAGATTTGACAAAAGTCATGCCGAAATTTGAGGGTTTTAGGGGGTTTCTTTGTTCCTTGTGAGTGAGTGAGTATGGTCTTACACCCCTATTAGCAATATTTGAGCAATATCACGGCAGGGGAAATCATGTGAATTGAGCCCAAGTCTTTGGCGTGACGAGCGACCGCTTTAACCACTAGGCTACCCCACCGCCCCTTTTTCCTTACGACTATTTGGGTGAGGAAATGTTTCAGTTAAGTTGCATCCCTGCTATTCTACAAACTGTCTGGTTTCAGTCCCTCCTGGATGAGATATTTGACAGCCTGTTCGCACTGCCCTCGCCCACCAAGCGCTACCTGCCTCGTTGTAAGAGTCAGGCCTCCCGGTCCGCCGCGTACGACCTGCTGGTGGAGATGGTGAAGGGCAGCGTGGACAACTACACCGCCCTCCATTCCAAGATGCTGGCACAACATACAAAGGACTCCCACACGCCCTACCCTTGGGACTACTGGCCCCATGAAGATGGACGGTCCAAGTGCGGCTACGTGGGCCTGACGAACCTCGGGGCCACCTGCTACATGGCTACATGCATGCAGCATCTGTACATGATACCACAGGCTCGCCAGTCAGTGCTACAGGCAAAGGTAGGTGGTGTTCAAAGACTTCAGTAAACCTACTGCCACGTTTACCCATAGTATTGTAGATATCTTGCTATCACTTAGTAACCTTGTGAGATGTACTACTTTCAAGTGAACCTACTTGGAGGTTTTACAGTTGAATTGTATAAACAGCTTTTTCATATTGATTTTTGACTGGTTAAAAGTCATCATATATCAAGTTAAGTATTGTAACCCACTGTTTTCCCATTGAGCCACCATGGCAGGTGATGAAAGGGTGTTCAATTGTCCATGTCATGACTTCAGTTGTCTACATGCTGCATATGGTCTCTCTTGTCCACTGTCATTATCCCCCGCCGCGCGAAAGCGCGAAGCGGGGGATATAGTATTCACGACCGTCCGTACGTACGTCCGTACGTCCCACCTGTTTGTTGCCGCGATATCTCAAGAACTAAACACTGGATTGTCTTCATATTTGGAACTATGGTGTATATACAGACTCCGCAGACACCAGTCGGTTTTGGTGACCTTGATCCCATTTTCAAGGTCACAGCAGGCAAATCTGCTTTTGGAGTTGGAAAACGGTGTTGCCGCGATATCTCAAGAACTAAACACTGGATTGTCTTCATATTTGGAACTATGGTGTATATACAGACACCGCAGACACCAGTCGGTTTTGGTGACCTTGACCCCATTTTCAAGGTCACAGCAGGTAAATCTGCTTTTGGAGTTAGAAAACGGTGTTGCCGCGATATCTCAAGAACTAATCGCTGGATTGTCTTCATATTTGGAACTATAGTGTATATACAGACACCGCATACACCTGTCAGATTTGGTGACCTTGACCCCATTTTCAAGGTCACAGCAGGCAAATCTGTTTTTGGAGTTGGAAAACGGTGTTGCCACAATATCTCAAGAACTAATCGCTGGATTGTCTTCATATTTGGTACTATGGTGTACAGGCGGGGGATATTTCGTCACTCTGTGACAAATACTTGTTGAATTTGTTTTATACAGCACACTGCTGTATTGTTTCACAATATGGTATCCCACTGTTTTCATATTCTTTCTGGTATTTCTTGCATTTAGACGGTTCACAAGTTACTTAAAACACTTCTCGGTTTTGGTTGAAAACATAAAAACCATGCTCGGGAAAAGCCTTCAGTCTTCAGGCTTTTTCCCTTGCTTTCAGTTTTAGATTTTCAACCAAAACCGATTGGTATTTTAACCATGTCATCATTGGTGTTGACTTTTTCTAACATCAGGGCTCTGTAGTCCTTGCTTATCACAATAGCCAACTAAGATGAGGATTGGGTCCCTGTAATGTATGACCTGGTTGATTGTGTGTCACTGTGACCCAGTGGCATTGTCATGTTATCAGCCACTGGTTTGTCTGTCTGATAGTGTGACAATGTATGAATGTGTAAGTTTTGTGTCTTTCAGCAGAGGACAGACTATACAAGGCATGAAGGAACACTTGTGGAACTACAGAAAATGTTTGCATATTTGCAGGTATGTTGGTTATGGAATCTTGCCTGTATTTACTAATCACATCCTAGTCTTCTTAAGAAGTGAAGTAGGATGGGTGCCAAACCCCATGTAACACCTAGCCTCTTGCCATCTTATTAATTTCAATGCCAATTATTCGATGTTAATGTTGATTATTGTTAACGCCGCACTCAGCAATATTCCAGCTGTATGACAGCGGTCTGTAAATGATGGAGACTGGACCAGACAATCCAGTGATTGACATCACACACATCAGTCTACGCAATTGGGATATGATGACATGCATCAACCAAGTCACCAAGCCTGACCACCCGATCCTGTTGGTCCCCTCTTATGACAAGGATAGTCGACGTTTACTTCAAGCATGTGTTGCTGAAGACCTATTCTGTCCCAGATCTTCATGGGTTTCATTTATTAGAGGCACCACTTTGTGAGATTGCCCTGGTTCTTAGATCATGAAAGTCACTAACAGTGTTAAAGGTTATTTATACCCGGTACCAGATTCTTGTAGGATTAATATCTGATCCAGGAATTGGTTTGGTCACATTAGCTGCTTTAACGAAATATCATTAAGTGTGTTAGAATTACCAAACTTCGATGTGTGAATCCTTGCTCACACTATCGACCTCTGGTTTAATGGATCCAGGCTCTACAGGCAGTGAAGATGAGGCTCGAATGTGACATGAGTGAGTGAGTGAGTTGGGTTTAACACTGCTTTTAACAGTATTCCAGTTATATCGCGGCGTGTCAGCTTAATGTGGGAGGAAAGCCCGAAGTGATGCAGGTCTTAGATGTTTACCACTTCGGTGAAACCCATGAGCACGGGTATGGTGCTGACAAACCTAGAAACATAATTAGGGCGAACCGGGATTCGAACCCACAATCATAGGTTTCTGGCGTGCCTAAGGGACGCAACTCTGCACAGCGAATCGCGGCGCCTTAGACGACTGGGCCACACATGCCCCTGACTGTGATACCTCAGTAATGAGGGTCAACTACTGACTCAGTTGATGTTGATGTAACCCTCCTGATTGTTGGTCCATTGTTTAGGAGAGTGAGAGAAAGGCGTACAACCCCAAGAGTTTCTGCAAGGCTTATACCATGGACAAGCAGCCATTGAACACTGGTGAACAGAAGGATATGACAGAGTTCTTTACTGATCTCATCACAAAGTTGGAGGAGATGGGGCCAGAAATGGTGAGATAATCGTTTGTTTTGTCTAATTGTGAATAAATTGTAAGCTTGTTTTGTATAATTTGGCATTTTTTGATTATACATAATATCTTGACATTATGATCATATTAATGGCAAAACATGTGCTTGATGTAGATTGACAAACTGCATGTCCTATTTCAGAAAGCTCTTGTTAAAAGTCTGTTTGGTGGAATCATCACAAACAATGTGGTCTCTCTGGTGAGTATTACTTTTCTTCTTAAGACTGTTTCATGTCTGTCCTCTGTCTGTTAACCTCCCTGGGGACTCAGGTTGCTCAGTCATCTTCACTGTGCAGGGTTGTGCCCCCTTAAGGGTGCCAGAAAGTTAAGGTTGTGGGTTCAAATCCCCGATTGGCCCTGCTGTTTCTAGGTTTGTCGGACCAAAACTGTGCTTAGGTTTTTTTACCAATGTGGCAAAAATAGAAGGCCAGCATCACTTCATTCTTTCCTCCTGCATCATGCTAACACGCCGTGATACAGAGAATCTCACCCAAGTGTCTTCTGATATCATACATATCAACATATGCTGATTTGTGGAATAGAGCTAGCTTGAGCTGGCTAGACTTGCTTTTGTATGCATTTCTAGATTATTATTTTTTCCATAAAATAAATATATTCCACGATCATGGTGCAGGACTACATGAGTTGATAAATGTTTAAATCTCCTTTTAAGTTTGAAATATTTGATATCGAAAGACTCAAGAGAGAGATTTGGTTTTATCATCCCAAATCATTCTTCCAACTTTTTCAGTTTTTATTCAGTAATCGGCAGTGTCTTTGTGTGTAGAAAGTACTGCTAACCAACTTCAGTAGGAAAGAGATTACTGATGATTTGTTTGTGTTGTCATGGTAACTGATGTTGCCATGGTCTGCATTGTGGTGCAATTTCTAGGAGATATCGCTTTATCTCACCCATATGGAAACCAGTTTTTGATGATATATAAGAATATCAAAACCCAATTCAGTAACTCGCTGCTAACATTACAAATAAACTGGCTTCTACTGATAACCCAACACATCCCTATGTGCTTGCCTTGCAGGATTGTCCTCATGTGAGTCGGACATTTGAGGAGTTCTACACTGTGAGGTGTCAGGTGACGGACATGAAGGACTTGTATGTGAGTACCCCAAGAGTAAACCCTTGAAGATCCGGGGTAGAATAGGTCTTCAGCAACCCATGCTCGCCGTTAAAGGCGACTGTGCTTGTTGTAAGAGGCAACTAACGGGATCGGGCGGTCAGGCTCGCTGACTTGGTTGATGCATGTCATTGTTTTCCAATTGCATGGATCGATGCTCATGATGTCAATCACTGGATTGTCTGGTCCAGACTTGATTATTTACAGACTGCCGTCATATAGCTGGAATACTGCTATAAGCGGTGTTAAACAACAAATAAACAAACATAAATGTAAACATATGGACAGTAAGAACTAATGATACAGGTTCATATTAAGATTGAAAGATTCAGGTATTACATGTTATTGAGTTTAGACCTGATATGCCTGAGAGAGTATATAGACTGTTTTGGAAGTCCTTGTAGTTGGGTAATGTAGTGATGTATTCCCTATCAGAAAATAAGACTTTTTCAGAAAGTAGGCAGTGATTCCTTTGAATGATTTAATGCCTTGTAACGTTATCTATAGGACATTGTTGAAATCTTCCAAACAAATCAGTAAAATAAGAAAGTGAAATAAGTAGTTTATAATAACAGGTAGTACGTTGTAGCAGTATCACTAGGGTTATATGTGGTTTATTGTGTCCCACATAAGGTTTTATACCATGAGCAGGAGGTGAGAGGTGTAAGACCTAACGAGGGGCCCATAAAATCACATATACCCCGAGTGGTACTTCTACAACGAATTTATCTTGCCGATATGTTTAAGTCTGCGATTGTAAAAGAATTAAAACAAATAAAAAATTGATAGAAAACAGCTGTTCATTTGAGCTGAGGTTAACTTGTTCCGTGTCTCGTGACTTTCCCTGACAACGTGCAGATGTTTGCTTCGTAGCATGGTATAAGGGATTTATTCTCCTGCTCAGAAATTTATACCACTCCCAGATAGGATACAAAACTTATTAAGTATTTTATCAAGATCACTTGAGGTAAAACAATTGCCTTTATTATGTATATGCAGTTTGTGTGTTGGTGGAAGTGTGACTGACGCGTTGTGTTGCAGGAGTCGCTGGATGAGGTGACGGTGAAGGACATGCTGGAGGGAGACAACATGTACACCTGCTCCAAGTGTCAGAAGAAAGTCAGGGCGGAGAAGAGGTACGAACATAATGTCCATGAAAATCCATCTGTTCTGCTGTCATATGAAACCATTTTCAGGACCACTCGTGAAGTTAGATGTGGACATTATTATGATTATTCGTGATTCTTGTTTAGTTTTCCTTTGTATGAATGGGGACACCTGTCTGGGTGCCACCATTCACTGTCCTGGGTGATGTCCCTTGTGTGAGTGCATGTAGGCTTTGCTAACATCAATAACCAGCTTGAAATTTCATTTCTCACTATGGCTTACCACCATATCGCTGAAATAGTGTTAACAGCAGCGTAAGGCCTTGCTTTGGGTCCGGGGTGTTTGACTTGAGAGTGGTATGTTGTAGGGCTGGGACAGGTAACTCGGGTACTCGGGTCGGGTGGGTAATGAGTAGGACCCGGGTACCCACAGGACTACCCGGACCCGTGGTTAGTCACATGATATATTGTTTGATGACAAAAAAATATCTAGAACTCCATGGTTACACTGCAAGTCACTAATGTTCGCGTTTCTTTCTGCCTAAGCACCATTCCTTCGGACCTTTAAAGGTTTGAATAAAGATAAAACTTCAGTCAACTTCCGTGTATGCATGACCAGATCGTTTTATACGTGTATCTAAACACATTTTACCAGGGCTACGGTCAAACTATTCCCAATCGGATATTTTGTACCCAACTCTTGAGACCTGTAGCGGGTACCCGGTCAGGTAATAGCGGGCTGGGTACCCGGGTAGTAAATTTGGAAAGATGGGATGTCAACTCAGAACCAGTGACAATGATTTAAAATGATGCCCAACGAGTGAATGAGTATGATGTCGTCTATGTTGATGTGTTGTTTGTTGTGTTCCAGAGCGTGTTTCCGGAAGTTGCCAAAGATCCTGTGTTTCAACACAATGCGGTACACGTTCAACATGGTGACGATGATGAAGGAGAAAGTCAACACGCACTTCTCCTTCCCGCTTCGGCTCGACATCAAGCCCTACATGGAGGTGAACCTGCTCGGCCCTGACAAACTCAAAGGTGAGATAGCCTGGCCTTACAACCTCTGCTATACCAAACAGTGGTAGAAACTAACAGTTTTAGTCCACTAGTACTTATGATGATGATATAGTAAAGGTTTTTCGTTATTCAAAAGTACTGAATAACTAAACAGCTTTTGGATGATGATGTAAGACGAACCTGCTGTCACATATTAAATGAGTTTCAGTGTATTTGACCACATTACTGCAGTTGTTTAATATACAGCTTTTGAATAACGAACTCGGTGCTGGCTTGTTTTTTGTTATTCGAAAAACGAATGACGGTGCTAGTTTGTTTTTCTTTATCCAAAAGTACTGAATAACTAAACAGCTTTTGGAGAATGATGTAAGACGAACCTGTTGTCATATATTAAATGAGTTTCAGTGTATTTGACCACATTACTGTAGTTGTTTAACATACAGCCTTTGAATAACGAACCTAGTGATGGCTTACCCGAATAACAAACCCGCTGCTAACTTCAGGCCCGTGATTTTGTGTCCCGTAGTTTCAAATTTGTATGGGTCCTTATGGCCTGCAGTAAATTTACACAGAGATGAATTTGTCACAGTAGGCTGCAGTTGTTTTTAATGAGAGCCTGAATAGTTTAGTCAGGGTCTGCAGCTTCTAAAGTCTGTGTGTCCTGATGGCAGCCTGGCAATTTATGTCATTTTAAACACTGGTCTCAGACGGTTAACATTTAATAATCTGACTCTGATGCTTTCTTGTTGTAATTTACTACTGAGGTCTGTTGTTGTAGTTGATGAGGAGGATGAGCTGACGCTGATGGGAGTGGACACCAGTGATGAGGACGAGAGCTCCGAGTATGAGCTGATTGGTGTGACAGTGCACACAGGAACAGCGGACGGCGGACATTACTACAGCTTCATCCGAGACCGGCTCAACAAGACAGAAACAGGCCAGGACAAATGGTCAGTCCACCCAGACAATCCATGTACAAGTCTGTTTGTTTGTTGTTTAACACAGCGATCGGCAGTATTTCAACTAAAGGACTAAAATAATTTAGTTTGGACATAATAGACATCATGAGCATCAATCTTTGCAATTGGGATACAGTGACATGCATCAACCAAGTCCGCATGGGTTGCTTAAGACCAATTCTACCCTGATCTTCACAAGGGCATTTCATCAATGATGATCGTACATGGAATGTTGATGTGTATTGTTTACATTCAAAGGCTGTTATGTTTAACTTTTTTTTATGTTAAGATTAGTCATGTTCACATTATGATGCCTCCTTTTTGTTTTGAAAGGTATCTGTTCAATGATGCAGAGGTGAAACCATTTGACCCAAGTCAGATAGCTGGAGAGTGTTTTGGAGGAGAAATGACGGTAGGTGACACTGTGGTCAATTTTGGCAGGGTGTAAAATTCTCATTAATTTCGGTCAAACTACCGGACTGGCAACTTAGCGAAGTTACCAGGCCAGATAAAATGTTGCTAATCCAGAATTTTCTAGACTTCCGAACAAAAATAACAAGGGAATAAAGTAATGTGTAAAGTTAGTTGTCAGGAAATAACAATATACTGGTGTGAACACACAATGCCATTTAGAAAATGGTCAAATGTAACAAATGTTTTATTTGGGATAACACTTTCTTGGTAAAGTACAGATTCTCGTACTTTTTTGGGTTGAGTTCCATCGGGGATTCGAGCCCACACCGCGAGAGTGAGGCACCTTATAGCCAGCCCACAAAGTCAGCGATCTAACCCACTCAGCCACCGGGCCTTCCACAAAATGAAAGCCCAGACAACAGTAGTCTAGATCACATACTTTGTGTACCCCTCTCACAAGTGTAAATACACTCGGCTCCCATGGCCAAATGGTATGAACACACAATGCCATTTAGAAAGTGGTCAAATGCAACAAATGTTATATTTGGGATAACACTATACATTCTCTTTCTGATTAAATCCTCCTTGGGGCACTTATTGCATTTTCCTTGCTCAAGAAAATCTATATGACATAGTTGTAACCATTTTCCTTAATAAAAAATGTTACCACACAAAAAACTTCGTTTTTGTATGATATACGACCACCCTTACGGGGCCTCACCCCCAACGGCGCCTCACGCCAGGGGGAGCAACTCTCACCCAAATCACTTTCCTTATGTCATCTGTAAGAGACAGACGTGTTGATTTTTCACACAAGACAAAAATAAGAGAAATCTATCGTTCGACAAGAACCATGGCTGACCAAACTGTATGTATGGTACATTTCTTTCTTTGCAAAGGCGTAATACCTCGCATTGTGAAGTTATAGAGTTGTAATAATACGCCACGTGCACGGTACCTTTGAATTCCAATGGCCGTAATGGCGTCCATATTGTAGTTCCACGGGCTGATACATGTAACACCAAGGCCATTAAGAAACGGCTTGGGGTTTTGTTATATCATACAGCATTGGTCTACAATTTTTTCCTTTACAAAACCCAAGGTGGTGTGTTAATTCATAAACTACACTTACCTTTTTTACGGGTTTTTACACCTTAGCGCGTAACACGCCCCTTTGGTGTTATAATTATACTACACATTGGCTATTAGTATCGCGTTACAAATCGCATTCTACATTACGCCTTTGCTTCTAGTTTCACAATTTATGCACGTTTCTTTCCGATCTTTATATCGCACTGATACACGTTGATACCCTTCCCGCCCACCTCAGAAATTACGGTCTTGTTTACAAGACCTTCAAACTGTGTACGGGTTGTTCTAAGACAGGCACGAACGCTGCCGAATATGTCTGGCGGAGGACATTGCCTTTACCCCCCGGGGCCCCCAAAAGAGACAAGTTGACTTGTTCCACTTTAAAGAGGTCTATTAAAGGCGGGGGTAGATATCAGATCTACTAAGACATCCCCCCCTCCCCATCTAAAAAGGGTAAAAAAGCTGCCGAGATTGTCTCCCCCGCTCCCTCTCCGGGGGCCGGGGGAGAAGGCTCGAGGGTCCCCGTAGTAAGCACTGCACCCTCTCCTGCACTGTCTTTGGCAGACTTTTCTGCGTTACTTAAGTCGCAGATGGCGTCGATGATGGAGGAGGTAAAGTCTCAGCTCCGAGAGGAGATGCGGACCGAGCCTTCCCCGTTGTCGGCGCCGGACGCGGCTTCGAGACCTTGTGATATGCCCGGCGTCGGCCGAGGCAGGCAACTTGGTCTCGGGGACGATCTCAGACCGGGCTTCGGCGCCGGCTCGAGGTCGCTCCCCAGCGGAGGGGTGGCGGGCGCCGGCCCGTGCACTACCGACGCACAATTTTTCCCTAGCGGAGCACGACGCCTCTTCCGAGGCCGAGGCTTTCACTAGTGGATTCGTAGCCCGGAGCCAGGGGGGTTCCCTTGGTCTCGGGGACGATCCGAGACCGAGCTTCGGCTCCGGCTCCGGCTCGAGGTCGCTCCCCAGCGTAGTGGTGGCGGGCACCGGCCCGTGCACTACCGACGCACAATTTTCCCTAGCGGAGCCAGACGCCTCTTCCGAGGCCGAGGCGTCCACTAGTGGATACCCAGCCCGGAGCCAGGTTGGTTCCCTTTGTCTCGGGGACGATCCGAGACCGAGCTTCGGCTCCGGCTCGAGGTCGCTCCCAAGCGTAGTGGTGGCGGGCACCGGCCCGTGCACTACCGACGCACAATTTTCCCTAGCGGAGCCAGACGCCTCTTCCGAGGCCGAGGCGTCCACTAGTGGATACCTAGCCCGGAGCCAGGTTGGTTCCCTTTGTCTCGGGGACGATCCGAGACCGAGCTTCCCCAGCGTAGTGGTGGCGGGCACCGGCCCGTGCACTACCGACGCACAATTTACCCTGGCGGAGCCAGACGCCTCTTCCGAGGCCAAGGCTTTCACTAGTGGATACCTAGCCCAGTGCCAGGTGGGTTCCCTTGAACCTCCGGCACCTCGGCACCGGGACTCGGCCTCGGGCCGGGTGCAGAGACACGTGCGGGACAGGATTGTCCATGTACTGCCTCAGGTTGCTGCGCCCATGCCAGAGTCGGAGACACCAAACTTGACTAAGGTCAAGCAGGGCCGGCGGTTGCCCCCCCTTTCCCGTGTGCGGTGCGGAGTTGAAGGCTGCTTACATATGCTTCGAGGAGCAATATCATAATGCATGCCAACAGCTCCGTGTGTCCGTACACTCCGCGTATCTGTCGGCTGTACAGAGGGAGTTAGCGGGAGAGGGGCCGGCCGACTCTTCGGAGTTGGCCGCGCAACTAACATTATCTTGCGCGGGACGCTATTCGTAGCTGTGCATCGCAGATGTTGTGCGCTGTTATGTGCATGCGCAGGCGGTGGATGTCGGTATCTAAATACTCGACTTACACACGCCAAGACCTACTTGCTTTGCCGTATAAGAGGGTGCCACCCTCTTCCCTGGGGCTCAGCAGGCGGTCCGAGAGGCTGCTCAATTGTATACTTCCATCAAAGACTCATAAGGCCTTGTTGGAGGTACCAAGCGTTAAAACCGCGTAAGCGGGCCTCTCCAATTGTCCCCTCCTACGCTAACGCACGGGTCAGACGTCCACACCTGCTTGGAAGCCGCCGCTTCCTTCAGGTATAAGGGCGCCGTGAGGAGCAAGAGAGGCACGGGCCGGGGCAAGGCAGCTGGTCGAGGCCAACAGCTTTTTCGCGGGGCTGGGAACGATGGGTTCCCATTAGCGCCCGAAGAGCCCCGGGTGAACCCATAGTCGCAAGTTATCGGGAAAACTCATCCGCTCCTCCACTTTTCCGGGATAAAGCACACACCGGTGCCTGCTACCCGAGAGAAGGCGGAATTCCTCCGTGCCGAGGTCGACGCACTTCTTATGAAAGCTGCGATCGAACCGGGTCCCGAGGGACAGGAAAGCGAGGGCTTCTACTCGACTTGTTTCCTAGTCACCAAACAGTGATCTCAACTGTCGAGACAGGAGAATGGCTAACGTCAATAGACTTAAAATACGCCTATCTCCACATACCAATACATCCAGAGTTCAAGAAATACCTGAGGTTTTCTTTCGACGGGAGGTGTTATCAGTTCAGGGTTCTACCATTCGGGATCTCCACGGCCCCGAGGGTGTTCACCAAGCTGATGTTGATTCCCGCCCAAGTGGCCAGGTCAAAAGGTCGGTTCTGCCATCCGTACCTCGACGACTAGGTTACTAAGAGCTCTATTGCAATCCCTGAGTCAGATAGCTACACAACAAGTGATAGATATTCTGATCACTCTAGGGTGGATGGTCAATCTCAAGAAGTCAGATCTGAGCCCCACTCAGAATCTAGTCTTCCTAGTGGCTAATTTCAACACGGTGAGAGGACGTGTATCTCTGTCACAAGATATCAAGTCCCTTAAGCGCAAGTCACACTGCTCGTACATGGCTCCAGTTACTGGACAACATGGCGGCGACAGTGGATTTGGTCTGGCGGGCGCGCTTGAGAATGAGTCCCATTCAACAAGCACTCCGTCGACTTTGGGCGAACTCGGAAGATCTCGAGACTGTGCTCGAGACTCCGTAGTGGCTCATTACACACCTCCAGTGGTGGACCGAGGTCGGGAATCACTCCCGTTCCGTCTCTCACAGTTCAAACAGCGCGTCACTCTCCGGCTGGGGAGGCGTTCTGAATGATCACACTGCCTCGGGACTATGGTCCCAGCAGGAGATCAAACTGCATATCAATGTGCTAGAACTGAGAGCGGTCAGGTTGGTGTTCCAACGCTTCCCGAATCTGCTTCGTGGCCAAGTGGTTCGTCTAGAGATGGACAACCAAACGGCGATGACTTACATCCGGAAGCAGGGGGGAACGGCGTCTCCGTCGCTTCGACGAAAGACGTGGCAGTTCCTACTATAGTGCGACTCTCACGATATCAGGGTGCTACCTGTTTATCTCCCGGGGGTGGACAACGTCCGTGCGGACGCTCTGTCTTGCCGGATCCTCGCTCCTCACGAGTGGAGGCTCGACCCGGGGATATTCGGGATTTTCTCCCTGTTATACAGGTCGTTACAGGTGGATCTGTTTGCGTCTGGGTTAAATAACCAGACACCAACGTTCTGCTCCCGAGTCCACGACCCGAGGTCGGTGGCACCGGACGCCTTTCAGCTAGATTGGACGGACAGTTCTGTGGGCATTCTCCCCAGTACCTCTGATTTCCAAGGTCCTGTCTCAGCTAGGCACTCAGCCTGCGCGACTAATTGTGCTCCTGGCACCTCTTTAGTCGGCGCAGAGTGGGTTTCCAGTAATACTCAGGTTTCTGGCTCAGCCTCCTGTTATATTACCTTTACGACCGGACCTCCTATCCCAGAACGGGGCCCTCCACCCGAATCTCAGGATTCAATGGGTGGCTTGGCCACTGTCAGGAATCGCCTCCAGAAGAGCGGTATTCCTGAACGAGTTGCAGACACAATACTGGCTTCGCGGAGGGATTCGACAAACGTTCAGTACGATAGATAGGCCTGCTATGCGCCCAGGTGTGTCGATAGAGGGATTGCAGATCTTTTTTCTGCAGATCTCGTATCCGTGCTTGAGTTTCTCCAGTCGCGACTAGATGACGGCCTGGCCGCATCAACAGTCCGAGGGTACTCTACAGCTATCGCAGCTTTTCACGTCCCTGTCGACGGGGCACTTCTGGGTGCACACCCATTAGTGCAGCGCTTTTTAGCAGGTGTGGACAGGATCCGACCGCCAGTCCGGCGGATCAGTCCCCCTTGGGACTTGTCAATCATTCTAGATTGGCTGTCCGGTCCTTCCTTTCGGGATCTGTCGTCTCTCTCTCTTCAGCTGTTGAGCTGGGAGACGGCGTTCCTTGTGGTGGTAACGTCCGGCAGACGGGTAGGCGACATTCGTGTTATGTCAGCCGATCCCAAAATAACTGTCTCCCATGGGGTCGATAAATATCACCGGGACAGTCAGTTTTCGTCTACCGGACTATTACCGTCCTAGGGTCGCACACGATTCCACGCTCCTATTGAGCTACCCGCTCTTTCACAGCCTTCCTCGTCGGGGACCACTGCAAGACATGCTCATGTCTTGGATGTCCGCACGACTCTCAAGGCCTATATCAGCAGAAATATGGGTGTCCGTAAGGATAACCAACTATTTTGCTGTTACTGCGGTAGGAAGGTTGGCTCACCTGCGAGTAAACAATCTATCTCGAGGTGGATAGTTTCAAACATTTGTACAGCGTATACGCTTACAGGCAGGGACCCCCCTACCAGGTTGAAGGCTCATTAGGTTAGAGCAGTGGCTGCGTCAAAAGCGTACGCCGCGGCTCTGCCCATTGAGCAGATCTGCTCCGCGGCTATTTGGAGCCAGCCGAGCACGATTCATCAAACCTTACCAACTCGACAAACACTCAAGCGAGCGTACTCGGTTTGGTCAGTCAGTTCTCCGAACTGGGCAAAGTTCTAATCTCTAGCTGATTGAGCATTCGAGATTTTAGACAGTCTTCCGGTTATACTGCTCAGTAATGGTCCGGATTTTATCTTCTGCGGTCGATAAATATCAGTCCTTACTACTCGATAATACTCGTATTTTGCGCACGCACTCCTTCGATCCTCGGGGACCCTCTGGCCTAGCTCAGCGCTGGTTATGGTCTCTCGTGATCTACGCCCTTATATCACTTGTTCAAAAAAGTGTGGGGGGGTGGGAGGTGTTTCGAGTTCTCAACTTATGACAAGCCGCAAAAACAGGCTTTATCATAATATATGGTCGACCACGCCCTGTCTCTAGCCCCCGCCTTTCGACGGTGGTGCCTCACGATAAGGTTGGTTCCATTTATTGAACTCAATATTTTATTCTGTTGAATAATCAAATACGATGTATTTATTTACGCCTGTTGCTGACGGATGCCACTTCCTAGATTATCTTTGGGAGTCTGTCTTGATGCAATAAGTGCCCCAAGGAGGATTTAATCAGAAAGAGAATTTTACAAACCTGTAGAGGTTATGAATTCTCTGATGAAATCCTCCTTGGGGCACGGCCACCCACCTCCCCACATTCCGTCAGCATTTGACATATGGAAAGTGATTTGGGTGAGAGTTGCTCCCCCTGGCGTGAGGCGCCGTTGGGGGTGAGGCCCCGTAAGGGTGGTCGTATATCATACAAAAACGAAGTTTTTTGTGTGGTAACATTTTTTATTAAGGAAAATGGTTACAACTATGTCATATAGATTTTCTTGAGCAAGGAAAATGCAATAAGTGCCCCAAGGAGGATTTCATCAGAGAATTCATAACCTCTACAGGTTTGTAAAAATATACCAGTGGATTGTCAACTTTCCATCTGGCATGCAACTATTCAAAACTGACAGTCCGAAAGCAAAATAGAACATTTCGGGCTGTCAGGCAGGTGGGTGTGTTAAACACTGATGTTGGTGAGGAATCATGCAGTGTAATCAACAAGCAATGGTATAGAGAATAAATAAATTATTCGTGAAGTCTGGATCATCTTATCTGGCTTCACCTGTGTACTAGCCACAGATAGATGCAACATTGTTGATGTGGCTTTGAGCAAATACCATTCTCTCACTTACCTACCTGCATTAAATATATCTGGAGAGCACTGTTCAATGTATATCAACTGCATCCGTGGTGTGGTGGGTCGAATGTCAGCCTGGAGAACAGAAAGCCACTGGTTCATGTCATACCAAAAGACGGTAAAAGCTGGTACTTGTTACCCTGCCTGGCGCTCTGCATTAAGTAGATAAAACAAGGACTGGTCAGCTCAGGGTCACTTGTGTAGACTGAACAACAAATTTGTATGTAGCGAGCAGGGCTTCTCCTTTCAGAGGTTACTGGCCCTTCTCCAAACTAACTGGCCCAAAACTAACTATTGGAGGCCATGAATGAGATACCCAGGGGGCTCTGAAAATTTTAGAACTCATCACCAGTAAACTGCCATTTCCTGCACTCTGAGATTATGTGCTGGCTTCCATTTGCCTCATTTCGTGGCAATTTAATGAGCAAATAAAGATGTTGTTGTACACAACGTTGCAAAATGGCCACCAGTTGTGTCATTCTACCAAGATGATCTTTGAGTTCACCATTCATCCCCGCTAAATATGTGATTCGAAATTATGTGATTCACGAGCAGTGTGCAACTTTAAAAATTAAACATACACAGAGAAGGGGTGAACTTTTGACTAGCCAGGTGGGCCAACAACTTTGTGTTTTTTTAACTGGCCGTGGGCCAATGGGCAAGCAGTTAAATCGACCCCTGGAGTCAGGGTATAATGTGTCTGAGTGGGGTTCCATGTTAAACTATGATATTGTATCTCGGTGGGCTAGCTGTATGAAAGTCCAGACTAGTACAAGCAGCCACACACGTCGCTTTATGAGGGAAATAATCTTGGACTTGAGGTTAAACCCATGTCACCTCACCTTGATGTGTATCCCTTTCAAAAGTTGATTAGTTTATGAAAAAGTCTTCCTGATTTGTCTTTACAGAGTAAGACGTATGATTCAGTCACTGACAAGTTCATGGACTTCTCGTTTGAAAAGGTAAAACAAGACTTAAGTTTTCTATGTTTCTTTGTAATCACCGATAATGAATGTTTTGTTTTTAATGTCAAGTAACAGTTCCAGATTGTACCGATGATTGTAGGAGTTGACACTACCACTTGTCTGATCTCAGTGAAAATCTGGGAGGATGAGTACTTTTCTGAAAAATATGTTTAATAATGTTAATAACACAAGTCTCTGGATTAAGAATGGGCTATTCCTGTATTTGCCCCTATATTTGTCCCCAGACAAACAGTGCCTACATGCTGTTCTATGAGAGATGTCCCAAGGGCAAGAAGCCTGAGGAAATCTTAGACAGCGCAGAGGAGAGAAAGAAATTCAATTTTGAATTGTCGAAGGACCTCGGTGATGTGAGTATCTAGATCTCTTCTCATGCTACAGGGGCGGTCGGGCAGCCTAGTGGTTAAAGCGTTCGCTCGTCACGCCCAAGACCCGGGTCCGATTCCTCACATGGGTACAATGTGTGAAGCCCATTTCTGGTGTCCTCCGCCGTGATATTGCTGGAATATTGCTAAAAGCGGCATAAAACCATACTCACTCACTCACTCACTTACTCATTACGACAGTGATAGAAATTGGCACTAGTCCTATAGTCCTTGCCAAGCAACACTTAGTTACAGTGTCATAGGGACTAGTAGAAATTTGACGTTTTAAAAGCTTTTGCTATATGTTGTCATTTTCAGGACTAGTGGACTAAATATGTTAGTTTCTACCGCTGTTATGATTGGTTAACTCACGACTGATGTTTGCAGTCAGAGGACTACACACGATCCCAACTATTAAGAATACAGCCTTGTAGTTTAACCAAGCTCTGATTTTAAGAAAATATTCCACATAATGTTACCTTGCGCTAAAGTCTGAGATCTCTCAGTTCATTGAAAATTTGAAAGTTAAATGACAGTTTAAACAAAACCTTTGGTAATTGTGAAAAGATGTAACTAATGTTGAGAGTACCATTGGTGTATGAAGTCTATTCTCGGAATCATAGACTGCAATAACAAGATGGCTATTCTTGACTTCCTGGTCATATTTCAGTGGATCTGGCAAGACAATACTCAGTTTCTACAGGACAAGAATCTCTTCGAACACACCTACTTCGGGTAAGTGACAACACGCATACTTCCTTCCGTTGTATACTTCCCTGTGGATATTCCGGGGTGAGAGTTGGTACCCGGCAACCTTTCCCGGTCGGTGGGTGATTTAATGGATAGCCAGGTCCGACTCGGTAAATGAATGCCTTGCTAACCCCACAGTATGGATCGTTGTTCACGATATTAATCACTGGATTGTCTGGTCCAGACTCAGTTATTTACAGGCTGTGGTCATGTAGTTTGAATATTGCTGAGTATGGTATGAGTAAACAACAAACTGAATTGGTTACTTATGTCATTGTACCCCGGTGACTTGTTGTATAGGTACTTAATGTCATTGTACCCTGGTGACTTGTATAGTTACTTAATGTCATTGTACCCCTGTGACTTGTATAGTTACTTAATGTCATTGTACCCCGGTGACTTTTTCAGTTACTTAATGTCATTGTACCCCGGTGACTTGTATAGGTACTTAATGTCATTGTACCCCGGTGACTTGTATAGTTACTTAATGTCATTATACCCTGGTGACTTGTATAGGTACTTAATGTCATTGTACCCTGGTTACTTGTATAGGTACTTAATGTCATTGTACCCCAGTGACTTGTATAGGTACTTAATGTCATTGCACCCCGGTGACTTGTATAGGTACTTAATGTCATTGTACCCCGGTGACTTGTATAGGTACTTAATGTCGTTGTACCCCGGTGACTTGTATAGGTACTTAATGTCGTACCCAGGTGACTTGTATAGGTACTTAATGTCATTGTACCCCTGTGACTTGTCTAGGTACTTAATGTCATTGTACCCCGGTGACTTGTATAGGTACTTAATGTCATTGTACCCAGTGACTTGTATAGGTACTTAATGTCATTGTACCCCGATGACTTGTATAGGTACTTAATGTCGTTTTACCCAGGTGACTTGTATAGGTACTTAATGTCGTACCCAGGTGACTTGTATAGGTACTTAATGTCATTGTACCCAGGTGACTTGTATAGGTACTTAATGTCGTACCCAGGTGACTTGTCTAGGTACTTAATGTCATTGTACCCCGGTGACTTGTCTAGGTACTTAATGTCATTGTACCCCGGTGACTTGTCTAGGTACTTAATGTCATTGTACTCCAGTGACTTGTATAGGTACTTATGTCATTGTACCCCGGTGACTTGTATAGTTACTTAATGTCATTGTACCCCAGTGACTTGTATAGTCACTTAATGTCATTGTACCCCGGTGACTTGTATAGTTACTTAATGTCATTGTACCCCAGTGCCTTGTATAGGTCTTTTGTACAACATAAGTCTACTGAAGTACATTTGTAGTACCACCCCGACTTGTTCCCTGAGTTCAGAGATAATGTAACAGATGTTGTTGCTGTGTGTGCAGGTTCATGTGGCAGATCTGCGGCTACATCACCACGACGCTACCCAAGGATGACAACAGCATCGTCCCCCTCAAGGCAGCCCAACTCTCCACATCGTTTGTCCTGGAAACACTCATTCATGCCAAAGAAAAGGTAAGACATCCACAAAGGGTAAAATATTAATGACAACATTCTGATTAATAAGGGGGCACAGGTGGCCCAGTTGTCTAAGGCACCGCGATTCGCTGTGCAGAGTTGCGTCCCTTGGACACGCCAGAAACCTATGATTGTGGGTTCGAATCCCGGTTCGCCCCGATTATGTTTCTAGGTTTGTCAGCACCATACCCGTGCTCGTGGATTTCACCGAAGTGGTAAACGTCTGATACCTGCATCACTTCAGACTTTCCTCCCACATTAAGCTGACACGCCGCGATATAACTGTAATACTGTTAAAAGCGGCGTTAAATCCTACTCACTCACTCTGATTGATAATGCTGTTGAGGCTCTACGGCATGGTGGTCCTGATTATTCACATTTCTGATGCCATTGTAATAATTTTCTTATTAAACTCTGACCTAAAAGGGCTGGGATATATAGTTATATAGTTATACCAAGGAATTCCGTCCGTCCATCTTTCTGAGGACATTTTTTTGTGTGACCTACAACTTGAAAACTCCTGAATAGTTTATTTTCAAACTTAGTTGACACTTTCTCTACCTATGGCAGATCTACGTTAGATTTTGATTTGTATATTTTCTGAGAAAAAACAAATTTTTTATTTTATTTTTTGCTTTAACATTTGTTCAACCTATAACTTCAAAACTACTTCATAGATTCTTAGCCAATTGTACAGTTTCTATCCCCATAAGAGAGGTGCATTGCAAGGTTTGATTTTGATAAGTGGATTTTCTGAGAAAATATTGTTTATTTTATGTTTTGAACTTAGTAACATGTAACATGGAGGGTATTAGTGAGCCCTGCTCACTTTTTGCCTTGTTTTGATAATCTTGATTGTATCTCTTCATTAAGGACAAGAGGAGCAACAGATTGTTTTTAAAAACCCATGTCTGCCGTTGTTTCAGCCCACCATGTTACAGTGGATTGAGCTGCTCACCAAACAGTTCAACTCCTGCCCAGCCGCTTGTGAGGTGAGTCTCTGTTCTTAATGGACTGGGGGAAATAAGTCAAACATAGGTCACTCAACATGCATATCATCATATCCCAATTGCACAGATTGATGCTCATGACATCAATCACTGGATTGTCTGGTTCAGACCCTGAAGATCCGGGGTAGAATAGGTCTTCAGCAACCCATGCTTGCCGTAAAAGGCGACTATGCTTGTCGTAAGAGGCGACTAACAGCGACTAACGGCCTCTACACTGATCAAACGTGGTGTTCCAAATAAGGCAAGGAAGTCAAGTCAGTGTTTGAAAGTAAGGGGGTTCCTGGGGTCCTGGGGTCCTTCAGGTCTTCTATGGTATTTGAATCAAGACCCACTAAATCCTTAACTTTTATCATTAGGTTATAACCCTAATGTTACAAATAAAGTTTTAATGGGTCCATGGGTTCAAGTACTAAACAGTAGACTTCAAGAAACCTAGGATCATTCATAATAATTGTAGATCTGTGAAGATCCGGGGTAGAATAGGTCTTCAGCAATCCATGCTTGTCATAACAGGTGACTGTGCTTGTCGTAAGAGGCGACTAACGGGATCGGGTGGTCAGGCTCGCTGACTTGGTTGATGCATGTCCCAATTGCGTAGAATGATGCTCATGATATCAATCACTGGATTGTCTGGTCCAGACTCGATTATTTACAGACCGCCGTTACATAAATGGAATATTGCTGAGTGCAGCATTAAACAACAAACCGTCAACCAAACCACTTGACATTCTAGCTAGCTGGTCACAAGGTGAAGAACATGAGACTGAGGGTAGTGATTGGGTTGCTTGTTAAACTCTTAGAGATGGAACACTTCCTTGGTTGTATACTTGTATGGCCCCTATGTGTATCTGTAAAATGGGGATTGGTTGTCCCGGACTTGGCTGACCGCCGTCATATAGCTGGGATATTGCTGAGTGCGGCGTAAAACAACAAACCAACAACAACAATAAAGCCTTGGCTAGTCACGACGAAGACTCGGGTTTGATTCCCGACATGGGTAGAATGTGTGAAGCCCATTTTCCGGTGTACTCCGCCATGATATTTGCTGGACGTAAAACCATATTCACTCACTCACTGTGACCAGTGTTGTCTTCATGTGTTGTGTTGATGTTGCAGTGGTTCCTGGACCACATGGCTGACAGCGACTGGTGGCCCCAGCAGATACTCATCAAGTGTCCCAACCAGATGGTCAGACAGGTAAGTACACACCTGTAGGGGGGAGGGAATCAAATATTTACATGTTTAATATTGATTTGTTGAAGTGTAATGTATTAAAAAATATTTGTGTAATCGAGAGTTTTGATACACATTGGTTTGGTTTTTCATTTGTATTTTGGGGTATTCAGGACAATAAAGAAAATCCTCAACCATATTATATTAATTTGTTGTATTATTTCAGATGTTCCAGAGGTTGGTGATTCATGTGATTGGTCAGTTGCGCCACTCCCACTTCGATCTCTACATGCAGCCAATTGTGGAGAGGTGAGAACTGTTTTGTCATCTAATTTTAATTAGACTTAGATGAAATGTTGAAATGACTAATTGTTAAGTTCTCTTTTCAGAATAGTAAATCGTTATTGGCTCCTGATTTAATTTATGTTCATGTTCATGTGTTGCTGGTGTTGCAGTGAGGATGGTGTTGTGGATGTGACGGAGATAGGGAACAGGTCGTGTGTGACAAGGTTCATCAAGAAGATGCTCACCATCGTAAGTCACGATCTGATTATGCTCTCAGTCCATGGTCCATAGATGCAGGAGTCAATTAATTAATTTCTTTATTCAGTAATGTAGGAAAGACCACAGGCATATTCATATGCAATTTAATGAAAATAATTTTCAATTTAACATTTTCACTTATTTCAAGCACATGTAAATATTGAAAAACACTGTGTTGGGGGAATAGGTCAGTTTTGTTTCTCGCATTCAGTTGAGTAGAGAGAGTCCTGTATGGGTGCAAACAGGTGTGTGTCCATGTGCCACCCCATGTTAAAACAAAATAATCCCTGTCACTGATTATTTTCACTATAAGTTATTTAAGCACATATAGTCTTTATTTGAGAAGTGGCGTAACAGTTTCATGTTCAACTTTAAGATTTCAGAATCATACTTCTATATATTTACATAGCCAGTGCCTTGATCTTGGAAGATTTAGTGAGATGTAACTATTCGTACTATTGTGATGTATTTATATATCATGCCCTATATGCTGGACCCTTATATGACAATGACCATTACCATGTATTTGTCTTGTAGATCGAACACGGTGTGCGGCCACACAGCAAGTACCTGACAGAGTACTTCGCCTTCCTGCTGGAGTTTGCCAAGACGGGGGAGGAGGAGTGTAACTTCCTCATCAGCATCAACGCCATCTCCACCATGATCGCCTTCTACATGGGTCAGAAGGCCCAGGAGAATTACGTAAGTTGGACGACAGTTGGGGTCTGGTGGTCAAGCTCTGTGACTTATCATCTTGCCCTTTGCTCATACTTTTGTCATGATACTTGTTTGTTTGGGACTTGGTGATTTACAGGACACAGTGTTGTATAGCTGTGTACAACATTCACTCTCTCAGTGATCTCAATGATTGGAGAGGAAGTCAGTGTTTACAGCAAAATTATTCCGATCTTTCCTCTCAAAGGTACCATATCTGACGTGTTCCGTGACCATAACATTATTTTTATTGCAACCCAAAGCTAGATGGCTAACTCATTCTTTAATCTCTCGTTTCTCCAGCTATATTACCCATAGAGCATCTTATGTCTGCAAGTTGAATGTCTCAGTGCCTTGAGGATGTATTGATCTGCTTGTGAGGAGGCTGACAGTTCCGTGAAAACAGACTTGAGTTTTGGATTTGACCTCTTTATTTTTACAGTGTGACATTTTGGTAAGGTGCTTGTTGCTCTCTCAGTACACTGCTAGATACTGATGTCTTGTAAAGTAAATGTGGCTTATTTATTTCCTTTCTGCCTGTAGGTCGAGATCCTGTCTGACGATGATGAAGAAGAAGATGTGATCTCCCTGACGGATGACAACTACCGCCCCATGTCCCTGGAGAAGATGATCTCATTGATAGCTCTCCTGGTGGAGAAGTCTCGGGCAGAAAAACAGTTGCATCTCTCGGAGAAGGACTACAACTCCATCATAGGGGGCAAGGTGAGGAGGAGTAGGATTCAGGGCTGGGACAAGCTTCACAGAGCCGTTGTAGCACGAAGACTGCCTTAAGTCTGTGTTTACATATAGAAATTATGATATGTAGCACGAAGACTGCCTTAAGTCTGTGTATACATATAGGAGTTATGATACGTAGCACGAAGACTGCCTTAAGTCTGTGTTTACATATAGGAGTTATGATACGTAGCACGAAGACTGCCTTAAGTCTGTGTTTACATATAGGAGTTATGATACGTAGCACGAAGACTGCCTTAAGTCTGTGTAGACATATAGGAGTTATGATACGTAGCACGAAGACTGCCTTAAGTCTGTGTATACATATAGGAGTTATGATACGTAGCACGAAGACTGCCTTAAGTCTGTGTTTACATATAGGAGTTATGATACGTAGCACGAAGACTGCCTTAAGTCTGTGTTTACATATAGGAGTTGAGATACTTGTAGCATTATGATTGCTTTGTGAAACAGATCAGGGCTGTATCTTCTCACGTATAATGCACATATTTAACCAAAACATACAGCTGTGTGGTGTGGGGTGTGCATTGTACATGTAGACAATGAGGTTTTTTTTTCCACACTTGCACAGAATTATCTCAGTGCTAAAACTTTTCTAACTCATCAACATACACTTAAAATAGTTGTAGCACCAGGATCACTTTGTGCAAGTCGGCTGCTGCTTGGCCCAGCAACTTATTCTTGTCAAGAGCTTTACTTGGCTGGAATGTGTCCTATGATCCCATGCTGCTTGTAGAGAGAGACCAAGTTGAGACATAGGCAGTTGTTCATGCAGTGCTCTGTAGTATAATCACCTGGAGAATCCTGGACCAATTTCTCACTACGATCTTAGTAACAAAGACTGTCTTAACTTATCAAACATAGATATCTTTGTGGACTGGCCCTGCTCTCCAAACTGCCCAGTGTGTTATCCTGTCATCGTTCAACCTTTAATTCATGCTCATATTATTACCTATATTGCAATTTTGAACAAATTTACAATATGTTATGATTTTTTTAATGGCATTATTGACAGTGTTGTCATGATATTCTATTTCATTTGTCCTTTCAGGGCTTTCCATTCCTGTTCAATCAAATCCGAGACAATATCAACATCCGGCAGTCGTGCAATCTCATCTTTAGTTTAACAAGATATAATGAAACACTTGCAGTTGCAGTAAGTATTTAACACTAAGATATTAACTGTTTGATTGGCATTCTAGGAGTTGGTGAGTTAATAAGAAAACATACAACTCTATGGATGAAAACTTTTGTTTTATTACATTAGCGAGTTTCGATGTTCAAGTAGATTCTTACTCCGCTCTCAAACTGGAATGAGAACGGTGTAAGAGTCTACATTGTAACTTTGCCAAAGAATATAAACCAGAAGTTGTCATCCATGAAGTTGTATGTTTACTTATTAACTAAGATGTTGATTATGTGTAAAGAATAATTCAATTTTATATCTGTATGTTACGTTCAATGTAAAAACGAGGTAAAGCTGTTTGTGGTCAGCATCATCGATTAGTGATTGAAAGGTCGGGAGGCCATGTTGTAAGTGTTTGGAAATGGGTGTGGGCAAATAACTCCAGAAAATGTGGATTGATGTGGACTAAATTCATTTTGTAGACATGTGATGTGCTTCCCAATGCAATAAATATTACTAATGTAATGGGGGTTTTTGCCGTTTTTCTGGAGTGTTACACATTGCAATGTCATGGTGCTCAATTACATTAAGTAATACGTTACCACTGTTATACCGAGGCTGTTGTCTCCCACAACTGCTGCTATAGCGAAATCTACCACAGAGATCTCAATTACCTCATGCAGCACGTGCGTAGCCACCTAGCTGCCATGTGACACCCTTCACTCTTGTCTCCTTCGTCTGCTTAGCAAGACGTGTTTTCTCCTGCTGAAGCGTTCCTTGAAGATTTGGTGATATTTATTATAGTTTATTCTCTAATAAACTGTGCTTTTATGGGGCGTTGCGGTAGCTACGCTTGGTTATAATTTTCCCGCCAAACGGAAAATTTTTCCCGCCCTTTTTTCTATATACTTGCGGGGTTCGCGTATGCACGTTGTGTTTTACGTTTCCCCTGTTCTTGTATGTTTTGGGGGTTAACATAACTTATTTCTTTAATAAAAGTTATATGTGTATGTTATATGTTCACATTGCTCGTTTATTTTCTTGTGAAAATGTTCGTTTGTGAATCATTGTGGTGCGTGCATTGTAACCATGTTTTGTTCTTTGTTTATAGCAAACAATCAATGTCTGACATGGATATGTCCCCAGTATCCACCCCCTCTACCCCTGCTCCTCGGAGTTATGGGGTGTGCAGAAAGTTTTTGTCGTCCCGGGATCCCCACGTTCGTTGCCCGCGGTGCAGGGTTCCTTGCGGGGACACCCGGTGCATCCTGTGCGAAGGTCTGGGGCCTGCGGATTTTGAGCGGTACCGGCTGTACGTACAGTCCGTCTCCACCCCTGTGGTGGCCGGTTCGTCCGGTCAGGGTCCCCGTGCGGGTACCACCTCCTCGGCTGCGGCGGATCCCCTTGCGGCCCTCGGGCTGTCTGGGGATTCCGTCGCCGCATTGTTGTCGAAACTTGTGGATTCCATGCTGGCGGCCTTATCGCAAGATAGGCCGCTGGCTGTTCCGTCCCCGGCCTCTTCGGTGGCCGCGGGGTCGGACGCGGGGTCCACCGGTAAAGCGGCGGATCTCTTGGCGGCCCGTGTGCTGTCCGGGGATTCCGTCGCTGCATTACTTGCATAACTTGTGGACTCCAAGCTGGCGGCCTTATCTCAGGATAGGCCGCTGGCTGTTCCGTCCCCGGCCACTTCGGTGGCCGCGGGGTCGGACGCGGGGTCCACCGGTACGGCGGCGGCTCCCGTGGTCACCGGTCCTTCCCCCGAACCGTTGCTCCCGCTATCGGTTTAGGACCGCGTGGCCATGGTTTATGACCTCTTTGAGGACATGCCCCGGCCGGTACCGCGGGGAATCCACGACTGTGGGTTCCTCCGAGGTATACGATGAGTCTTCCGACTCGGCTTTCCCCGCATCAACCTTGCTGCGCGGTTTCAAGCCTTCCTTGGAGAACGCCTTCGCGGCGGCCTCCGGTCGGGGTCTCCCGTTGCCTCCGACGTCGTGGAGAAAGGGTTTATTCCCGGTACATGACCTTGCCTTTCCCGAGGCTGGTCCTACCGCGGAGGCCCATGTTGAGCGGTTGGGTGTCCGTGCCCCACCGGCTGCTACGGTAACGCAAGCTACCTTGCACCAGCTGGACGCCCTCGCTCGGCACTCCATGTCTCACGGAGACACTTACTTGGCTGCAGCGGCCCGTCTGGTCGAAGGTTCTCCCACGGACCGTGACCAGCGCATTTACAACTGCCTGCTCAGTTTAAATGCTTCCCTGGAGTACGTTGCCGAGGACTCTCGGCACACACTTGCTCTTGTTGGGTCCCTGCATAGGCGCCTGGGTGCCGCTCCTAACCGGAGCGCGCCCCAGGCTGCTGCGGCCGGTAGGTCTAAGGGGTCGGGTTCTTCTTCCTCTGGGAAGTAGCCCCGCCCTGAGGGCTCCGGTATGGGCAATCAGCTGCCCTTTCGCGGGAAAACGGGGAACTGGGGGAAGCCCAAGTCGTCGACGGACGGCAAGGGCCCCTCCAGGTGACTCTCATTGGAGGGGTTCGTATGCCGACAGCGCCAACTTCGGTTGGCCCTTAGGCGAACCCGAGTCACTTGGCCCTGGACAGTTGCGCCTGCCGCAACCTGTCAGGGCCCCCTCTCCTTCCCCAGTGGGAGCCAGACTCCAGACTTACTGGGAGAATTGGGAACAAGTGTTCGACGACCCGTGGGTGGTCAACACGATTCGGTACGGCTATCGGCTTGATCTCAAAGCGAATCCGCCGCTCACCGTTGCCCCGTTGGCAGGTTTCGATTCGGAAACCGATCTTCCCATCCTCGCCGATGCCATCGGCAGGTTGGTGGAGAAGGGGCAGTACGGGAGTTAGCTCTACCAGAAATAACACCGGGGTTTTACTCCAGGATATTTCTCGTTCCCAAGTAGGACAGTGCCGAACTCAGAATGATTCACACGTCCGCTCCCTGGCTGTTCACCCGGTTAACCACCCCCATAGTGGGGTTCCTCCACAGGAGGGGTGTCCGGTACTTCGCGTACCTGGACGACTCGCTAGTAGCAAATCGAATGACGGACACCCTGTCACGCCATCTCGATTTCGCACGTCGGCTCTTGGAGCAATTTGGGTGGATTATCAATCTCCCCAAGAGCGAGTTAACCCCTTCTCAGAACTTGCTGTTCATCGGAGGTCGGTTCAACACGGTGTCCCATCTCCTCTTTGTCCCCCCAGACCGGTGGCACAAAATTCAGGCGATGATTGCTAAAGTCTTAGCGGTGTAACAGACTGTTCACTTTTGGGAACAGCTGTTAGGGCTACTTGTATCAGCCCAGGACTGCACCGCACGGGGTCGTCTCCAACTCCGCCCGCTGCAACGGTTTTTAATCCAGTTGCTAGCAACGGAGGTGAACAGTGCGACCGTCGCCCTCCCGGATCGGCTCCGACCGCATCTGGAGTGGTGGACGGTCCCTTACATTGTCTTATCAGGAGTCTCTATGCGGCCCTACCGGGCCACGTTGACCCTGTATACAGACGCCTCTCTAGTGGGCTGGGGCGCCCATCTAAAGGGGGAGGTGAGCTCGGGGCTGTGGTGCGTAGACGAACTAGGTCTTCACATCACTTGTCTCGAGTTCAAGGCAGTGATCAACGCAGTCAATCACTGGAAGCATCGTCTCGTCGACGCCCGGCTCATGCTGGCGACCGACAACACGACGGTAGTGTCCTATGTGAACAAACTGGGGGGAACCCACAGTCACTCGCTACTCGATCTCACGTTCGAGTTTTACGCTCTGGTGGACAGTGTCCCGTGCCAGTTACGCGCCCGTCACATCCCAGGTGTGCGGAACGTACTGGCCGATGCTCTATCGAGGCCTCAGGATCCGAGCCCCACAGAGTAGATGCTGAACCCAGTAGTGTTTCAGTGGCTGTGCGAACGTTTGGGTCGTCCGATGGTCGACCTGTTCGCAACGCGGTTCAACAATCAACTCCCGTTGTTTGTATCACCAATCCCGGACCCGAGGGCCATCGATCCCGATGCTCTCGCGTTAGACTGGACGGGCTTGGTCGCTTATGCTTACCCGCCGACAGCGTTGATACCACACATTCTAAGCCGGCTCCGAGGAGTTCGCTGTCGAATGTTACTGATCGCGCCCATGTGGCCGAACAGATCGTGGTACCCCGACTTGCTGACCCAGGTCACGCAGTCGCCACTTCCACTGCCTGTGAGACCGGATCTCTTGATCCACCCTCACACCCGTCAGCTTCATCCAAACGCAGGGCAGTTCAATCTGCACGCGTGGATGTTGTCACCGAGCGTCTGTGGAGTAAAGTTTTTTCTCGCCGGGCGTCTCGGGCATACGTTAGTATGCATCGTGATTCTACCCAGAAGGTGTATAATGCACGTTGGGTTATTTTCACGAAGTGGTGTTGTAAACATCACATTCATTCGCCAGATAAGGTATCTGTGCGGGATATTGCTCGTTTCATGTCTCACTTGCGAGAGACCCGGAAACTCTCCGGGGGTTCCATTGCCAACTATGTCTCGTCCGTTGCTACGGTACGGGACGTTGCTATGGGTACCAGTCTCTCCAATGAGCCGGTGTTACGGGGTATTATCAAGGGTTTCAATCAGCACGATCTTAAGAAGGGCCGCCTTCGGGCACCGGCCTGGGATCTTTCCCTAGTGTTGCAATCACTTACGGAAGCTCCGTATGAACCCTTGCATAGTGCTTCGTTCCGGCATGTGACTTGGAAAACAGCATTTCTCCTCTCCTTTGCCACGGCGGCACGTGTATCCGAAATTCATGCACTCGATGTCGCCAAGGTACGATTCGATAGGGGTGACGAAGGAGCGGTCCGCCTGGGCCTGCTCATGGGCTTCGTCGCCAAGAATCAGAGAGTCGGGCAAACGGAGAGAGAATTCACTGTAAGATCACTCAAAGAAATCTTACATCCTGCTGATACTGAGGACAGAGCGCTGTGTCCGGTTAGGGCCCTTAAGTATTATCTTAAGGCTTCGAATGAACGTAGACAAGGGCGTGACCGTCTGTTCATATCGTGTAACCCTAATCGCACGGTTGACATAACTCGCAACTCGATTGCGTTGTGGCTTCGTTCTGTCATCAATCTGGCGTACCGGTCTCGGGGGTTACCGGTAGCGGGGTCAAACCCGCACGAGATCAGGGCGCTAGCGGCAACATTTGCCCTACACTCGAATATCTCTGTTCGCAGAATATTACGAGGTTGTTACTGGCGTTCTGACTCGGTTTTTGCCAATCATTACCTCAAACAGGTCGCTGATGCCGTCGTGGAGAGTGTGCACCGTCTTGACCCGCGGATCGCGGCGCAAGCGGGCACCTAAGGGGTGTGCCCAGCGCAATTCCGAACTCCTCAGGCGTCTGACCTTGCACGGTGGTCAATCTGGGTCGACTCCATTGTTCCCACTGCCGTGGGTACAGGAGTTGGGGTCCCGCAAACCAGCGCACTCACACCACAGGTGAGGGCGGCTTTTTGTGTGCTTTGTCCTTATTTGTATTTTGACAATTATGTCTTTAATTGTCTGTCGTGTATCCCAACCTTGTGATGCATGCTTACAAATACTGGAATTAGGTCACGCGCCTAATGCATACTTTAAGTAGGCTTGCTCTGGGATATACGGTCTGAATGAAATTAATTTCCCTCTTTTCGACTGTTTAACCTGATCTAAGATTAAGCTCACGCGGATACAGTGTTCTCATCCGCTGCGGCGATGAAATACCTATCCAGTGGGGCCGTTTGGAGTCACCAATCGTTTTGGCAATGACGATTGAGCCTTACGGTATGCGCTTGACAGTGCTTTGGTATTCCTATAGGGTAACGCCTAGCTAGGTGCATGCGCATCGAGTGCTTCCGCCTTGGTGTTTACTTCCGCTGGTCGGAAGGAACGCTAGCAGTCAGGATTCGGGTTGTAGGTGCTCCCCACCGCCTACTGTGGTAGTCAGCCTCGGTATAACAGTGGTAACGTATTACTTAATGTAATTTGTAGAATTTTCCTATTCGGAATATTCTATAAGTAATACGTTACCACTGGGCTGCTGCCCGCCCGTCCGTCCCCCGAGCACTTGCTCTCGCAGGAGACAAGAGTGAAGGGTGTCACATGGCAGCTAGGTGGCTACGCACGTGCTGCATGAGGTAATTGAGATCTCTGTGGTAGATTTCGCTATAGCAGCAGTTGTGGGAGACAACAGCCTCGGTATAACAGTGGTAACGTATTACTTATAGAATATTCCGAATAGGAAAATTCTACAATTTCTGTAGAATGCAATAAATATTACTAATGTAAGGGGAGTTTTTGCCGTTTTTCTGGAGTGTTACACATTGCAATGTCATGTTGCTCATTTCTGTAGAATGCAATAAATATTACTAATGTAAGGGGAGTTTTTGACGTTTTTCTGGAGTGTTACACATTGCAATGTCATGGTGCTCATTTCTGTAGAATGTGTTACAGGTGATAAATATGGTGTTCGGGGCCATCAGGAAACTGAACCCAGAGGTAAGTCCGCAGTTGGCTATTCCATACCACTCCACAGAATGTAAGGAAACCTCATGAGGGATTAACTGTAGTAATAGGAAGAGTCAGTTGGTCCTGAACTTCTTGTGAGAGGTATATATGAGATGGCTAGATATATGAGGGATATGAAGTTGACAAGAAATGACTGAGATTGCTTCAAAGATAAACAGTGTTTGTGCCAGATGAAATCAATGGATTTATGGACTCCCTTGTGAGCTGTCTGGATACAGCACAGACGATTGATATTTTCGAAATATAAGGCTGTTGAACAGTGTTCAAAATCAAGCTTGAAGTTCAAAGGGCACTTGTCATGACTCTAATGTTGAAAATTATTAATAAATGGTCCCATGATTAAAAAACTGTACCAGCAACACTCACGGATCCCAGGATTCCCTTTGGTTTTAAACTCCTGTCAAACACAGGATTGTTTTCAAATCTTTGAGTGGTATTTACAGGTTATTGCAAACAGGTGCAACCAGTGTCATTGTATCTAACTGCTCTTAGCAAAAAAAATTCCTCGGGGAATTCAGGTGAAAAATAGGCCTACAGTACCCCATGCTTGTAACACCAGTGTAGTGAGAATCGGATGATTACAATGTGTGACCTTGCTGAATTTACTTCCTTGTACCACGGTGTCATGCATCATTGTTAACGCTATCAATCACCTGTGTGACTGGCCCAGATTTACAGTGCAGACCTGTTAAGATCTGGGTTAGAATAGGTCTTCAGCAACCCATGCTTGCTGTAAAAGGTGACTATGCTTATCTTTAGAGGCGACTAACAGGATCGAGTGTTCAGGGTCGTTGATGCATGTCATCGTATCCCAATTGCGTAGATTAATGCTTATGATGTCAATCACTGGATTGTCTGGTCCAGATTATTTACAAACAGCTGTCATATAGATGGAATATTGCGTTGATGGAGTGCGGCGTTAAACAAACAAAATTTGCAAAGTGACATTGAATAACTTTATGAAAAACTTGAACTAACAGTAAACTACGGTTACAACGAACTCAAAGAGACTACTACTTTTAGTTTGTTATAACCGTAGTTCGTTATAAGCATATACACAGCATAACTACAGCAAATAGTTGGGACAAAAAAAGTAAGTTTGTTTATCCGTCAGTTTGTTATGAGCGTGTTCGTTATAACCATAGTTTACTGTATAGTGTGAAAATTGCTGACTGTCAGAATAAAATCCTTTTAACAATACTAGATACTTAGTCTCACATAATGGAGGCTAAGTGTATTTCAAAATTTAGACATCTAACGTAAGTAAAGAAGACAAACCAAATGAAGAGGTGTTTATTTGTAAGAAAGTTTTCCACTACTCAGTACAGCTGTAGGATCACAGTACATGATGTTGTGTTGCAGCAATCCCAGCCGTTCTTCAAGCTGCTGTCCATGTTGGTGGAGTTTGTGGGCGGCCCGCCCGGGATGCCACAGTACACTCAGTATGTGCTGCAGAGGTTCTGGGAGGTGAGGACATATCACTGTATCGTGACAGAGCTCTGTAGGCTTTTTACTCGAATTGTGTGTTGATGGGACTCCAGGATTTGTTGCAATGATAAATATATGGTGGAATTGAATGATAATATATAAGATATTAAACCCAACAAACCAGTTTTCGCTGATGAATTGTTAAAGCCAGAAGTATTGCTTCAGATGTGTTAAGTACATCTTCCCGAGGCAAGGGAAGTTAACTGACTATAAGAATCCAGTTTCAACCCTTGCCGAACTTCCTTGCCTTTGGAAGATGTGTTAAATACTGTTGATCACCCTGTTGATGAGAGACTATTCTTTGGTCAGTTGGAAGTCGTAGTGGAAGAACTCACTTTAATGTCAGCTGCTCTGTTTGTAGGATGTATGTAGAGCATTCATGGGTAGGAGGGAAAGACCGTGACAGGCATCTTGGAATACCTGCTTTAATGTGTGATCATGTGATGTCCGGCTACGTCAGTAATGTACTCCTGACACTAATCAGAGGAACACGCCTCCTATTGTATCAGTAAACTTTAATGTACCTAGCAGATAATGATTAACATAGTCATGAGTCAGTGTCTCAGTCTCATACATGATCTAGACCTAGACTGGAAATGGCTACAGTGGAACTTAGTCTCTCTTTGGTAAACCTGATTTCCTAAGTAATCGCTACATCACCTGCTAAACCACGCTGACCATGTCTTCAGCTGACCAAGTGTTGTCCGCAACAATGCCTGGAGTGGATGACCGGTCAGGTGACTCGCAACAAGCTGGCCCAGGCCTGGACTCTCAACCAGATGGACAACTGGGTGGAGCCGTACCTCATTGCTCACAACAATGTGCGGGTCCGCAATGGTAAGTAGAGAACATGGGAAGCGGGCCAGTGTAACGGTCAGTGCAGGGAGCCGTGGTTAGAGTTACTCATTTGACCTGTGATAATCCTTATTCTGTCAGTATCATATCATCAGGGTTTCACCAAAAGTGGTCCACGTATACCGTATTTTCTTGAGTATAGTGCGCACTTTTTAAAAAAAAAACACAGCTGTGTAGAAGGGGGTGCGCATTATACACGAATTATGAGTTTGGATGTTTTTTTCCCCCATGGAAAGACATTACCGTGAGCACGAAACACCGGAAATACCAGGTCAACAAATCCATACTGAAGTACGCAAATTAATCATGTAATTACACTGTCTGGCTATAAAAAGTGTTCTTTGTATATCTGGACTTATATTTGTAACTTATTTCATTAATTTTATTCAAAATTCGAGATCGTGTGTGAAGCGATCGGAAGATCGCACAACTCACCGTTATTAACAGCAACCACAGTCAGAATACCGCTATTGACGCCTTGAAACGAACTTTAGTTGACAGAGAATGGATACATATATCATAAATGCCATACTTTGACTCGTTAAAAGTCATATTTGTTTTTGTTTGACGATTCTATGTCAACATGAAATTCTCGCGATCACGCCATCACGTGCGCGTGAGCCTTGACGGTGACTGGTCAGACTGGTTCCATGTAAAAAATAATACCCGGGAATAGCGATCAGCTGCTTCGCTTAGGGTTATTATTATTTTAAATATGTTTAGTAAAGGCTGCATCTAAATAAACAAGATATTGGAATATATTATTCCTGATCAAAAAAATAGTTTCAGATACAATTTTTGCCGATCCTTGCATTGAAAATCCTTGAAAGTTATATTATTGGGTGTGTCTTGACCGAATCACCGGTCAATTCCAAGAAAACGTGTGTACGGCTGATTGCTGTTTCCGGCTTAGTTTACGAGAAAATACACAAGGTAATCTTAATCCCTGGATATAAAACAATCAATGCCTAGCAGAACAATAAATACTATTTAAACGGTAAATCAACATGTCTGGTGATTTTTTTTTATCTCAAATTCACCCGTTCGTTTGCCGGACTTCGCTGAAGGGGTAGATTCTACGGTGTAATTTTTTTTCTGCGCTTGGTATTCGAATATTATTTTTCCAAAATACTGAACCCGCTAGAGGGGGGTGCGCATTATACATAGGTGCGCACTATACTCAAGAAAATACGGTACATGGAACCTACAGCCTTGGGCTTTTCATTTCAATAAACTGACGTGAGTTTTGACTGGTATGGTAGAATTAAATTGTCAAAGTTGTCTTGTTGATCGAGACCCTGTACTTGGTCTTTGTACTTGGACTTGTTGTACATGGTTGACACGTGCTGTACAATGTGCTGGTACTGACTGAGATCGTGTTCTGCCACAGCTGCTGCCTTCCTGCTGGTGTCCCTGGTGCCCAGCACCCACTTCCGTCAGTCTTTCCGCTCCGCCAGGAGCATGCTCAGTCCGCACAAAGAGTTTGCTGTGAGTATCATTTCCTGGCTACATTAGCCAGTCGTAGTTTCCAATAAACTGTTTGTAGCGAAACAGATGGAGAGTGTTTATCCTTAAATTTGTCCCTTTTTAGATAGCTGTCCTTAAATTTGTAGGGTTGGTCGGGTAGCCTAGTGGTTTAAGCGTTTGCTTGTCCCGCTGAAGACCTGGGTTTGATTCCTGACATGGGTACATTGTGTGAAACCCATTTCTGGTGTCCCCCGCCGTGATATTGCCGGAATGTTGCTTAAAGCGGCGTAAAACCATACTCACTCACTCACTTAAATTTGTAAATCGGGACATATAACTATTTATGTTGTAACAGCAAGTAATATTGTAACCTAAAGATTTTTTGTTTTGAATCTCCACTTTGCTATTTTCAGATGTCTACTGAGGCCCTCATGGTTTTGCATCAGGTGAGGAGATTTATGCGATAATTTGTGAGATAAACAGTTTAATTTCACTCCTTCCTGCAGGGATATTGCCATTAGCATATTGGATATTGTTGCAGGTTGCTTTGATGATAGTTGTTGACTGGTCTGTTTGTGTTCCAGGTGTATGAGCATCTACTGAGTCTCCTGTCTAGGGCAAGGTTGTATGTTGGTGAGTAGAACAGGGAATTAACATCACTTTAACAGAATAGTTACATCTATTCATACTTGAAAGATTACTGAATTTGAAAAATCCAGATTTGTGACAGAAATATTCTGAATGATTGCAATGCAAAAAACTAAATGGGTATTATTTCATGAGAAGTCTGATGTTTGTTTTTTCTTCAGATCCCCAAGTCCATGGCACAATGAAGCTGATGTGTTACTTTGCTGTCATGACATACTGTCTCGTATCCAAGCAAGAGAAACTCTTGGTGAGTGTATAGCAGTATTCCTGTTTACCGATAATTACCATTTTTTTGCCGGTATAATTAGGCTTGGACCGATAATTCATGTGACAGCCAGTCCCTGTGGACCAGCAAATAAAATACCTTATAAATCTTTGTTGTTGAACAAAACATCAACGATATTCATATAAGTATATTTTTTGGGGGAAAGTCAGATTATCTGTTACCATCAGGGCTTGCCCCTGTTTTAGTGCAAGGCAATAACATTCCGCTTTGCTTCAAGGTTAAATATCCATTTGTAGCGACTTTGTATTGAAATGTTTAAAAAAGAAGAGAAAGTTGTGACAGAAGTTTGTTTGAAAGACATGTAGATCTAATTGATTACTTCAGAGATGACGTCACTGCACTAGACATGATGTTGAAAAAATTAAAACCAGGAACTTTTCACATGTTTTTTTATTTTATTTTTTTATTTGTTGAGAGAAGGAACTTACAAAAATTTGGGGGGACTAGTAATTTTTAGAGTTGTTCAAAAGCCAGCGTGAACACTGGTATAGTTTTAACTCATGTATCATTATCATCAGTGTTTCCTTCAAGTGGGGGAGGAGATGGCTATTGTCAGCTTGTCATGAACAAGACCCAGGTTCCGTTCCCCATGTCTTCAAACTCTGTATCACTATGTATTTGGCCTGTGTTTTCAGAGCTCTTAAACTTGAAACATTATTATAAGTCATTGTAGATTTGTGCCTGTTGGGGTAGCCAAGCCAGAAATGGTCGCCAGTTCTGCATGCTTGTTGAAAAAAACTAAACTGAAGTTGATCATGCTGTCGACCACTGGTTACGACAAGCTGCTATGACAAAACTGGAATATTGCCGATGGTTGTGTGAAACAACTAACAAAATGCAGATTTGTCCGTTTGATGGTTATGTAAATCCCAAAAGTATTTGTATTTGGATTAGTGTCACATATTTTATTTTATTCATTTTTCAGAATGATTCCCAGTGTAGGTCTTTTCAACAAATGCGTGTTCAGTAGCTCATCATTGTGGTTTCAGTTTGGAGAATATTTCTTGGATCTATGGCAGTTGTTCCAGCCGAAGCTGTCCGAGCCCCAGATCTCAATGCATCACAACAAACAGGTACCACTGTTGATACATCTCATTATCTTGTGTGGATGTGTGTTGACTCTCATCCAAGGGCACTGGTTGTTTCGTGCAGTTATGATCTTCAGTTTACTCTACCCTTATGTCATTGTGTTAAGTTGACAAACATTCACTTTTGAAGCTAGTAGTTTCACTAACTGAAGAACCTGTGTTTGAAAAGGGTAGGTTTCCAGATGCCCTCCTTCTTGTGTTCTCAAGTGGTGTGGGGGAACGGGTGGCCCAGTCATCTAAGGCGCTGCGATTCGCTGTTGCGTCCCTTGGGCACGCCAGAAACCTATGATTGCGGGTTCGAATCCCGGTTCGCCCCGATTATGTTTCTAGGTTTGTCAGCACTATACCAGTGCTCGTGGGTTTCACCTAAGTGGTAAACATCTGAGACCTGCATCACTTCGGGCTTTCCTCCCACATTAAGCTGACACCCGTGATATAACTGGATTACTGTTAAAAGCGGCGTTAAAAACCCAACTCACTCACTCATTCACTCATTCACTCACTCACTCACAAGTGGTAGACTTGCCGCCTAGTTCTGTATAGAGAGACAGTGTAATTTAAGTGTCCATGTTGTTTCAGACGTTGCTGCTGTTCTGGCACCAAGTGTGCGTGGACTGCCCAGAGAATGTCAAGCAGATTGTCTCCAACCAACATGTCTGCAAGAACATTGCCTTCAGCTACATACTGTAAGTAGTCTGGCTGTGTGCTGTACAGCGTCTTTGTTAGTTACTCACTGGGCAGAATATGGTGCCCTGTACCCCAATGATTGAAACATGTCTGGTGGGCGGGTGTGCTGAGATTGGTCTCAGGATTGTATAATATTTTGCCACCCTCCATTTAATGTAAACAAATTCTCTTCTCTCCCCTCTCCCAACATTTATTCATTCCTCTTCTCCCCCCCCCCCCCCCCCCCCCTCTTATGAAAAACAAAGAGTAATTTTTTTTCATGGCCCCTCCCTTATAGTTGTGATACATTTTGGTGACGACACCAACACCACCAACACCACACCACCCACCCTTTTTTTGTCTGTGTCAGGGGATCTAGGCAAATGCTCTATCTAGTAGAGCCTAGAGGCGGCTTTCCCCAATGACTTTGCAAATCATATTGCTAAAATATTGTTCAAAGCGGTGTAAACTGACTCACTAGCTTGAAACTTGTGACTGGTAAGGGGGATCAAGTTTGAGGTGTGACCACATAGGAAGGCCAACTCTCATCCATATCTGGACTGATGGTAGCTTTATGGTCGGACATGCTCCTTATGCTGGATGCTACATACAACCTCCTCGTTCCTTCAGTTGTCAAGAATTTCCAGAAACACCAATTTTGTTGAGTTGGTTTCCATAGTAACTATTACATGCACTGGTTTGGTTTGTAGATATTCTTTCAAGTTATGTATTGTTGGTGCAACTGCTATATGGCAAAACATAAGGGAACTTCAACCTTGACCTTGCAGGGCTGATCATGATGACCAGGATGTTGTGATGTTCAACCGCGTGATGCTACCGGCGTACTACGGGCTGTTGCGGATGTGTTGTCAGCAGTCACGGCAGTTCACACGGCAGCTGGCGCAGCACCAGAACATAGCATGGGCCTTCAAGAACATCACGCTCTACCCTACACAGTACACCCTGGTTTGTAGTCAAACACAACAATGTCTTGGGTTTTTTTGTGCAAGGAAAGTGACTGTTATGAGCCTAAGGGAGGTAACTCTCATTTATCTTTAATTCTTACCCGGTGTGTGGTTTCCATTTTCTGTTTCATCCCCTAAATGTTATGCTGTAAATGATGAATGTATATGGTATACTATGAATATGTTGTTGGATTGAGGGCCTGCTAGATAAGAAAGGCGTATTTGTTGTGATAATGTTATTGATTTTCGAAGTGACCACAGTTGAAGAAGATCGAAGGTGCTGGTTAAATGGGGTTTAACGTTGTGTTCTAGATTACTGCACTTATATAGCAACGTGTTTGTGTGTATGCTTGTGCACTAGTCCATGCTACTCTGCAGTAAGGCTGGTTTCATGGTGCTAGTCGACTTAGATACCATGCCACAGTTTAACATGGCTATCCCACTCAGACACAGTATACTGACTCCGAGGTGACCGGTCCTTATTTATCCTTTTATCACCATAATGCTGAGCGCCAGGCAGGGTAGCAACAAGTACCATTTTTTAATCTCTTTTGGTGTGATGCGGCCAGACATCGAACCACCGACCTTCCACTCTCCAGATGGATGCTCTATCCATGAGACGGGGTGGTCGGGTAGCTTAGTGGTTAAAACGTACGCTTGTCATGCCAAAGACTCCGGTTCGATTCCAGACATGGGTGCAATGTGTGAAGCCTATTACTGGTGCCCCCTGCCATGACATTGCTGGAATAGTGCTAAAAGTGGCGTAAAACTATACCCACTCACTCATTATCCATTTGACCGTGGAGGAAGTCTCTCGAGAAGATAGGACTTGGTTATTTCTGAAGTTAATTATTTGAGTTGAAATCCATTCTTACTCACAATTAAATTGTCTATTAGAAGGAGGAGTTCAATGAATGTTGATGTCCGAGAATTCAGTGGTTGTTGTATGTGTTGTTGCAGGCTGTGGAGGAGCTGTTCAAGATGATGAAGCTGATGGTGATGAGGTACCCAGACAGCTCGGAGGATGAGCTGAAGGCCATCGCGTCATTCAAACGTGCAAACATACTCATGTACCTACAAGCATTAGATGCCAGATCCATGTGGCAGACTCTTATCAGGTAGGGCTTTCTACTTAAGTCATAATGATTGGAAAAAAATATAATTTGTTTCTCCAATCTACCCAACAAAAGTAATGCCTTGATCCCACTTATCACGCTCTTTTTATTTTGAACTTTTGCAGATTTTGGTAACTAGTGACAAGTAACTAGTAACTACCAACAAATTGTCTGACTCTTCAGTGTTTTTCATTAGTTGTAGGGTCAGTGGGGTAACCTTTGTCGTGACGAAGTCCTGGGTTCAATACCCGACATTGGTACAATGTGTGAAGCCTATTTCTTGTGTCCCCCTGTGATATTGCTGAAATATTGCTAAAAGCGGCCAAAAAACACACTCACTCACTCATTAATTGTATTATTGATCCCTATCATTGATCGATACCCAGTATATTAACTATCAGTATAGAATCAACTGTTAAAAAACTGAAATTGCCTGGTTCTCGTTAATTATGGATTTAGTTCATCTCCACAGGTTGTGTGTTGGAAGTAGTTGAAGACAGACTTATTGTAGCATTAAAAATCTTCATCAGAGAATGAACAGATATGTTGTGTTGTTGTGAAACAATTCTTGACAGGAAAATGTAGCATGTGAAACTTATTTGGTGTTAAGTCTATGTATAATAGTCTACCATTAAAGTTGGGACAATAATTGGGACGTAATTGGGGACTGAAGACTGAAGCTATGGAGTAGTTATTGACTGAGTGATGTGTCTTTCAGTGCATTCAAAATCCTGGTGGAGAGTCGTGAGGAGAGGATGCTTCTCATCTACCACCAGGGGCTGCAGATGATCACAGAGGTAAGGGGAGATAACTGGAGGGGAGCACCAGTAATGGCACACCAAGATTATTGTTTTAGTCTGTTTTCAGTCGTACAATTGGGTATCTCATACCTCTAGTCGCACGTTAAAAGGAAGCCAGAAGCTGGAATGTAAACAATAAACTTGTTTCCGTCCGGTTGCGCACGCACCTCCCGATGACATGCCACAAATCTCTCAGCGCGCCTCTGAGCTGGTCGCTCGAGAAGGACTTTCGTGATAGACTGCTAGTTTGTATTCTACTAGTAATTATCGTGTGTCTACAGTTGTTGTTCTAATACAGTAATAATACTATGTCTTACCTGTAGACTCCTGGAATGTAATCATTGGTAATCCATTGTTTGGGTTCAACACGTGTTTCACTTGATTATACACGTGGCAACATGTCGGGCATTTGTGCCTCGTGTTAAGGACAACTGTCTAAAGTAGATCCTCACAAGTATTGTCCTTCCTGCATAAATAAGGACGGGTTTTCAACGTGTTCGTGGAATAAACGTTGTTAAGAATGTGAGCATTTGTCTTCTATCAACTTTAACTTGTATCCTCGTGCATTTGCGAAGCGGGCTACTGACGAGCGCTACAGGCAGAGGAGGTCATCTGGTGGATCCTTGGACTCTGCATCCCCTACATCTGGCCCTGGGGGTGGCGCGTCGGCCACACCCAAGAAATCAGTTGAAAAAGACCCGCCTCAGTCAACTTATGTTTTTGACAAGACACGGGACCGTTCGCCTGCTGATGATACTACCCGCACGACTGATCTTCGTCAATCGGTTGATCGAGAGCGTCACTCAGCCACCCCCGTTACGACGGGACCGGGTGGTGACGAGGACCACGAGGGGACTACGGTCCCCAGTCGGTCCGTCTCTTGTCCTACCAACGACGATAGGAACGTCGTGCGGGTCGACAGTGAACACAGATCCCTCTCTAGAAGTCGTTCCCGTTCACGGGACGACAGGTCGAGGGCCTCGTCGAGTGACAGTAAACGACACGAGGACGTACGTCGCCTTCGAGGTCGTCGGGAGTTCGATTCTGACGATAACTACGATGGGGATCGTAGTACTTCTACAGTTAGAGATCGTAGCCCTCGTCCCCACGGGGACGTGCGACGCCTTCGAAGGGAGTTTTTGGGAGATCAGCGTCGTAGAGATAATGATCGATCGTGACCCTCGTCTCACTTTCATATCGACCCGGCTTTGATAGGCCAGATGACGGCGGCAGTACTCGCCTTGACGGCGTCGACCGAGAAGGGTTCGTCTACGTCGGAGGTCCATGGACCATCGTCCTGTACACCGGTTCCTTCATCTAAGCCTACACAATCGACGTCGACGATGGACTGTGACGACAGCGTCGTAGAGATAATGATCGATCGTGACCCTCGTCTCACTTTCATATCGACCCGGCTTTGATAGGCCAGATGACGGCGGCGGTACTCGCCTTGACGGCGTCGACCGAGAAGGGTTCGTCTACGTCGGAGGTCCATGGACCATCGTCCTGTACACCGGTTCCTTCATCTACGCCTACACAATCGATGTCGACGATGGATTGTGACGACAGCGTCGTAGAGATAATGACCGATCGACACCCTCGTCTCACTTTCATATCGCCCCAGCTTTGATAGCCCAGATCACGACGGCGGTACTCACCGCCAGGGCGTCGACCAAGAAGGATTCGACTACGTCAGAGGTCCATGGACCATCGACCAATACACCAGTACCTTCATCTACATCTACACAATCGACGTCGACGATGGATTGTGACGACAGCCTGGCTATGGCTTGGCTATCTCACTTTTCTGCCTGAGTTATCATGACGATGACAAACCGACGTGTGCTGGCTTAAAGGTTGGAGATACGCCGCAGTCTCTTCAGTCTCCCCTCCCAATGTCTTCAGAGCCATGGTTCACGATATGGACCAGAACTTGCCTCTGCTCTGCCGGGGCAGAGTTTCAGCAAACCACCTGTTCGATCGCGTTACCCGATCTATGGCATGCCGTTTTCGTCACCCATGAGTAGGGACTTGGATTGGGGGCTACTCTTCAAGAAACCAGCGCCCTCCAAGATTCTTGTAGTAGACAGGCATTGGGGATCCATGGACACTGCTGTTCGTCTCCAGCTACAACCGCTTGCTATGCTGTCGACAGCGAGCCGGCGGGGGAGGTAGTGAGGTCCCTTTTCCCCGCCGTCACCGTCGTCGGAGCCTACTACCTTTAGACGAGCTACCGGTAGGGGGAAGACTTCATCACACGGATCATGAAGACGGTCGTAGAATGGCTCCGTCGGCAGGCGATCAGGGTCGCCTTCTACCTAGACGAGCCGTCTCCTACGCGCGACAGGCTCACTAAAATACCGGAATTGGAGAAAATTCTACGTGCCTTCATGGTTGAAGATGAGTCACATTAATTCCGCCTGCCGGCCTGGGACCTCGATATCGTTCTGCGCTACCTGTCTAGTTAGACTTACGAGCCTCTCGATCAGGTCGCCTTCGACATTGCATCCGACTAGAAGTACTGCTCGTATTTTTTAGTTACCTTGTATACTGCGAGTTGCTCTGTAACTAAATTCTGCGCCGACCACTCTTCGATCGCAATTCATCTGACGTGTGCAGTTGTCATGTCGCATCGATAATTTGTTGTGTGTCGAAGAGCATTAACCATGCTATTTTTCGTTACCTTGGATACGACGAGTCGTTCTGAACCACTTTATATACCGTCCACACTTCGATCGCAATTCAACTGTCGTGTGCAGTTGTCCTGTCGCTTCGATAGTTACTTGTGGGTCGAAGAGCATTAAACATGCTGTTTTAGTTACCTTGTATACTGCGAGTTGCTCTGTAACTAAACTATACGTCGACCGCTTCGATCGCAGTTCAACTGACGCGTGCAGTTGTCCTGTCGCATCGATAATTAGTAGTGTGTCGAAGAGCATTAAACATGCTGTTTTAGTTACCTTGCCTACGACGAGTCGTTCTGTAACTACATTATAAGCCGACCACGTTTCGATCGCACCTCAACTGACGTGTGCAGTTGTCCTGTCGCATCGATACTTACTTGTGGGTCGAAGAGCATTAAACATGCAGTTTTAGTTACCTTGGATACGACGAGTCGTTCTGAAACTAAATTATATGCCGTCCACACTTCGATTGCAATTCAACTGTCGTGTGCAGTTGCCTTGTCGCATCGATACTTACTTGTGGGTCGAAGAGCATTAAAGATGCTGTTTAGTTACCTTGTATACTGCGAGTTGCTCTGTAACTAAACTATACGTCGACCACTTCGATCGCCGTTCAACTGACGCGTGCAGTTGTCCTGTCGCATCGATAATTAGTTGTGTGTCGATGAGAATTAACCATGCTGTGCCTTCGTAATAAACAATTTGTCTCGTCCGTGCATCTGGTCGAATGTTCTATTGTCACTACAGGGGTGAGGAACTTGGTACATTCGACGTGCAAGAGGTCACTTCCGGATTACTTTCCAGACCCTCCTTCCAGTGTTCCGTCGAATTCTACCCAATTGCACGACTGAAAACAGACTAAAACATGGGTTTTTCAGATTAAAAACGATGTTTTATTGGTCTGTTTTCAGTCGTACGTTCCCACCCAGCCATCCCCACTGGGAAGTAATCCAGTCCAGTCCTGCTTGATGGCTTATTCTTCGAGATTTGTGGCATGTCATCGGGAGGTGCGTGCGCAACCGGACGGAAACAAGTTTATTGTTTACATTCCAGCTTCTGGCTTCCTTTTAACGTGCGACTAGAGGTATGAGATACCCAATTGTACGACTGAAAACAGACCAATAAAACATCGTTTTTAATCTGAAAAACCCATATTTGTTGTTTTTTGTTGTTGTGATTTATGTTATATGTTGTTTTCCATATATTTAGTACTTACTGTACTAGTTGATCGTTACTTATGCAATCAATAACTGTTTTGAATGTTGAGATAGGAAAGAAACGTACTCTTGCAGTATGTGGTGATGGACTAGTTGTTTTAAAAATAGGTTCTGTTGTGTCTCTCGCATCACTTACATACGATCTGTGAAGATCCGGGTTAGAATAGGTCTTCAGCAACCCATGCTTGTTGTAAGAGGCGACTATGCTTGTTGTAAGAGGTTACAACAGGATTTGGTGGTCAGGCTCGCTGACTTGGTTGATGCATGTCATCGTATCCCATTTGCGTGGATCGATGCTCATGATGTCTATCACTGGATTGTCTGGTCCAGACTCAATTATTTACAGACCGCCGTCATATAGCTGGAATAATGCTGAGTGTGGCGTTAAACAACAAACTAATAAACAAAATCACTTACGTACACAAATATGACTCTTGCTCTGGGACTGCAGGGATAACAACAAAAAGCAATCATCAGCCATTAGAACTCACATTTCGGTCAGTTCTCTGTGTTTAAAAGTTTCTAGCCGTTGAAGTAAGTTTGTGTATTTCATAATTTATAGGCATTCTTCACACTCCACGCAATGTACCATGAGGCGACGGCATGTCATGTGACTGGTGATATCGTGGACCTCTTGACGATCCTGCTTCATGTGCTAGAGTGTGGCAAGGAATGCCATGAGAAGAAAGGTACCAACGTATACTGATTATCCTCTCGTCTCCGTACATGAGAGAGATTTATGTTTTGTGAATGAAACTTATTGAATGGAGTAGTGGATTAGTCTTGTCACACCCAACACCCAAATTCACTTTCCAACAGACCCTTGAAGATGAGGGTTAGAATAGGTCTTAGGCAACCCATGATTGCCATAAAAGGTGACTATGGTTGTTGTAAGAGACTACTAACAGGATTGGGTGGTCAGCGTCACTGACTTTGTTGATGCATGCCATTGTATCCCAGTTGATGGATCGATGCTCATGATGTCAATCACTGGATTGTCTTGTCAAGACTTGACTATTTACTGACCGCCGTCATATAGCTGCAATATTGCTGAGAGTAGCGTTAAACAACAAACAAAACTTCCCAACATGGGAAACAGAATGTAATGTGTGAGGCTAACCTCCGTCAGTATTGCTGCAATGCTGCTGAAAGAGATGTAAATGCACATTCACTCACTCTTTCACTCAGTTTCTTTTGAAAGTTACATCATTTATAGCCCACTGATACCAGCATATATTTTTTTCTTTCCTCGCAGGGAGCCAGTTGGCTGATGCAAAAGCATACTTGTTGAACTGGGAGGAGAGAAACGAACTGCCGAAGAAACTACTGACATTGCTCAATTCCTACACCCCACCGGAAGTCCGCTCTATTAGTATAGGTGAGTCTCACAATAGTGTATGTTTGCATGAAGTGCTCCCACTAGAGTTGTGGGCAGCCAGGTTTAGGCCGAGATAAGTTAACAATCTCTTGCTTAATGATCTACCACCAAACTTTGACATTTTAAACAGGAGAGCGAAGCAGATTGTCACGATGGCAGCTGAGTACCGTATATCGCTGTGTATAAGGCGAGTTTTTCGTACCTAAAATGAGGGGGTTAAGAAGGGGGGTCGTCTTATACACGGAGTCGAAGATCTCACATTTTTTCCCACTGGTGATGTCAACCGGCGTCCGATAGCCAGCCCAGCATTTGACAATAAAACTTTGCATTTCGTCCTAAATAACTGTTCCAATAACTATTTCCATACATAAACATGATTTGTATCTCTTTTCCTTGAATAAAGTTTAATAATTTCTGCAAATAAAGTTGAAATGACCCTCGCCTCGATGCAGATTGTCAAACCAGCTGACACGGTAAAACAATCAACATCCGTGAGTAGAGAGCCGGAAGTACTGGTAAGCATTTGCATATTGCACATGTGACCTAACATGTGATAACCGGTGAAGCTGAAATCAATTCCCGCTGTTTTTACAGTTGTATCAACAACTGTTGGAGACAGTGTGAATAAGTGATTGTGGAATAAACACGCTGAATGTGAAGCAAATATAAGCCTAGTTAACATAGTTAATTGGCGATTAATATTACTCACTGTTGTCTCTAATATGTTATTACTTCATAAATGCATTTTATTTTACGGGCACCAATTTGGTGTCGTACCGTGTAAACACAAAATGGCAACATGTGCTGGAGTTACACACGCGACCAATCATCGTAGAAAAAACAATGCAAGATAAACATATTTTTATTGCATATATAAGGTTTCTGTGCGCACTTGTGATGTGCTTCATTCCAGGTCGCCTTATACACGGAGTATAGGATTTTGGGTTGATTTTGAAGGCGTGTACAGGGGGGTCGTCTTATACGTGGGGTCGCCTTATACACAGCGATATACAGTACTACAAATTAAGCTTGCAATTGTACTCTTCCATACCAAAGTGGTCTTCATTACATGGCTGACATGGTGTTAATATGATGTACAATTGTACTTGCCCATATCCAGCTGGTTTGGTTGATGATCAAACCACCAGCCCTTTGTTTTGTTGCCCAAGGTCAGGTCATACCCCTGTGGGGACTTGAGAATGAGTCTGCAGTACCCCATCAGGGGTAGATTTAACGACAAATTTGTATATAGCCAGCAGGGCATGCTCCTTTACCTGGCCGTGAAGTTGCCAGAACCTGAGGTCACATAGCAACTGAGTTACCAGGGGAACTACGAAACTTTTAGTACCCCACACCTTTAAGATGGCTTTTCCTGCACCCTGAGATTAAATCTTGGCTTCCATTTGCCTCATTTTGTGGTGATTTATGAGCAAATAAAGATGTTGTTGTACAGAACATTACAGAATGGCCGTCGGTTGTGTCATTCTACAGAGATGATCGGGATATATATCTTTGAGTTACCCATTCACACGACCTCATTCCTTCTATATATTTTCTCATTACATGATTCACAAGCAGTGTCCAGTTGAAAATAAAAGTAAACATGCACAGAGAAGGGGTAAAATTCTGACTAGCCAGATACGACATCTACTTTTCATTTCAGCATGCCTTTTCGAATTTTATCAGGCCATTGGCCAACGGGTCAGCAGTTAAATCAACCCACGCCCATGCTTGTCAAGAGTGGTTACGATCTGGTTTAACAAAAGAGTGAATCAATTACCTTTATTTTTCAGATGTATTAAAACAGATGATATTAACATTCCAAGGCGAATGTATAGCCTGCATTGTGCCGATATTAGTCCAAGCTCACGGAGCCTTCCAGGACCAGAATATGCCAGGTAAATACTTCTGGGACAAAACAAGCATAGGAGTAGATTACTATTTCTACTCATCAAGAGATCAAATTCCCATTTGGATTCCAGGATAGAACCAGTCCCAAGTAACTTTGCTTATCGTAGGGGGGCCTAAAATGGATCGGAGTGTCTGACTCAGGTTGATGACATGGGGTATTGCTCATTATGTATCCCCTGGATTTTTAAAATACTGAAGAGATTTATTTTTTTCTTCACTGAACTGAAGGTACCTAGGGCAATGTACCAAAAGTGGGTTATAAGTAACCAAACTCCATTTCTTATCTGCGCCCGACCAGGGGGATACGTCGTCTCCTGATGACTCTTGTTTTCAGGCTGCCATGATATGGCTGGAATATTACAGTTTGTGTTTCTACTAAGAGGAGTGCATATTTTTTGGGATTTGTAATAAGCAATCTTCATATACCTAAAATAAACAAATGAATAAAAGCAGAGAGGGTTCATTCCTGTTTTTGTATTTGGGTGCAATATTTAACTGGAGGTAGCTTACATGTATCAATAGTATCTCTAATCGTGCTCATTGTCAATTAACTGCTGATTGATTATTGAGAGTTAGAAGAAATAACAAAACTGAAATCTATATTTTTGGATGACTTTTTATGGATTTGCAATTTTGATAAAGGTTTCTTCCTTAAAATGTGCTAAAATTATGCCCGTGCAGTTGTGTGTGACCTTGAGTGCGGATGTTACTGTACTCTGTGACATTCTTTCAGTGACAACTGGTCCCTACTTTCCGCGGAAAGGCCAGAAACCCATCGGGTCCAAATCAAACATCCGTCCACCTAGACCCCAGTTCCAAATGTTCCTTCATTCTAGTCAAGTTGAAGTCCCGAAGGTGAGTCTCGTGCTGTTGAGACTTAATCATGCTGTGTTGAAATAACCAGTATTTGTTAAACTTGTAAAGTAATATTCATGTACACTGTCACTGTTTCCATCCTGTCTGATGGTTTTGGTGAAATTGAAAACTTTGCAAAGTCAGTTGTCCCCTTTGTACCTAATTTCTTCCTGTGGGACTTCTGGGTTAGAGTAGGTCCCCAGCAATCTATGCTGGTCATAGACGTGCCAAGTGGTCAGGCTCTTCAAGTTTGTGTATCATTGTGTCCAAAAGGTGTGGATCATTGCTCACAATATTGATCACTGTATTGTCTAATCCAGACCCAATTATATACAGACAACAAACTGACCAATATATCTAAATCCTGATCTGTTACCTTTGAGTTAGAACCTGATTGCAATCATGCACTTGTTATTATCAACTAACTGAATAGTCATCGACAAGTGTCAGTTTATCTTCTGGATAGCGTCATGCCAAAACATGAGCTTTCCATTCTCTAGATGGGTACAATATTGGAAGGGTTGATGGGATAGCCTAGAAGTTATAGCGTTCACTTGTCACGTCGAAGTCCTGGGTTCAATTCCCCACATGGGTACGATGTGTGAAGCCCTTTTCTGGTGTCCCCCGCCATGATATTGCTGGAATATTGCTAAAAGTGACGTAAAGCCATACTCACTCACTCACTACAATATTTGAAGGCCATTCTTGGCATCTCTAGTCATGATAAACTGACTAGGTGATTTTGTAAAGATGGAATATGTCCATATTAATGGTGACTGAATTTTTATTTGTTGATGATTTAGTGAGATGCTGTTTCACACAGATTGGATTGTGCCTGAACTTCCTCCATTATGTTTCAGGGAGTAGATGAGGTGTACGACCAGGCATTAAATGATTTCATCATCCCATATCATCAGCTTGTTGACGTCATGTGCCGGGTCGCTGTCAACATGCAGAATCTTAGTGAATCTCTCATCAGTCTTAGTAAGTCGGTTTTTGTACAGATCCACGTCCCTGTGGGGACCTGGGGTAGAATGTGTCCCAACACACCCCTTACTTGTCGTAAGAGGTGACCGAATTGGGCTAACCGTAAAGATCCGGTTTGAAATGGATCTTTAGGAACCCATGCTTGTTGTAAGAAGGCGACTAATGGGATCAGGTGGTCAGGCTTGCTGACTTGGTTGATGCATGTCATCCTATCCCAATTGTGTAGGTTGATGCTGATGGTGTCAATCATTGGATTGTCTGGTCCAGACTTGTTAATATACCATGATATACAGGCACATGACTGGAATATTGCAGAGTGTTGTGTTAACAGATCCACAGTGACACACATGCCTTTATATTCTGTGTAATAGGGTATATGGTAGTAGTTGTTAACATCAAAATCCAACGGAATAGTAAATGAGGTCAGCCATTATCTAAAATAAAGTTTTTTGTATGTATTTGCAGGTACAACAGTCTCTCTTAGGCAAAAGTAAAAGTGAACATATTAATGTATTAGGAAATGAAATAGAATATTAATTATGTCACAAAGCATAACATTAGAAGCACAGCAATGCATTGCCTTGTATTGATTTGACATATTTCCTGTGTGTCTTTGTCTCAACACTGCTTGTTGTTTCAGGTGCAATGTTAGCCTTCGAGGCAGTTCCTCTCCATTCTCCGTACTTTGCCAAATTGTGGGTGGAAATATACCACTCAGAGGTAGGAGAAATATTCAGCCATTACCCTCCACTATTTTTACCTTACCATGCGGGCGGTCGGGTAGCCTAGTGGTTAAAGCGTTAGCTCGTCTCGCCTAAGACCCAGGTTCGATTCCCGACATGGGTACAATGTGTGAAGCCCATTTCCGGTGTCCCCCGCCGTGATATTGCTAAAAGCGGCGTAAAACCATACTCACTCACTCACTCTACCTTACCATGCAGTTGGGTCAGCATATACAGTATATACAATGTTTTGTTCAATTTCAAAAAGAAAGCCATCAAGAATGTAATGTTTGGCTGCCTGTGAGTAATGAATGACCTGCTGTGCACCTTGTGTGGTGGGGAAGCGTGGTGGTTGGAGCATGTGCTGGACACACTAATTCGGGGGGACACGGGTGGCCATGATTTGCTATGCAGAGTTTTGTCCCTTGGGCACGCCAGTAACCTATGATTGTGGGTTCGAATCCCGGTTCGCCCCGATTTTGTTTCTAGATTTGTCAGCACCATACCTGTGCTCTCGGGTTTCACCGAAGTGATAAACGTCTGAGACCTGCATCACTTAGGGCTTAGCTCCAACATTAAGTTGACACCCGTGATATAACTGGAATACTGTTAAAAACGGCGTCAAAACCAACTCACTCACTCACTCACTCACTCACAATGATTCATTTTCTCTCATTTATATACATGGAGCCTCTCACTCAGGATGCACCTTGTAGAGGTGATCGGTACCACAGTCTTATTAAAATCAGATCTTAGTTCTGGCTACTGCTAAACAAAGATCTGAGGACATCCCATTACTGGTTACATCAAAACGACCTTTCATTCACCCAATCAGAGCGTCGCTTACCAGATCAAGAAAGTGACAGTCTGAATGTGTTTTCATCCAACCTCGAAAAGGTTAATACAGGGTACTCTGAATGGAAGTTACAGGCTGTACGACAAATTCCGTCAAAATCATCGTCTAAGTTTCATTTTAGTGGGATAAACATTTGAGTGGAAGAGACTTTGCATAGCCTGTTGGAAGTACTGCCATACAATCTCGGCCATCTATTAGACATTCCAGAATGTTCTTTTGTTCAGTTTTCAAGTTTTAAATTGAGAACTTTGTTAAACAAATTTCAAAGTGTACTCTGGAATGGAAGTAGCCAGTTTGAAACTGTTTCTGATTGGCTAATGTCTTTGTTTTGTGAGTCATTTCATTGGTTGGTCAAAGTCTCGTGAAAGTTCATTCTGCCATGACCTGTAATGTGATGTCCTCAGATCTGTACACCTTGTGGAGGTAGTGGGGTGTCCATGTGGTTCAAGACTCACTCACTCTCCCTCTACACCTTGTGTCCCTGCAACAAGCTAATGATGCTCTCTTGGTTCTGTGTGACAGCAGGTTGATCGTAACTACATCAAGATCTTGTGCAACACCAGTTCTTTCATCGACTACGTGGATGCAGTGCTGCTGGACGAGCGTCTTTCCCTCAACAACCACATCATCTACCAGTTCTTCTGCAGCTTCTTCCCCAAGGTCCATCAGCAGGTGCTCAACGACCAGGGCCGCTCTCTGCTGGACAGCCTGGTCGCCTCCATCACGGCCGAGAAGGCAGCGCTGGAGAACATGAAGTCCGAGAAGGAACTCCTGACCATCTGTGAGAGAGTCAGTGGGGTGAGTTGCAGCTCTTTTGGAGACAAGTTTTTAACTGAGTGCCAAGCATGTTCGAGTCTACTAGCAAGAACTTGTTATTTGGCACCATGTTCAGTTGAACCCGTGAAGATTCCAGGGTAGAATAGGTCTTCAGCAACCCATGCTTGCTGTAAAAGGTGACTATGCTTGTCGTAAAAGGCGACTCACGGGATCGGGTGGTCAGGCTCGCTGACTTGGTTGATGCATGTCATCGATCCCAATTGCGTGGATCGATGCTCATGACATTAATCACTGGATTGTCTGGTCCAGACTCGATTATTTACAGACCGCCGTCATATAGCTGGAATATTGCTGAGTGCGGTGTTAAACAACAAACCAACCAACCAACCATGTTCAGTTGATGATGAAAGGCAACTATGCTTGTTTGTCGTAAGAGGTGACTAACGGGGCTTGCTGACCTGGTTGATACATGCCATTGTATCACTGGATTTTCTGGTCCAGACTCGATTATTTTTCATAACGCCAACATATAGCTGGAATATTGCTGAGTGCGACGTTAAACAAACAATCTTACCGCCATCAATGGATCAGTGTGCAGTCCCATTTTGATTCTCATCTCCCTGGGGAGTATACATCCCAAGCTGCCTGTGAGGTGGTAGAAGGTTAACAGTCACATTACCATCTCATCCTTAGTACGACTAGACAGAATGATTTCAGGCTTCAAACTAGTGGCTGAAGTCGCAGGCTGAACCAGGAATATTGGTCATGGGCATGGTCCTGTTGTCCAAAGTGGTCTTAGTGCTATGACAGTCATAACTCCCATACCTTTTCATACATCTTACTACAGTTGTTCTACTAAGATCACTTCATGGATTGGGGCTCCGGTTTGTAATCTGATTTCCAAAGCGAGGATGTTTTAATAAAACAAACCTATTTCAGGACCTACGCGCTATGCTGCTGATCTTCACGGTGCAGATGCCGAAGACGACAAGTCCCATCCTGCTGGAAAGCCTGCACTACATCCTACGAGTCTGCCGGGAACACCAGCAGCAGCGTGCCGAGATGGAGGCCACCGCCGCTGCAGAGGCCCGCCGGCAACAGGAGGCTCTGGAACAGGAGGCCGTGGAGAGCGATGCTGGTGATGAGGAGGAAGATGTCAAGCCTAATGAGGATGATGAAGACTCAGGTTAGTCATTGGTCAACACTTTGTATCTCACGTGTGGTGTTACGTGTGTGTGGTTGCTACGAATCAGTTGAAAGTGTGATTGCAGTATGTGAATACCACATGAACACTCAGGATAACGATTAGAGAAATTTATAGGTTATAAAATATAGGTTTGATCATGGTTGCTAGAAGTGCTGTAATAAACTATGAAGATAGCTCATCCTTTTGAGGGTTTGTACAGTATTGGCTGGTAAATATTGACTTGTACAGTATTGGCTACCCTTGAAGATCCAGGGTAGAATAGATCTTCAGCAACCCATGCTTTCCATATAAGCGCCTATGGTAGTCGTAAGAGGAGACTTATGGGATTAGTGGTCAGGCGCGCTGACTTGGTTGATGCATGTCATTGTATCCCAATTGCGTGGATTGATGCTCATGATGTCACTCGATTGTCTGGTCCTGACTCGATTATTTACAGACTGCTGTCATATAGCTTGAATATTGCGGAGTGCAGCGTTAATCAACAAAACAACCAATTGTACAGTATTGGCTGGTAAATATTGACATGTACAGTTTTAGTTAGTTAATAATTCTATTGCCACATGTTAACATCAGATCTGTCACGATAATATTTTCAGGTGAAACTCCATCCAAACGGAGGAGAGTGAGCAACGAGGGTGATGTGAATGTTGAAGAAAAGAAGAAGAACGAAGACACTGCTAATAAACCGGAAGAAAAAGACGCTGATAAAAGCGATTCTAAAGCAGACATATCTGATGCCAAAGACCAAACTAAAGAAGATACAGAAGACAAAGCTGAAACCACTGAAGCTGCATCTCCAAAGAAGACCCCACAAAAGAGTGAGCCTACTCCATCCACGAGCCACGACTCACCTCAATCTGGTCCCCATCCCGGCACCAGCACTGGCGGTGCCACCACATCCAGAACAACACCGGGGACAAGCTCAGGGGGCAACGTCACCTTACAGTCAGCCCGCCCCGGGGGATCAGCGGCATCTCAGTCTAGTCTCTCTGGGGCCACCTCGACCTCGGCCTCCCAACAAACAGGGTCACGGACTGGCGGAGCTACGTCCGCTACTCCGCGGGAGAAGCCCAACAGGGTGGATATGGTGGCCAAACATATCGAAACACTCTTGGCTCTTATTGATAAGAAATAAAGGATTATTAGGAAAGGTGTTAACCCCTATCAAATGACATGACAGACTGATTTGTACCGGTTGTTGAATATCGTCAAATGTCTTCAATACATTGTCGAAGTGGGGCAGAGAGATGCTTGTGGCTGAATCATGGGTAAAGTGAAGACTGATCATGAAAACACTTATGTAGGCTTGATTGTTCAAAGGTTATTCCATGAATGACCAATTCATGATGATTGTACCGCTTAATCCATTTAACTTAAGCAGTCGAATCAGGTACGACTTGTTCCAGTCTTGTGAAACTACCATCCTGGTCTTTTAGACAGCACACTGCAGCAATGTTCTGTTGAGACGTTGCATCTCGCTGAGTGAGAAAGGGAACAGTACATGTCAATTCAGATATTTGGGACACTGAGTTAACTGTTACAAGTCAAATGAGTTCATAGTAAAATCACCAACACAGATTCAGTTAAGAGTAAGCTATGTTATTATATCTACGGCTTTTGGGCTACAGGCAGTTTCAGCTGATAGGACTTACAATGCTGCAGATTGTACTGTAAGCTTCATGGCTGATTGACTTGATGGTGTGATTATCAGCCCATGGAATATTCAGTTAAACATTTCAGCTGATTTTAGAGTTAGTATGAAGATTCAGGTGAGGATTCAACTGAAATATGATTCAACTCATGAACGATTCCACTCATGAATAATGTGGTGATGATTCTACTAATGTAAGATTCAATGATGATTCTACTGATGTAAGATTCAGTGATGATTCAACTCATGTAAGATTCAGTGATTATTCTACTCACGTAAGATTCAGTAATTATTCTACTCATGTAAGATTAGTGATGATTCAACCCATGATTCAGAAATTTCAATGATGATTCTAATGATGCAAGATTCAGTTATGATTCTAATGATGTAAGATTTAGTGATGATTCTACTGATGTAAGATACAGTGATGATTCAACCCATGATTCAGTGATGATAATACCTAGTGAGGCTTGATAAGATTTACCTGAAAGTACGTAAAGCATCAATATTATTCTGACAGTTGTTTGCTGTTGAACTAGTAAACCACAAAAAATTTGTAGGGATGCATAGCAAACTTTCGTTATTAAGGTAAAATGTAATGAATTTTGCGACGGACTGTAACATAAGCTGATTCAGCTGCTATAGTTTGCTGCTGCTGCTGCTGCAAGATGTGATTTACAGGACAGTATCAGTGGTGTGATGAACACTCCATGTTGGCTGCACAAGGCAGCGAGACTGTGATCCGTGTGAGAGATGCAGGCTGAAGTCACTCTAGGGTGAATGAATCAAAAGAGAAAATGAGATTGTGTGCAACTGTCGAAGTTTGAATGGTGCTAGGAGAGCGATATATAAATGGTATGAAGGAGTTTCCCTTTTCGAGACAAAGTTGTACTAGCTTCGAGTAGTCTGAATGGAAGGAGGTTCAATGTACAGATTCTTATGACCTGTGAATGAAAAAAGCTCATTGTATAGTTTCTGTTGACAGTTTTAATTTATTTCATCTTTTCAACACAGCAAGCATTTGATGAATCTATTACCATTGCCAAGTTCAGTGTTAACTGTGCCTGATGTGATGCAGTGTTTGTAGCGTGTGTTGGGGAGACTGCTTTGTGATCACAACCATTTTGCTTGAATCAAGCAGCCCACAGTTGGAGGTTGTTGTCATGGTAGTGATACATCTCAGGGATGCTGTATTTGATGTACTACCCATAATGCCCTGGGACCACATGTAACAGGCATAAAGGTCTTGTAGTTCTACTTTCCGCTTACTTTCCTCAAAGACAAATGCTAGGTAGTGTGTATTTAACTGGAATTACCTGGACAAACAAAGATGAGAAAATGTAGGCCAGGGCATTCAGTATGTTTTAAATAAACATGACTTGATAAATGTTACTCAGTTCGCTCCTTGGTAATTAGTCACTTCATGACAGACGAGTATAAACACAATAGTGTCATGTTAACCCGATTGTGACTGGGCAACCTTGTACTCTAAGGAGCTGCAAAATTGCTGTGCAGAGTTGCATCCCTTAGCACTACCAGGATCTGCAGGTTGGCTTTCCTAGCACCATACCTTGCTCATGTGTTTCACCAAAGTGTTAACATTAACCTGCATCACTTTGGGCTTTACTCTCACATTAACCTGAAACATTCGTGATGTAACTGGAATACTGTTAAGCTGTGTTAAACCCAACTTGTGAACCTAATCAAGAAATGCAGGTCATTGTGACCTTCAGATTCAAACTAGTTTGCTCCTCCAGTTAATACCCATCAATTGATATGTCCAATGTCTTCTGAATTTGTTTCACTCCTCTTGTTTTGTATTCAGTACCAGCTTCATCTCCAGTGTGTTGAAACATTGAAACTTCCAAGTGTACTGTGTGAAATAGGATTAAGCTTAGGAAATATGAGAACAGAGTTTTGCAAACATATATACAGATGAAAATGTATATAATCTAGGGAAAAGGTTTTCTCTCATCTCATTACTTATCTGTTTTATCGTTGATGGCTATTTTCTAATACAATTGGCATTTTGTTAAATATTTACAGATCTAATCCATTTCAGGAGTATGCCAATTGCATTGACTCCAATATTTCACATCAAATGTTGAAGTCAGATTTGTTAGTTGTGAGAACATGGATGAGAAGATATGTCATGTGGGATAGGATCATTTAGCCACAACACAAACTGCCTTTCATCTTGTTTGTGATCCACTCTTTATCATGTATACAGAGACTAAACTTTGTGCACCACTACCAGACACTGATAATGCTGTTTGTGTTCTGGCTGATTTTTGTGATTCTGGCTGTCAGATTCATGATGTAAGGCTGCACAATGAATTGTTTTGCTGGGCCACACAGATAATTGGGGACATTTCATTACGTCCTCATAATTTATTTTCTTGATGTTATCAGTTCTAAAAACACAATTTGAGGGTGCCAAATTCCAATCAAACACTTCATGTTCAGAATGCAATGTGAAATATGAATACTCTGTTGTTGTTTGGATAAGAGGTCGTCTATGCAAGGATGAAAAAGATCCATCTTCCCAAGGCAAGGGCGTTAACTGACTATAAAAGTCCAGTTTCCACCCTTGCCGAAACTAGGCTGTAATTTCTTTGCTCGACCGTAGCGCTACAAGTGACTATTATGAGTTATGTTCCTTCTATTAACCTATTGATCACTTGCATTTGCTTCAAACAAAATGGCGGCGCCCAGTCAAGACGATCTGATCGATAGTCAAGACCTCTTTTGTAATTGAATGGGTCTTACCCCGCAAAGTGCATCAAATCACTTGAGCACCTTAGTTAAAAACATGAAAAGACAAAATATCTGTCAACTCCTAGTTAGTGGTACAAATGCTTTGCACGTTAAAATCCATGTTGTTGTTTAAGAACTGGATGTCTAGTTTGATTGGACTATGCATAGACTCTTTAGTCCAGCCAAAATGTAAACTCTGGAATTCCAGCCTAGTTCGGCAAGGGTTGAAACTGGACTTCTAAAGTCAGTTACCATCCTTGCCTCGGGGAGATGAACAAGATGATAAAAGGACTAACTTTGACTCTGAAGTTACATATTGTAACCTATGGGAAAGAAGCTAAACCTTTGACCAAGCTCATCACTCCTATCCAATACCTTTCTTTATGCAGAGAGGTATTGTAATGGGGGTAAAAGATCTGATTTTAATAACATTGAACCTTCAACATAGGGCACTGATACCAACCGACTACAACATATTACTAAATGACCACACATTTTCTGCATACTTCAACATATGATGTGATTTCCTTCTAGCATTTCAGGAGCTTATGTCGGTGTCTACTTGGTTTTATCTGTACTTGCCATCATGCCTCTAATGTGTACATTAAACTGCTATCCTGCCTTTGTGCTGTTTACCCAAGTGGAAATTTCAATCATAATATGCATATAAGACTCATCCCCACTGCCAGCTAATGTTTCTGTGTAAGTCTCATGACTCGAGAATTTCTTGAAAATGAATGTAGCTGTCGTGTTGACCCTTCTGATGTGCCAAGACTCTCAAGTGTATGATTGCAAGTCATTAGCCATAATACAGCCTGGAATCCAGTGGCGTGTATTCTGACTTCATCTGTATATAGTTGTCATGTTGCATTGTAATTTATGGGCAGACTGCTGAATGTGATGAGAGCGTGTGATGTTCGGTCAATGTGATACATGGATGTACGTTCTCAAAGCTTGCCATTGTCGCTGCAGTCTATATTTTGTATTGTACATCTGGAATATAATAAAACAAACGTATTCCAGTGTTACAGTGTCTTTGTCTTTGTCTTTTGTCTACACCAGTAGTGTTGAATGTGTGGACACAATACATGCCATGAGGTGCCACATTATGTCTATTTGAATCATTAAACTAACTCAGTTGTTGCATGCACAGGCATTTCTATGGTCAGACTGTCTATTTCTGTATTTCTATCAAACAAGGATGTATTTTTTTTTAAATTGCCCAGGGCTTCAGAGTGAGCATGGTTTTACGTCACTCTTAGCATTATTCCAGCAATATCACGACAGAGGGACACTAGAAATGGGCATCACACATTGTTCCCATGTCAGGAATCAAACCAGGGTCTTCGGCGTGATGAGTGAACGCCTAACCACGAGGCTACCCCACCGCTCCTGAGAATACACTATATTGCCAGCCAGATGTCAGCCTGTTACCCTTTTATTATCCCCCCGGCATATGATGCGGGGGGATATAGCGATCAGCCAGTCTGTCTGTCTGTCTGTCCATCCGTTCGTAATCCGGGGCAGAATTCCAAAACCATTCATGGTATTTGATCGAAACTTGGCAAAGCTATCAGTCACATACTGAAGTGGTACCTTTTGATATTTTGGGATTTTCTAAAAAAAATTTTTAAAAATTTTTATGGAATGAAGTTGGACATAAACTCAATTGGGGATTGGGTTCGTTTCCGAGGCAGAATTCGAAAAACCATTCAGTGTATTTGATCGAAACTTGGCAAATCTATCAGTCTCATACTGAAGTTGTGCCGTTTGCTATTTAGGAATTTTATACATTTTTATTTTTTACGTTTCCATGGCAACAAGTTGGACTTAGGTTCTATAGGATAGAGTTCGTTTACGGAGCATAACTCAAAACCTATTCAAAACTTTCTTACATAACTTTGCATGTCTATCAGACTTGCTGAACTGGTGCCTTTTGCTATTTAGGAATTTTATGAATTTTTATTTTTTACGTTCCCATGGCAACAAAATGGAATTAAGTTTTAATATAGGGTGGGTTCACTTATGGAGTAATACAAATAAACTGTTAAATATTTCCTTGCCAACATTGCATGTCTATATCTATACTGAACTGGTGCCATTTGATATTAAGGAAGTTCATAAGTTTTAGAAATGTTTATTTTAGTGAATGAGTAAGTATGGTTTTACGCCGCTTTTAGCAATAGTCCAGCAATATCACGGCGGGGGACACCAGAAATGGGCTTGACACATGTACCCATGTCGGGAATCGAACCCAGGTCTTGGGCGTGACGAGCGAACGCTTTAACCACTAGGCTACCCGACCAACCCTGTTTATTTTAGAATTTCCATTGCAGCTATTTTGAAATGGGCTAAAAGAAATGTTGGGTCACTTACCTGGTTTGGGACCATAACGTGTTAAAATGGGCGGGGGATATAGATGACTTCGTGACTGTACGCTTGTTTAGTCATTGTTTCTTGTAATTTGTCATTTGTTTGCATAAAAAAAAATACAGAATAGCACATTTACTTGTGGTTGCTTTACAGACAGCTGCCAGGGGGATATGTCATCTTTCTGATGACTCTTGTTCTAATATTCTTTTATCATTAATGACTAAGAATTGGTATTTACTTGTCTCAAACATCAACAAAAGATAAATGCGCCAGCATAACAACACTGGATCTTCATGGTACCAATTATCAACCAAATCAGCATCTCTTAGGCATGCCAGAATTTTTATCATGGTTTCAAATCTCAGATTAAGTCATTAACCCAGCTTAAATTTTTTTGTTTGTCAGCACCATCTCAATCAGTGTCTGAAATAACTGTCTGCCTGCTCACCTGCCTATGGCTGGAAACTTATCTGTTGGGCTACAGGAAATTTTCCTCTACCTGCCCGACTCATAGATTTTCTGGCAATTGTTTGCAATATTTCAACTGAATCATGATGTAATTTGTCTCTTATTTTAACAATTTTGTCTGAATGCGGGCAGGTAACTTAGAAGATGAGCAGGCAACACTTATGGGTCACCTGCCCGTCTGTCTTGTTGGGTGTTATAATTATTTCAAACACGGATCTCAATGCTATTTCAAACCTGTATCACTTTGGCTTTCCAACTACATTAAGCTGACACTCCAATATGTTCAAAGTGGCGTTAAGCCAAACTTACTCTGAAACAAAATGATAAACACATATGATGCTTATCTTTTATTCATGCACAAATGATCAGTTATTTTAAACTGAGTCTTACTGTTAAAATAAAGGATAGATAGATTCATCCTCAGTGGACACTTCCATCGCAACAAACTTAGCCAGTTACTTTAGGAAACTGCACAGAACTGAAAAAGGCCCGAACGGCACCTCCACAATACACACATGCATACAGCACTAAGTAACCAGCTATAGCAGCCTATCCTCTATGACAAACACATCTAGACCCATCTAATTCAACACAAGAGCATATGGCTGTCTTACTTGCTCGATATGTAGCCTTGCAGAATCAAAAGATTAGGTGAGTGAGTGAATCCAAATTTAACAATTAACATCACATCGGCTTATTTCAGCCAATTAGCATCAAGATGAGGACACTTCATTACCATATACTCTTCTTAAAATTCAAACTCGTGATAGATACTGGTAGACACAGAACTGTTGAAGCTGTTCCAACATGCTAGGGATGATCTCATTGTTTGACTGGTAATTTCTTTGGACAGTCTTATGCATGAAACTGTAACACGTCTGTTACAGGTTACAGCTACATGTTCATCCCTGCACAAACGACAAGGTGTGCTAAGGACCATATTTGGCCCACAGGATGTGTATAATTTCAGAATTGAGTAAAACTTTTACTTTAGATAATCTAATGTATCTAATATGTTCCTCTGAATGAGAACTTTTGTCTTTTGTTCATGTCAACGAGAATGTAATGGACATGACAACAATAAATGCATAGTAAAGATATAAAGTGTCCAAAAAGGCCTATTTTAGAGGTTTTCATGAAGTATTTTTTCTAATATTTGAATGTGGGCAAGTCACTGACCCAATCTGATTTTCATAGTAGATACATAAAACATGACAAAAACTTCATCTTGGGTCAGAGATTATTTCGTTTGAGTTTCTAAAAATCTTACTTATTATTCATTTGAGCCATACTTGTGTATTTGACCATGTCAATGGTCCAAAACTTGCAAGTGTAAGACAGGAAAATGGTATCAAATATTTGAACATATCTGATAATTTTCACACTAAAATTTCAAAGTTTTCCACTACCTTAAAATTTTGTATTTCCAGTGAGCCAAAAAGGGCCCTAATTTCCTCCTTTGAATCGTGGCACTCATTCATAATCACTGGTAACACAACACAGCATGAACATACAGTATGTCTGAACCAGGAAGAACATTGTGCGATCAACTGAACTGTTCATGGACCTGGGTATGATGTCACTGAATCAGCTGAGGATATCCTGATGGGAAGTCGCAGGGTTTTACACAATGCAGAAATGTGCACAAGTGGACAGAATGGATGCAGAAAAAAACAAGTATTGCATACTGAGGGATATGACAATCATAGGGCTACGATCACTTTGTGGATTGGGGCCCTGGACACTCATTTCCAAAAAAGACTCTTCAAATCAATTAGGCTAAAAAAAATAATAGTCGTGGTTCTCAGGCACCACCCGCATCATCATAAAGTTCGCAGCACATTCTGTTTTTATTTCTATATTGAATTTTTTATTAAAAAAATCATTAAATATTCCAAGTCCAACGATAGTCAAATACTGTATTCCAGTATTATACTCATCAAGGAATACATTTATGTAGGGAGGCCATTTCCCAGGTTGATTGTACACAACTATTTATTTAGTTACATATTAGTTTGAACAACAAAAAACAAATCACTTTTTTAAAGGTTTAGTGGGGGTTCCCTGGACAGCCAGTTTTGCAGTAAAACCCCGAATTCTTGTATGGATATCAGGATATATCTTGTACAGACTTCACATAAGCAGATGAGATGTTTCCAACTGAGGGTAATGTCCACCCTAAAACACTCATTTACAAGCAAAAAAACATTTCTTTTCTATTTCCAACAATGGTTTAAGAGGTTTTCTTGCCTACTCTCAACAAAAGGGTACCTAGAAATAGATAAAGTTCCAATTTGCATGATTTGTGAATGTGTTTTCTTACGCCCAACTAACATTTAGTTTCTGGACACATGGTTTTCTAACAACTGTTTGAAGAAATACTCCATACATATATAAAAACATTACACATCAGACTACTAACAATAAACAATTGACTTTCACTCACAAGCAGAAAATCTGACTGATGTACATTGTATATATACAAAATCAAGTCACTTAAATACAGACAATGCACATGGTAAGCATGTGGCTCTCTCTGAACACCCAACAGCTGTTCTGGATTTATATAAGGCTGAAAAATAAAAGAAATATGCTGATTCATCCACTCAGTAAATGCAGCTGTTCCCAAACACTTCTTGAGGTACATGGAAATCTTGTACAGAACATCCAACCGAAAAGCCTTCGTCCAAACATTTTAACCTCCCTTCTTCTGATTGTATCAATCCAAGCACTCCCTTCACGAGGTCCTGGCTGCTTGCAATATTGGCCTTGGCCCTTAGAGGGAATGTTGACAGCACACAATCACACTAACATGTGTGCAATAAATATCCCAGGTTTGAGAGCATTTCCTAGAAGTCCATTGTTAAAATAGTTTTCTATGTTCCCCTGCATCAAAATAAGTTAGCCGAGAATCCAAACACTTGATTCATGCGTTGCCAGTAATGGGTCTTCCAGCCCTGTAACGTATTGTCATACTCGGAGTCAGGAACCCCCTGCTGGGTTAACCTAAGTACAGTAGTAGAGTCCTGCTCCTCAAGTTCTATTGTCACGAAAGAGTAGTGCTCTGTGGGCCATGACTTTATCCTCCACTTTTGTACTATCTTCTTTTCGGGCACCTACAAGGAATAGAATTGTTTTCAGTGAGTGACTGAGAGAATGGTATTGTGCACAGCCAAGTTCCTTGTTAAGATGACACAGTAACCTGTCATCGGGGTACCCTATCTAAGTTTTGATTGGCTGTCGAATCCGATTTTCTATTTCTTGATTTACCCATTTTTAGGGGGAAATCTGGTAGGTAGTTTGGACAAAAAATTAAAACTCTAAACTTTGTTTTTCTTCTAAACGTTATTAACATGATAAAGACAAACTCACCCCAGTGTCTTTTGATATCAAATATATCAAATATATCAACACAAGTCTATGAAAGTTTAACATGGCTTGCTGAGGAGGTAAAAGCTTCTATTGTCTAATTTGTGAACAATAATGAGAGGAGTCTTGTGTGCGTGTGTACCTGCGTGCTTGTACTAGTCTGGACTAATGTTGATTTTATGATGCAAGCCCACTGAGATACCATGCCACAGTTTAATATTGATACACCACTCAGACACAGTAGACTGACTCCGAGCGGACCAGTCCTTGGTTTAGCCCCTTAATGCTGAGCGCCAGGCAGGGTAATAAGTACAATCTTTTAACATCTTTTGGTATGATGCGGCCAGGGATCGAGCCCACGACCTTCCGCTCTCCTGGCAGACACTCTACCACCAGACCACGGAGGACGTCGCTGTGGGGTAAGATATTGCCTGATCTCACCAAGTGACATGTCCTGTGGAAGCCAGTTTCGGATGATAAATTAACACATTTGATAGTTTTCAATCACTTACTAAATCCACAAATTCCCCTGTGACATGGCCGCCCATCATTGAGAAGCGTTCTCCTTTAGCAGGTTCTAATGTAGCAGGTCCACCAGTAAATGCTTCCACCATCTACAAATGAAGAAGAATACAGCATGCTTAAAACAAAGGCATAAATAATAGTTGGGAGTTGAGGTTGAGGTTTGTTTAACAGAGGAAAGTCCAGGCCAACTTGAACAGTATTTCAGTTATATCACGCCATGTCTTGGAAATTTCCCCACAGTGACAGCATGGTAGAGGTGGCTACCCCTTGTCAGTGTGGTAGAGGTACCTACCCCCTTGTCAGTTAAAGCATGGTAGAGGTGGCTACCCCTTGTCAGTGTGGTAGAGGTACCTACCCCCTTGTCAGTTAAAGCATGGTAGAGGTGGCTACCCCTTGTCAGTGTGGTAGAGGTACCTACCCCCTTGTCAGTGAGAGCGTGGTAGAGGTGGCTACCCCTTGTCAGTGTGGTAGAGGTACCTACCCCCTTGTCAGTGAGAGCACGGTAGAAGTACCTACCCCCTTGTCAGTAAAAGGATGGTAGAGGTGGCTACCCCTTGTCAGTGTGGTAGAGGTACCTACCCCCTTGTCAGTGAGAGCATGGTAGAGGTGGCTACCCCCTTGTCAGTGAAAGCATGGTAGAGGTGGCTACCCCTTGTCAGTGTGGTAGAGGTACCTACCCCCTTGTCAGTGTGGTATAGGTACCTACCCCCTTGTCAGTGAGAGCACGGTAGAAGTACCTACCCCCTTGTCAGTAAAAGGATGGTAGAGGTGGCTACCCCTTGTCAGTGTGGTAGAGGTACCTACCCCCTTGTCAGTGAGAGCATGGTAGAGGTGGCTACCCCTTGTCAGTGTGGTAGAGGTACCTACCCCCTTGTCAGTGAGAGCATGGTAGAGGTGGCTACCCCTTGTCAGTGAGAGCGTGGTAGAGGTGGCTACATCTTGTCAGTGTGGTAGAGGTACCTACCCCCTTGTCAGTTAAAGCATGGTAGAGGTACCTACCCCTTGTCAGTGTGGTAGAGGTACCTACCCCCTTGTCAGTGAAAGCATGGTAGAGGTGGCTACCCCTTGTCAGTGTGGTATAGGTACCTACCCCCTTGTCAGTGAAAGCATGGTAGAGGTGGCTAGCCCTTGTCAGTGTGGTATAGGTACCTACCCCCTTGTCAGTGAAAGCATGGTAGAGGTGGCTAGCCCTTGTCAGTGTGGTAGAGGTACCTACCCCCTTGTCAGTGAAAGCATGGTAGAGGTGGCTACCCCCTTGTCAGTGTGGTAGAGGTACCTACCCCCTTGTCAGTGAGAGCGTGGTAGAGGTGGCTACCCCCTTGTCAGTGTGGTAGAGGTACCTACCCCCTTGTCAGTGTGGTAGAGGTACCTACCCCCTTGTCAGTGAAAGCATGGTAGAGGTGGCTAGCCCTTGTCAGTGTGGTATAGGTACCTACCCCCTTGTCAGTGAAAGCATGGTAGAGGTACCTACCCCCTTGTCAGTGAAAGCATGGTAGAGGTGGCTACCCCCTTGTCAGTGAAAGCATGGTAGAGGTGGCTACCCCCTTGTCAGTGAAAGCATGGTAGAGGTGGCTACCCCCTTGTCAGTGAAAGCATGGTAGAGGTGGCTACCCCCTTGTCAGTGAAAGCATGGTAGAGGTGGCTACCCCCTTGTCAGTGTGGTAGAGGTACCTACCCCCTTGTCAGTGAAAGCATGGTAGAGGTGGCTACCCACTTGTCAGTGTGGTATAGGTACCTACCCCCTTGTCAGTGTGGTAGAGGTACCTACCCCCTTGTCAGTGTGGAGGGGTGGCTACCCCCTTGTCAGTGTGGTATAGGTACCTACCCCCTTGTCAGTGTGGAGGGGTGGCTACCCCCTTGTCAGTGTGGTATAGGTACCTACCCCCTTGTCAGTGAAAGCATGGTTGAGGTGGCTACCCACTTGTCAGTGTGGTAGAGGTACCTACCCCCTTGTCAGTGTGGTAGAGGTGGCTACCCCCTTGTCAGTGTGGTATAGGTACCTACCCCCTTGTCAGTGAAAGCATGGTAGAGGTATCTACCCCCTTGTCAGTGTGGTAGAGGTACCTACCCCCTTGTCAGTGTGGTAGAGGTACCTACCCCCTTGTCAGTGAAAGCATGGTAGAGGTGGCTACCCCCTTGTCAGTGTGGTAGAGGTACCTACCCCTTGTCAGTGTGGTAGAGGTACCTACCCCCTTGTCAGTGAAAGCATGGTAGAGGTGGCTACCCCCTTGTCAGTGTGGTAGAGGTACCTACCCCCTTGTCAGTGAAAGCATGGTAGAGGTGGCTACCCCTTGTCAGTGTGGTAGAGGTACCTACCCCCTTGTCAGTGAAAGCATGGTAGAGGTGGCTACCCCCTTGTCAGTGTGGTAGAAGTACCTACCCACTTGTCAGTGTGGTAGAGGTACCTACCCCCTTGTCAGTGTGGTAGAGGTGGCTACCCCCTTGTCAGTGTGGTAGAGGTACCTACCCCCTTGTCAGTGAAAGCATGGTAGAGGTGGCTACCCCCTTGTCAGTGTGGTAGAGGTACCTACCCCCTTGTCAGTGTGGTAGAGGTACCTACCCCCTTGTCAGTGAAAGCATGGTAGAGGTATCTACCCCCTTGTCAGTGTGGTATAGGTACCTACCCCCTTGTCAGTGAAAGCATGGTAGAGGTGGCTACCCCCTTGTCAGTGTGGTATAGGTACCTACCCCCTTGTCAGTGAAAGCATGGTTGAGGTGGCTACCCACTTGTCAGTGTGGTAGAGGTACCTACCCCCTTGTCAGTGTGGTAGAGGTGGCTACCCCCTTGTCAGTGTGGTATAGGTACCTACCCCCTTGTCAGTGAAAGCATGGTAGAGGTATCTACCCCCTTGTCAGTGTGGTAGAGGTACCTACCCCCTTGTCAGTGAAAGCATGGTAGAGGTGGCTACCCCCTTGTCAGTGTGGTAGAGGTACCTACCCCCTTGTCAGTGAAAGCATGGTAGAGGTGGCTACCCCTTGTCAGTGTGGTATAGGTACCTACCCCCTTGTCAGTGTGGTAGAGGTACCTACCCCCTTGTCAGTGAAAGCATGGTAGAGGTGGCTACCCCCTTGTCAGTGTGGTAGAGGTACCTACCCCCTTGTCAGTGAAAGCATGGTAGAGGTGGCTACCCCTTGTCAGTGTGGTATAGGTACCTACCCCCTTGTCAGTGTGGTAGAGGTGGCTACCCCCTTGTCAGTGAGAGCGTGGTAGAGGTACCTACCCCCTTGTCAGTGAGAGCGTGGTAGAGGTACCTACCCCCTTGTCAGTGAGAGCGCGGTAGAGGTCGGCAGCTCGACATTTAAACTCCTCCCTGGTCACCAGCTTCTTGGTGTGGATTCGCACACCTAGTCCATCCATCCGTTCGCTGCAGTCAGTCACCACTTTATTCATTTCCTCTTTTGCTTTGTTCTGGAATAAGAAGAATGTTACAGAAAAACGTGTGTTGAACATGCGCAGAGAAACATTTGTAAACAGTGGGTCTGCTAGGGATGATCAAATTTTGACAGATACTTTACCTGCAGGGCACATCCATTACATTACACCTGGCGGCCTGCATGATACTGTTACAAATGACAGTGCCACTCTCAGCCCAGGGACCCATTAAAAAAAGCGATCTTAGCACTGTAACAATCTTAAGTCTATGGTATATTATGGAAGATATGATGATTGCTTTGTGGAACAGGAACCAGGACTTCGCCTGCAGGTAACATCCACAGTATAACACCTGGCAGTCTGCTCGATACTGTTACAAATGACATGTTCAAGACTTATATAGCGACATGTGTGTATGTGTGTGTGCTCTGCTTGTACTAGTCCAGACTAATGCCATTTTTATACTGCTAGCCCACTGAGATACCATGCCGCAGTTGAACATGAATACCCCACTCAGACAAAGTACACCGGCTCCCATGCCGACCAGCCCTTGTTTTAGCCCCTTAAAGCCGAGCGCCATGCAGGGTAACAATATGTACCATCTCTTAATGTTTTTTGGGATGACGTGGCCGGGGATTGAACCCACGACCTTCCGCTCTCCAGGCCGATGCTCTATCTACCAGACCATGGAGGCATTCCTCCGATCAGTGACACCTCTCGTATATGCTATGAATAATAAAGCCTGGAGCAGATAAACAACAACAATAATCTCCCAGCACCCTGTTCCACAAAGAAATCCAATGCTATGACTATCCCAACTCCCATACAATCATTTCCAATGTTGTGTTTGATATTCTTGGTGACACTGGGTATGACAGCACCATGGTGCCACTATTGGCACCTTCAAACAAACCTGAACTTGTCAGAGAATGAATAACCATATTCAATTCAGCACAGGGATGTAGGACATTTGCAATAGGAACATGCCAGCCATGATCCTTATTTCTGGAAGTGATTTCATCAGGAACAAACACTACTCACCTCTTTGTTTACCACCTTTGGAGCTGGGGCTTTTGCACAATCTTTGGTTGGCAAGATAATGCCCTGTCCATATTCTAAAAAGAGAACAATGAAGGTAACAGTACTGACAGTAAGCAGAATAGGTGAGGTGAAATTGGGTTTACCGTCTCGTCCAAGATTATTGCACTTATATAGCGACGTGCATGCACATGTGTGTGTTTGTGTGGCTGCTTGTACTAGTCCGGACTGATGCCGATTTATAGTGCTAGCCCACTGAGATACCATGCCCCAGTTTAACATGAATACCTCACTCAGACACAGTATACTGACTCCGAGCCGACCAGTCCTTGTTTTAGCCCCTCAATGCCGAGCGCCAGACAGGGTAACAACAAGTACCATCTTTAAGCGTCTTTTGGTATGACGCGGCTGGGGATCGAACCCCGGACCTTCCGGTCTCTGGGCGGACACTCTACCACTAGACCACGGAGGCGGTCTAGTAAGCAGAATAGCAGATACAGGTGAGTTAAAGTGCAAATAAACCCATAACCATTGAGATAAGAAACAGAGCATAATCAAATTTAAAAATACAAAGAGATTTGTACATTAATTCTGAAGTACAATATCTCAATATTACCGTTAATACAAATTACTACTGGGACCAATGGATAATTAATCATTTTTTAGACAATAAACAGACACAAATAAACATAGTGTAGATTAAGCATCGCAGTTGTATCATATTGAAAGGACATATGCCTTAAAGGATTGTCATGTATCAAATTACCTTCTCGAAGTCTGTTTATATATTCTGCCATCTTTTCCTGAATAACCTTGGTGCCAACTATCCTCATGATCTCCTTCACTTCCGTGGCATCATCACTTGTGCTATCACACGACACATTCACCTGCCACACAAGGATAACAGATAATTAACATAGTTCAAAATCTGGCCACTGCACTATTACCACATTTACTGTATTAAGGGTTCAGATCTAATAAGCACAACCCCTTGCTAACTTTCTAAACCAATCTGTAAGTATCTGCCCTCATATAAAACCAAAAATGTACATATTTTCTTGTGTATATATAATATTACACATTTTATACAGACAACAGCAGTGTAGAAATGGTATCTAAATTCCTAGTAACTATTAGGCAAAAAAATAAATAATAGACTTGGTTGTCAGGCACTGCCCACATCATCATAAAGTTCATTGCACGTTTTGTTTCCATTTTCAATTTTTTTGTGCATTGTGTTTAAGTATTAGGATTTGTATATTTTTTTGGAAAATGGAAAATAAAAACAAAATGTTTGGCAGACTTTATGATGATGTGGCTGGTGCCTGAGAACTCAGACTATTATTCTTTTTAGCCTTATTCAAAACCTTTTGTTTTATCAACATTTGAATTATAGGGAATCAGAGTATTCCCCTTATATATATACTTATCCTGACACAACAGTATGCAATATTCCTTCCCTCGGGCGATGAGTGAGTGAGTATGGTTTTGCGTCACTTTTAGCAATATTCCAGCAATATCACAGTGGTGGAAACCAGATATGGGCTTCACACATTGTACCCGGGAATCAAACCCGGGTCGTAAGCGTGATGAGAGAACGCTTTAACCACTAGGCTACCTGACGGCCCCCGGCGGGCGATGAAGGAAAAGTGATGAGTAGTACAGGAGCATGCTGGGAGTGAGGTGATCGAAGGGTGTGTTCCGGTGATGATTGTTTTCACAATATTCTACACTGTTCTATGATCAAAGCAAGAAGGAGCATTGCATACTGTTGTGGAGGGATAAGTTAAAAAAATAAAATATTTACTACCATTCAATCTCAATCACAAATTTAACTTGTTTATGGTTATAATAAGTGCTGCTTTGTCACTTTGTCACCCTGGGCGCTTATTATGGTGAATATGGTAATAGAGACACTGGTGGGACATTTTCAGTTGAAAACAAATCATGTTGATGTCTCAATGTATGAGCTGCTATTTCTGACTGACATGATGTAGCACTAATCATGGAAAACACTTCGTGTGATACATGCACACATGAAAACATCTGTACTATTACTTATCATAAATTCTAGCTAACTGATTGGGCAGTCGTCTTGTAAAGCCCAGACAGGTACGGATATCATGACATGATAATACTTGATGTGACATCACTTGCTTGTCATGTCACAACTGATCCTGTTAGCTGTTACCCCCGGCTGTTATGAGTCAAATACAATACTAATGTAATAATAAACAAAGCACTTTGCAACATGACAGCTTACATCAATCTCGTGAGCTTCATTTTCCTCGCTCAAATTAGGTATGTCAAAGGTGCCTTTATAGCTCTTCTTGGAGTCTTTCAAACAACCTGAAAAAATAACCATATATAGACTCGTAAAACATTACCGGGGTATCGTCATCTCAGTGATGTATTGGTTCATAAGGCGACGAGTTCACATTCTCCCCCCCCCCATATACATGTATGTGTACAATAACTTCCTAGCGTATTCTTGCATGAGCAATATACCACAATGCACATCTGGTAGCAGGTGAAACATGTCAAAGTGTTGCAGATTTCAAAGTACTTGTGCATTATTCTCAATGTTAAAGGGGCACTGATCTAACGCAATTCCCCGGACTGGTTGTTGCCTTTGTTATTGTTTTTTCCCCCGTGAGTACCCGGATGATACGCAACGCAACTGAGCGTGACCAGAGACTGGGCTACCGTCTGCAAGGACAGCTAAATAAACTTGGAGGCTGGAGGCAATATTTGTTTTACGCATTTTTGCATAAACACTGATTGGTTAACTGTGATCTATACAGATTTCGACAAAGGGCGCATGTTAATTAATTTCTTCAGCCTAAACAAGCAGACAAAAAGAACAGCGGAGCTCATCGGATGTCGTCATTTGGAAATACCCCAGATGGTTATAGTTTTATGCTAAAAAAGGTATCCATGCAGTGAAAGCATTTTCGGATTTCGGCTTGCGTCGATAATACGATTACTACTCCCTTGTTGACATCCACGTTTTCTCGTATAACCCTTCACTTGTGTATTTGTCGTCATTCACTTGATGCTCAGTTAATGAATTTATTACAGGTACAATTAGTGGTTGCACCACTTAGATTACCTGACAAAGGTTCCCATTTGGCATTTATTGTGTCTGGGGTAATTATTCAATCTAAATCCAGGTTTGAAGTGAGGTGAAATGTGTGTTATGTAATATGCACGTGGCAGCCCAGCAAGAGATGAATGATCAGTTGATTTATTTTTTTGTAAATCAACGGACGTTCCTAGTCATCAAAGGATTAACAGAAATACGTTGATTGATTAATCACTGTTATCTTGCACAGTGGATATGTCAAGAGTGAGTGTTTACATGTCTAGGTTTACTAAAACAAAGGGAATACACTCATACCATGGCGTGAAGTGCCGATGTAAATATTATAATATCCCGAAACGACATATATCTTTTAAAATATTTGATTGTTACTGAGACACGTGACATCGAATAAGTTTCTTTGTACATCTGCAGACGAGTGAGATATTGTTCCTTTGTGTGGATATTCACGGATACATTCCCCGAACAAGGACGCTGCCTAAAATTTATACACATAAATTTGGTAGGTTGTATTTATGATATTTGCATTTTGTTTTCCTTCCTTTGAACCAATTCGTTCTTGTTTCTCTACGTCTTGGTTGGGAAATTCTTCAATGCGCGATAGTCGTTGTTTTCACAGGTCTTTTCCTTTGTAAGCGTGTATATATTACCGTCAATTTGTAAAATGTGATTCTCTCAGGCAATTTATAAAATGTGTAAATATTTCAGTCATTTTGACTAAAAAATCTGTCCAGATTGATTAAGACGATCAAAAAGGCCTTACAAACATCACAACAGATTATTATGTAGGATTAGAAGCCAAACAACATAGAAATGTACTTTTCTCAACGTAACATTTTCAGTCTCTTGGTGATGACATTAAACATCAAAATGTTTGGAATTCGTTATCATAATAATACAGATGGAAATGTTTTTCAGTCACTTTGTAAAATAACTGAATATTTAGACGTTTAATAAATTTGTTACACATTTGACAGTGAAAAAAAATACACACTTTAAAAAAAGCAATGCTCAGGTGAAATATGTACTTTGTGTTGCAAGTCAAAATAGTGTAAACGAAAATCGCAAAATTACCAAGCAAGTGACTTATCAAAACTTCGTCACCATTACCGATGCTACCCACAAAGATACCTACATTTCCTTATTATCTCGAAAACTGTATTTCATTTTGTTCATCAATGTGACCATACGCCCTTATTACTACCCATAAAAGCGACTAATGCGCTTACGAATGGCGCAGCAGAGGTCGCGAACTAGTCTAGATTTCTGCTATACATCCGGGTACTCACTGGGAAAAAACAATAACAAAGGCAACAACAAGTCCCGGGGAATTGCGTTAGATCAGTGCCCCTTTAAATGGTCCCCACAAAGGTATCTGATGTATTGGGGCTGCATAATTGAATTATTTATTCTTCTGTATAATTTAGAATTGAAAAAAGTATATAAAATATCTTTTTAAATCTCAGTTTTCAAGACTGTTATTTGACACACAATGTATGTTTTTTGTTCAAATAGTCCTATGAAGTTGCATGCCATATATGGATTGACCAATGAAAACTAACCTCAAACAGTCAGTAAAGGACTGTCAACAATGGTATGGTTGCTTAAGGCCTAGTTATGGTATATGACTTGTGTTGGTTGCAAAACTTTAACATGGCTATCAAACAGGGATTAAAGTTTATATAAAAATTTTTTTACCAAGTTTATGTACTTGCAGCTAGTTTTTGCAAGTAACTAAATATTAATGTATAGATTTTTTTTATGACTTTGTGATAATACAATATATACAAAAGAACATGGTTGTCTGCATGTATCTAATCCTAAACTTAGATTTCACTGTGAATTTGCTTGTGTGAGAGGATAAACATTTGATGATACCATCAAAGTGTTCAAAATTAAGAATGAAAGTCCTCATAAAAACCCTAATATCAAAAGCTTAAAGTTTAGGGCCCTGAGACTCAAACACTAAAGAAGCAAAGGTCCCAACATAATTTTTAACACTGCCATCAAATAAGAATACTTCAGTTTCATTTCCTGGTATCTCTACTGACCTGACCATTTCCCCTTCACTTCAAACTCATAGAAGAAGATGAGCTTGCCCTTCCTGTTGTTTGCTGTTGCCTCGCCTTCCACCTTGGTGAGTTCCTTCACTTCACAGCTCCCTGTAGATAAACACATACAGCAGTTCAAGTACAAACACAGACAAGGAAAGGGGTTTGCATTGTGATGCCTTGTTACAAGGTATGTATAACCTCAGTACACTTATAAAAGTAAAGATCTCCTATTAAGGATCCTACAGATATATGACACTACAATTCCGAACGTTTTTAATCATCATTTTAAATGCTTTTTATTTGGGTGATTAGCCTTAGTCTGTCAATTTTTTTTTGTCAGAACCTCTTTCCTTCTTTTTTAAAAGACAGCTTCGGAAGAGGTTGTGGAATTCAATATAACGCCATGTTATCACATATCATGAATACGTCAGACAGATTTGTGAACCTACATACCTTTTTTATTTTCAACTACAAGCCCAGTCAACAGCTCCTTAAGTTTATCAATCGACCAGCTTGTTGCATTCTTTTCAACCCTAACAAAAATAAAACACAGACAATTAAATTGGTTACAAAGACTGTTTTTGACGGCATGAATTGTTTGAGTGAAAAATAGAAAGATCTTGCGATTATCTTTGTTTCACTAATATGTTATAGCCTGTGGAAATACTTCTAGTCGTTATTCATAGCAATAAACGTGTGTCAAAGTAATTTAATTCACGATCTTTATACATGACATAGAGTAATTCCGCTAATCTCACCAATGCCAATTGTTGACATTCGTCGCATCGGGCCTTTCCTCAACGATCCACCGAGGGTCTCCTTCGCCCCATTTCGCCATTATGCGTTTGTGTTGTTGTTTGTTTACGGTTGAAGAACAGTTCCGAGGGTTCGATCAGCTCGTGATAAAAAGACCGACCGGTAAGCTTCACGCCGCAAACATGCGTTTCTCGAAACTACGCCGGATGTTGATAAATAACGCCACCTGTATGACAAGGGGAGGTAAATGTGATTGAACAGAAGTTTGATTGTACAGAACTAGATTTTATATGTCGGCTGAACGACTACAAACGACAGTCGAACAGAAAATAGCCCACACTTCAATGTATGTTGTGCATTTATACAGATAATACAATTTATGATCATGAAAAGCATATGGGATTTTTATAATTTCACAATGAGATTTTACTAGTGATTCGCCATGTCTGTACTCGCACGTTTCCTGAGCAAATCACTCTATTTTTAATACGATCGTTTTCGCAGTGTATACCTATTTTCTAGAAGCTTCAGCGGCTAATCATTTGAGGAGACATGTTTTATATACACTCACCTGTCACTTTATAAAGATCAACATAATACAGACGGGGCTTCTGGATTGTTCGAAAGTATGTCTATAGAATGTATAACCAGAAACCATAAGTAGATTTCTGGTATAACCTTGCTATAAGAGAGGCCGGGGACGTGTCTATCTCTGTAGCATAATCAGTTGCTTACTCACCACAAAATGAAAATCTGCGGTGGCCCATAAGGGACATGGAGTCCGTTTTTCAATATTTTGATATTCCACTTACTGTTATTGTAATCTTTTGCAAATTAACACGATTTGTCATACACATATGTGATAAATCATGTATAAAGAAGATATTGAATCGCTGAAATGTGAAGCCAGAGACCATATATCGGTATATGGTCTCTGGTGAAGCAAAAATGTCACTTTAGTTTTTGACATTTTCGCTTCACTTTTCAGCGATTCAATATAGCTACTTGAAAGTACATTTTCCATGTTTTCGGTTGTTGTGTTAATTTGCAAAAGGTTACGATAAAAGTAAGTGAAATATCAAAATATTTAAAAACAGACTCCATGTCCCTTATGGGCCACCGTAAAAATCAGATACACGCATATTCCACTTTTATTTCCTGTTCATATTTTATCATGTTAATGCAGTTGAAAGGGACAATCAAATGAAGGCATTACATCTCAAATCTTTTAACAAAACATTTCCTTGTTCATGTTTCTCGTCTTTTCCATGACATGTATCGGAAATTTAGTGCTACGTGGTACGTTATTTTAAAATAATGTGTTTATGATATTTCTATGAATATTGTTTTAAATTTCAGTTGTTCTGTTGTGCATTCGTATAAAAATGTACAGCGTATCACACGAAAAACAATGTTTGTCCATTGACTTTATCTAATGATTGCAGGCCCGTGAAGATCCGGAGTAGAATAGGTCCATGGCAACCCATGCTTGCCGTAAAAGTCGATTGTGCTTGTAAGAGGCGACTAACGGGATCAGGTGGTCAGATTCGCTGACTTGGTTGGTGCATGTCATCGATCACAATCGCATGGATCGATGCTCAGGTTGTCAATCACTGGATTGTCTGGTCCAGACTCGATTACTTACAGACCGCCGTCGTATAGCTGTAATATTGCTGAGTGCGACGTTAAAAAACAAACAAACAAACAAACAAACAAATCTAATGATTGCAAGATGTTTTCCACAGTCAACACGTTAAAGCAGGACAAATGAGCGGTGCTCATGGCTATCGCTCTAAATCTCGTCTAATGAAACAATTCATTAGCCGGATTAAATACTAGTATATTACCGGTAGTAAATAATAACAATCGATAACACTCCATTCATCGAACTTTTTGCCATTTACTGCACTGCCAGATATAGCTGCATCGCCCTCATTGACAATGGGGTGATTAGCAGCTGGTTACGTAATTACCAGGATTTACCTATAATTAGCATCGGTTGGTTCATTCCGTGCGCGAGATCAAACTTGACCCATCTCTTAATATAGCTATTAAACAATATAGCCACTCAGATGAATCAGTTGTAACCACGGAGACATGTTAAAAATGTATCGCCTCGTTATAACAAGTTGTGTTTCATTTACTGTTTGAATCAATGTTAGATTCTGTCTAGATTTCTTTGTTTGCCTGTTATTCACACTTTGAAGCTGTTGTTTTATAACGGCATGTATTTTGTTAAAACATACAACATTGAATGACTAATGCATGCTCTTTAATTGTGGATAGCCAAGTAGTTCAGGCATTTGCTCGTCACGCTGACGACCCGGGTTCGATTCCCGACATGGGTACAATATGGGAAGCCCGTTTCTGCTGTCCCCCGCTGTGATATTGCTAAAAGCGGCGTAAAACCATACTCACTCACTTTAGGTGTACAAGGTATAACAAAGGTACAATACAGTTTAGATTCACATACACGTTAACATGTATGAAATCTGATAAAGAAAAGTATTATATAAAACATATTTACTTGAAATAACTGAATTTATATCGTAGTGTTATTTTTATCACATTTCAAAACATAATTGTGATTTATTAAATAACATAACAGTCAGTTGGATTCATGGATTAATTAGGAATGTTTTAGACTTGTTACGTTAGTTGGCATGTTTAAAACTCTTGTAAAATAGTTTTCTGAATAATGTCACTTATCTTTATGTAAGCTGCTAGAATTATTAATAGATACTTTTTTTAACGTCGCGCTCAGCAATGTTCCAGCTATATAACGGCGGTCTGTAAAAAATCCAGACTGGACCAGACAATCCAGTGAATGCCATCATGAGCATCGATCTAAGCAATAAGGATACGATAATTTGCATCAACCCAGTCAGCGATCCTGACCACCCGATCCCGTTAGTCACCTCTTAGGACAAGCATCGTTTGCTGTAGACCAATTCTAGCCTGGATCTTCCCAAGATGCTTAATACACTCCCGATGTCACGATAATGTATTTTTGTGTATGCAAGGCAAAATTGAGTAGAAAGTTACTCCTTTGTAACAACATGACAGCCGCATCACGGAGACCCTCACACGTTGTATCCAAATGGAGAATCGATAGAGCAAAATCGGATCTACAGGAAGCGCCAGAGAGAGAGAGAGAGAGAGAGAGAGAGAGAGAGAGAGAGAGAGAGAGAGAGAGAGAGACCAGAAATGGGTTGTACACAATGTAACCATGTGGGGAATCCAACCCGGATCTTCAGCGTGACGAGCGAAGGCTTTAACCACTAGCCTGACCGCCCATCCATTTGGTTGCCTCTTGCGACCAGCATAGGTTGCTGGGGACCTATTCTAAACTGGAATGTAATTTCTTCTAAATGAAAGTATCGGAAAAGGAAACATAATTCTTCCTTGACTTGGGAAACCAAGTGCCTTATGGGGCACCCTTTGGTAAGTAGTGTAGTTGAAACATTGAAACGTCATGTTATGTCGTAGGAAGCAACCGTGGGTGGTCAGGGTCCATGATTGATTGCCTGTCATCGATCCGGCAGAGTGGGGCATTGCTCTCACCACCCACTGATTTGGCCGACCCAGACACCCAATTTTGTAGAGGGTGGTGTGTCTGGCATATTGCTAATTGCAGAGTTCAGGAGCATTCATCACGATTACCTCTTCTTCGAAACACTGTGCTGGAAGCATACTTCCTTTGGGATAAGAAATATAACAGAAACTTTGATATGTACAGTTTATTCTAGGGACAATACACAACCATACCAATTTCTCACCCTCGTCTCACCTTCAATCTTACATATAGATACATATCAGCATCATATGACAAATCATAATTCACCTAAATGATTCTAGAAAAGTAATGCAACATAATTACTTATCAAACAAATGAGAATTGCAAAAATTACAAAGTCAGGTTTAAATTAACAAGAAAGTTCAGCCTCTTTGCTCATGACTTCTTCTGCACTTCTTCGTTATAATCTATTTCACATTTGGAAAGGGATGATTTCAGTCGTTCTAAAACTGCAGACTTGTTCCTTACTTCAGGCAGGTCGTATAGAATCAACTTTCGGAGATTTCTGAAATCAAGGTAAACACTTATTGAGACTAGGCAATTAAAGGGGGATGGGTACTTCAAGATTAATTAGATGATTTGCAACTTAAATGTTGCATTAACTCAAACTCCCATTTTGGTAAATCTACACTAAACCCTGGATCCATTCCAGTGGTTCTCGTGATCACAAGTTACCCGCCCTTGATTTTCCTGGACATTTTTCCAACCAATCAAATGTCGACATAAGGTGAAGGGAAATGGTAAGGGAGGTTGGTTGGTTTGTTGTTTAACGCCACACTCAGCAATATTCCAGTTATGTGACGGGTAAGGGTGGAATTGGACATGAAGACATCCTTTCCATCAAAAAGATTTTTGAGGGCTTTCTTTTGCATGTCAGTAAATTTTTTAATGTTTCTCAAAATCTCGATCATAATTACCACGACTGGCCAACCCAACATTGAGGCTGGTTTGTAAATCGCATTCTGATTGGTATGTTAGACCTAGTTGTGTAGCCAATCAAATTGGCAAATGGAAATCAAGAGCGGGTAATTTGAGATTGCGTGAGCCACAGGGATGGGTCCAGGGGTTGGTGTAGGCTTACCACTATGTGAGACCTGGAGATAATAAGCAGGGTGGTTGTCAAGGCTTATGTTGATTCCCAACATGGGTACCATGTGTGATGCCAATTCCAGGTTTCCCCTGCGTGATATTGCTGGAATATTTTAGAGCAGCAAAAAACCTCACTCACTCATTTCATATTTTGTGTGTTTTGTTTGTTGTTTAATGCCGCACTCAGCAATATTCCAGATATATGTCGGCGTCTGTAAATAACCGAATCTGGATCAGATATTCCAGTGGTTGATATCATGAGCATTGATGCACTTCATACTGAGCACCCATTCAGGTAGAAAGAATGACACGACCTTCAGGACCAGGACTAAACTGATTTGCATTCATACAGATGTTACACTGCCCTTAAAAGTTCAAAAGCTACATACACAAGTTCAGACAAGGGAGATAATCCTCTGTCCGTGATGTCCCCACAAGAGCTGATCTGAAGATGTTGAAGAGTATCCTTCACAAGAGGGAGGTAATTCAGGGCATCATCATCAAGATAGCGACAGTCATGGAGGACAATTTTGTTCACATGTGTCAAACCACCTGTGGCAACAAATTCAGGATTGCTACAAAAAGCAGTATACATCAGATGTTGAATAAAGAATGAGTTTTCCGGTACATCATAAGTTCAGAGCTCAAACCCATTCTTACTTCGTTCTTAAAACTCATTACAATGGCTTCAAACATAAATCTTGCTAAACAAACTCAAAACATTTCTCTCTTATTCATATCCTCACTGATGACAAAGATAAAATCTGGCAGCCTGAGTTGAAATCAACCGTCTCGGACGGTCGGGCAGGCAGGTATTTCGAACACTGAGACTAGTTGGATACAAGCAATGGTGTCTACCCCTGTTAAGTCAACTCTAACGACCAGCAAAGGTTGCTGGGGACCAATTCTAACCCAGGATCCCCATGGGTTTGAAAATAAATGCCATATATACACTTTAAGGTAATTTCTGGCAACAACTTGTTACCTACTCAAGTGTGGGAATCCAAGGCTCATGACAGCAGATTTTGTACCATCAATCTCCTCGACCTTGTACTTGTCAAATCCACTGGCTGGGAGTGTGTTGTAGTCCTTCTCCCAGTGATTCAAACCCACCCACTTGACACGCCCACCACACCTTAACATCCACTCAGCACATGCTCGGTCAGGGCCTACTAGCTTCAGACGATCTTCATCAACCCTAAATTATTAAAAAAAAAATTATCATTTTTTAATACAGGATTTAAGCTTTTTTATTCTTTAAGTGTGATGTTGCGGAGCTTCTTTATTCTTTCAATGTTATGTGAACTGTCTCAATTAAAATACAACTTCAAAATTGCCACTTAAAGATACATTATCATTTCACCAATAGTGTATATGTGTGTACTTTCACAGCATGGAAGGACAACAGGAGAGACTATGAGTGAGAGGGTTTGCACTATATTACAGCAAAGCTTCAGGTCTTTTGCGTTTATTGACATACAGGTCAAAGCTGTGGTTACCAAAGGCATGAATATTTTACTTTCTCTGTTGTATCACTTCAACATGAGATAATGATCCTTGGTCTGTCTGTACAGATCTATGCATGTACAACTGCCGATATGCTTTTACTGTGTACATGTATGTGCGCATGCTAATCTGAACTATTGCCAATTTCATAGAGCTAGCCCACTGAGATATCATGCCACAATTTAATATGGATACCGCAAGTACCATCCTTTACAATTTATGGCATAATGGACTATCAATTGGTCAATCAAGTAGACCACAAAGTACTGTTTGAAGAACAGTTTGAGGGGTCTACAAAGTCTAGACCTGACTGGATATGTGCACCAGACTGTGAAGTAAAGACCCTATAAACTTGCATGTAGTTTACCTGTCTATGCATTAGTCTATGCAATCTGTAGTTAACAAAGGCATTACATGGCCTCTTACAAGAAAGATGCGTTATGTAGACCTCAGAATAACCATCAAACATTATCTTAGAACATCATAAATAGACATGTCAGCATAACTTAAAAGTGACGTGAGGTGAAATGGGGTCGTAAAGTTGTTCCAAGATTATTGCACTTACACAGCGACATATATGCACATGTGTGTGTGTATGTGTGTGTGTGTGTCTGCTTGTACTAGTTCGGACTAATGCCGATTTTATAGTGCTAGCCCAGTGAGATACTGTGCTGCAGTTTAACATAAATACCCAACTCAGACACAGAATACTGACTCTCAGCCAACCAGTCCTTGTTTCAGCACCTTAATCACGTGGGCCAGGCAGTGTAACAAGAAGTTCCATCTTTAAACGTCTTTTGAACGACCTTCTGTTCTCCTGGCTCCATAGACCAATGAGCTCATCTAACTATAACTATTTTCATGGGTGTTATATGAAAGAGCTTCCATACCAGAACTTATAACTATAATTACCTATTGAAAACAGAATTGAGCCATCCCCATAGACATCTTGATGGCACAGTAGTCCCTGAAGCACCAGCAAGCTTCACTGATAGGCTTCTACAGGATTCCTGTAAATACATAAGCTGTGGTTACCAAATCTCACCATTTTTTCCAGTCACATCAAGTTCTGATAAGTCATTACATTTTATGTCCTTTTTTACTGTAAAAAAAATCATCAATATAAAATGATACATATCTATATACATATTTAGGGGTGCTTCATATTGAAAAAGACATAAATTTTGATTGTTTTAACCATAATGTTGGATTCCTGTGGTTATATCTATAGCCCAGTTTATGGTACACAAAGACAAAATAAGCTGATACATTCAGTCATAACATACATATATCTTGTCATATGTAGTTTATTAACCTCTAATACGGTTTATGTTACATCGACTTAACATAAAAGTAAACAAATCTTCAACCATGTTAACTCGGGCAGCAAATGCAATCTAACAGATGAACCGATAACTTTCATATATTACATCCTGAACAGATTTTGAAAAAGTACGAAATCACTACATATAGTTCATCCTACAAACACAGGATTTTGTAAGTTTTACACAGACTATCTGATAACAATGAAGTATTACTGAATACATCGAGGACAATAAAGATTGCGGAATAATCGGTACTGCAAGAGATATTTTACAGACGCTTCTTTGTATTTTGAAATTGTTAGTTTTCGTTATTCATTACACTCAATTTATTAATTCGTCGTGATCTAAAACTTTAATTTTTGTGTAATACTTAAACGCAATATGGCGTTGTAATTAAACACTCAGACGTCTTAGATTCTGAAAAGGTAAATAGTTCGTAATATGCAGAAGACTGACGAAGTGACAAGCACCTTGACGATGTTATGTAACAGCGCCATCTGGGGATGAGTAGACACTTCTATCATGCATAAAAGACTATATAGTTTGATGTTATTTACATTGCAGTTAATTTGGTAAATGTATATTCTGGGTAATAATACATATATGAAGATCAGCGGCGTTTCAATATTATACATGATAACTATTACTTGAATTGTTTATGAATGTTAGCAGCGACTCAAAATGGCTGCTCTAATCCAGCATGTTCAGGTTTGCTTCTTTTAAAAGTGTTTTGGGCTGATACACGTTATCAACCTGATAGTGAGAAACTGCAAATATTGATCTGGCGTGATGTTTTCACTCAGATGGGTATTTGCATGCATTTTAGCATACCTGACATATTCATTCAAGTTATTTTATGAAGGTCATCTAGATTATCATAATCAGATAATGCAACTTTCAGAGAATAATGTTTGTTATAGTGCAACATGTTATATTCACTTCATACTAAAACACGTACTCAAACAATAAAATATACTATCCGACACACACACAATGTCTTCAAGGTGTTACATGCCTGTAAATTCCATTTTTTTCCCTTTCCTTTCAGAGAGCATTGCTAAGACAAAAGTGGCTCTCCACCTACAGCTGCAGAAATTATAGCAAAAAGTTTTATGACAAAAGGGAAGGAGTACCCAATGATTTCCTAGTGTGGCTCCAAAGGGATTATGACTGGAGTATCAATGGCATAAGGAAAATGTACAAGGCTGCAGAGTTTGAAATGCAGAAGCGCTCTCAAAAGTAAGAGCATTTAATCGTAAAGTAATAACTGATGGAATCAGAAAACCAGACCATCCTTAATTTAATTTCTATTCTAATTTCTATATGTATTGGTCATTAGCTGAGTTATTAAGTATGATAAATGTGTGGGTTTATTTCTATGACATTTCATAGTGAATGTAATCTTTAATTGACAGATACTTACCTGAACGGCATGAGATATTAGGACCTGATTTGGCCACGTCTCATTTCATTGTAAAGCGTGGTGGTGCTGTGAAGTTTGTGGACCGAGACACATGGTTCAGGATGGAGGAAGATGGGAAATACTACCTCCCTAACAGAAAGGTGGAGGGGATGAAGCTGGAAGCAGTGGATGCCTCCAATACAAGTCTTATGCACATAGGAATGGACAACTTTGGTAAGTAGAAAAGCAATCTCATTATATCTCATAAAGATCAGATCTTAGTTCGCGCAACCGCTAAACAAAGATCTGAGGACATTGAGATTGGAAGATGAGACCATGAAACATTTATGGATAACAACTTCTTTATTGTTTGTAATGATGTTTCATGGCCACTTCTTGCCCCTACATTTAGCATCTTCCACAGGCAAGGGAGTTAACCGACTGTAAAAGTCCAGTTTCCACCATTGCCGAACTATGCTGGAATTTCTGGGCTCAATCGTAGTGCCACCAGTTGCTATTATGAATTATATCCCTTCTATGCCCCTCCTATTGACCAGTCAGATTCCTCTCTCATATCACTTGCATTTACTTCATACAAATTGGCGGCGCCCAGTGAAGGTGATCTGATACATTTTGTAATAAAACGGGTCTTACCTCGCGCCAAATCATGTGAGCATCGGGGCGGTCGGGTAGCCTAGTGGTTAAAGGGTTTCGCTCATCACGCCGAAGACTCAGGTTCGATTCCTGACATGGGTACAATGTGTGGAGCCCATTTCTGGTGTCCCCCGCCGTGATATTGCTGGAATATTGCATAAAGCGGCGTAAAACCATCCTCACTCATTCATGTGAGCATCTTAATTAAAAACATGAAAAGATTGGGGAAATTTCTGATGACGCCCAGTTGACGGTACACATCAATTGCAAATCCTGCAGTCGACAGAATGCTGCACGTTGAAATCAATATTGTTTACAAACAAGATGTTGATTTTGTTATGCGATTTTGATTGGACTCTGCATAAACTCGTTAGTTCAGCCAAAATATAAGTCCATAATTGCAGACAAGTTCAGCAAGGGTGGAAACTGGACTTTTATCGTCAGTAAACTCCCTTGCCTCGGTAAGATGCTTCATTAGGTGAATACTGAGTAAGTGTGTTGAGTTATATATGCTGATGAATTTGTACAAGAATCACAATATGACGAGGAAGCCCAACATGATTAATGAGAGAGAAGCAATATAAGTACAGGAAAAAGTAGATCCAACAAAAAGGTGTTTCCTATTTGTTATTTCCAGCAATGAGCTGATGAAATTTTTATCATGGTCATAGTGTAGGAACTAATTTGTCCTAGACAAAATAAAAATAATATACTCAAGCTGATAGTTAAAAGAAAAAGGATTTAGAAAATGCAGGCTTAAATGTTATCAAGAACCAAGACCATAACATCATTTGGGAAACCATCAAAGTCCTGTCTACCACCAACACCTGGCAACAAAGAAAACTACAAGAAGCCATTGACATCAGAAAACACCAGCCAGCCATGAACTGTGACCAGGGAACCTATCCGCCTAGTGCTTGGGACTTATTGCTTTGATTATTATCTGTGCTTATCCAGCTGGCTTCCATTTGTCTATGCCATTTGAACCATTTCCATTACCGCTGTATATTCACAGTTAACTGAAGCACGTTAATACTTGGGTCCTGTACACTATATATTTTACTTATCCTGCATTACTCCTTAATGCATATTACTGCTTGTTCTTGACAGAAAAAAGAGCTGTGTGAAGATCTTTGCTTGAAGAAGTTGTTCCAACTAGTTGGGAGGCCAACCCTCCCACAGATCCCACGTGACCAAGGAAATTGACGTCATGGATCCTCACATTACTCATGTCACTTGCTGAGTGAAGACCTGTTTTTGATCTGTAGCATAAAACTTGTTCAAACCCTCACATGTTTTGCTTCTTGAGTTAATGTTCATTGAGCTTGTGTTGTGCATACGGTTTGTATCTTTGTACATTGTATGTTTTAAAATGTGCATAATGTTTTGACACCCGATGGAGTTTTCTTAAAAAAGAAAACAATGGTAAACCCAGGTGTGTTAGACGAGGCCGGGTCCAACCGTCCCACCACAGTACGAGTTTCAGACAACAAACTCGCCTACGTGGGAACTGAGATTTGTTGCTCTCTAAAGCAACTCCCTCTTATTGCGTCGTCCTCCAGAGCTCCAGGACCTGTCAGAGGATAATCTGCATCGGATAGACAACCTAACTACCGTCTTATCGTACCTCTAACAACAGGTTGAGCATATGTGCTCTCATATGCGAGCTGATCTGGTTGAACTTACAACCAAGGGGCACCTTTCCTATCTTGCTCTGTTGGATTGGGACCCAGAATTCAAGAGAGACCTACTTCGTCAACCCTGGTCCTCCTCTGACCTATTTAACAGACAGGTCTCCAAGACCCACTCCCGAGTTTCAGCCTTCGCCCAGGACAAGACTGCCCTCAAGGCCCTGGCTAGGGTATCACAGCCAGCCTCCTTTAAGTCGTCCCAGTCTGGCTCAACACTCTCCAGCCGTGGAGAGGCAGAGGCAAAGGCAAGTCCTCGGGCTCATTCCAGTCCCGACGCTTGCCACTCCAAAAGAGGAAGTGGGGACCACAAGGACTTTAAGTGAACCACCAGACATGCACGAATAGGACCTCCCACCCCCAGCTGTCCGAGTCATCAACTCGCAAGTAGGTGGGAGACTGGGTCGATTCTGGCAAAATTGGGAGATCCTAGGGGACCCCTATGTCACCAACATCATCAGGCAGGGGTACAAAATGACGCTTATAGACGATCCGCCTCTCATGTTGTCCCCCATAGCGGACATCTACCCCCTTACTCAACAGCAGCTACGTATTGGAGAAAACATGCTTACGAGGTTTTGGTAGACAGAGCATGCCCTGGGGAGAGGGAAAAACCAAGGGGGCGAAGCTCTGTCTACCAAAACCGAGGGAAATTGTTTTTCCATACTTATAAACCGAAAAAAGAAACTTAAAACAACATTTATCAACATTTTTATATTTCGAACATACTTTCCATGAACCTTAGGAAACACTCGTAAAATATCTGTTGCTGGCGTACAGATCTTGAAAAAGACATTCTAAAAACCAGTGAGGCTTATCAACACCTCTGTAGCCTCATGGTACACTCACTAGGCTACAGATATGAAGGTTGCGAGTTCGATCCTCGGGATATATTAAGAAAACATTTGTCATTTGATTTTACATTTCATTACATGTTACAATCTGAACGGAAGTTATATTAATAAAATACCCAGGACATTATATAAAATCCCTGGGATATTATAGCAAATATGACTTGAATATCCTATAAAATCCCAGGGACATTACAACGTCCATGTTTATGAGATTTAACCTGACTGGAAAGTAAAACCTCACAATAGGTTTTAATGCCTATAGAAAGAAGTGTCTTACTTAATAGCAATCCCAATGAATAGGTATATAATATGCCAGAACATCTCGATGCTGCCGGCCAAGGAAGCCATAGTTCATGCCCAAGCCATAACACCAGGCTTCTACTCACCCATCTTCCTTGACCCCAAGAAGGACTTGGACAGACACACTATGATACACGACCTCGTCGCTTTCACCAAATGCTACCTGGCGCATCCACCTTACTTCAAGATGACCATGCTCAGGCTGCTGCGATCCAGGATCCAGGCACAGGATGTACTCATTAGCCTGGATATCAAGGACGCCTACCTACATGTCCCTATACATCCCAACGACCGGGTCCATTACAAATGAGTGGTCCTCCCTTGTGGAATTTCTTCGGCCCCATGGCTATTCACACGGCTTACCAAGCCGAAAGCCTCGTACCTTCATCTCCGGGACATTCAGTTCGAGGCCTACATCGAAGATTGCCTCCTGAATCATTGTGACAGTTACTCTCCTTCACCGCAGGGCTCCTATACCAGTTGGGTTGGAAGATTAACCTCAGGAAGTCAGAGTTGACACCCTCATTCTGCCTTCAGTTTATCGGGGTCTCTTTCACACCTCGACCTCCTCTCTGTACCCAGGGACCAGTGGGAGCGCATACAATCACACCTGATTCCAGTCCTCCACCAGCCACGCACCCTGCGTCAATTGCAAGTCCTCCTAGGCCTCCTAACCTCAGCACAGGACTTGACGGACAGAGGAAGGCTTCAACTGTGCCCAGTTCAGATGTTCCTGGCTCCCTACATCAGGCGCCAGGGCTCCTTGGTGTCCATCGGTGGTGAACTGTGGAATCAAATGTCTTTGGCAGCGTCTGCTTGACAGGGCTAACGACCTCTTTATGAACAGCACCTATGGCACATGAACAATCTCGAACTGGCAGCGCTTATCTTGGCCATCGCTCATTGGAAGCAGGCCCTCAGACATGCCATCTCGACGGACAACATAACCGTCATCTGGTGTCTATGGAACCAAGGAACGATGACTCACTTACCCTAGCTCCTTCAACAGATATTCTGTTTCTTTCACCTGGTGGATCCAGTTCCAGGTCCAACACATTCCTGGCTGTCGCAACATCCTAGCGAATGTGCCATCTCGGCTAGACAAAGTCGCCCCCACAGAGTGGAAGCTCCACCCAGATGCCTTCGCCCTTTGTTTGTCGAGACCACGGTCTCCCAAAACACAACGACCTACATTGTGGCACTCAACTCCATCCTGACAGTTCCGGAAGAACGGTGCATGATGAAACTACAGGCTCTGCTCCGCTCATTCAGGTTGGAAGACCAGAAGGCGAAATTTTGTCCACCAGCTTGGGACCTGAACATCATTCTCACCTTGCTGATAGACGCGCCCTTCGAGCCACTCGACACAGTGTCGTTCTACCATCTGATATTCCTCCTGGCGCTCAGCAGCCCTTGTCAGTGAGCTACACGCCCTGGACATCATGTGCGTCCATCATGGAGGGGTGTTTCTGGCGATCAAATACAGTCTTCTCCAGTCACTACCTGCGAGATATTGCATTGGAGGACGCACAGTTTTGGTCCGTTAGTAGTGGCCCAACAGGTCACCACTACTAGACACCATTGACCTTGCCTCAAGCCCAGGGCAAGCCTCTCGACCTCCGCTGGCTTAAGTGCCCTGGAGTAGAAGGTTCCTGCCCCTTGCATACGGCTCGTTACGTCAGTCTACAACTTTAACTTAAGTAAGGTTATCGTCTATGGCTGTGTCGTTCCTTGACACACTGCAAACCTGACTCTTGGTTCCCAACCATGGATTGGTCATTTGATGCCGACCACACAGTCAAGGATTGGCTGAGGGAAACAGAGATCTGAGATGAAATTCGACATCTTAAGGTATGCCTTCCACCGATTCCGTAGGATAAAGATGCATTAAGGAGTAATGCATGATAAGTACAAAATCTAGTCAAATCCTAGATATTTTTTAATTTGTAAAATTATCCTGCAATACTGCGTTTAAAGAGATGCGCAGTCGCAGAGCTGACTCCCCATGATGCCTTCCGATGTTTTGGACTCCAAAGTAATGTGAGGATCCGTGACATCACTTCCCTTGGTCACGTCGGAGCTGTGTGAGAGGGTTGGCCTCTCAGCTAGTTGGAACAGCTTCTTCGAGCAAAGACCTTCACACAGCTCTTTTCCCTGTCAAGAACAAGCAGTAATATGCATAAGGAGTAATGCAGGATAAGCATACAAATATTAAAAATATCTAGGGTTTTACTGGTATTGTATATTCAGTTAACAGAAGTGAGTTAATGCTTAGGTCCTGTATGCTATTATTGTATATTCACAGGTAACAGAAGTGAGTTAATGCTTAGGTCCTGTATGCTATTATTGTATATTCACAGGTAACAGAAGAGAGTTAATGCTTAGGTCCTGTATGCTATTATTGTATATTCACAGGTAACAGAAGTGAGTTAATGCTTAGGTCCTGTATGCTATTATTGTATATTCACAGGTAACAGAAGTGAGTTTATGCTTAGGTCCTGTATGCTATTATTGTATATTCACAGGTAACAGAAGAGAGTTAATGCTTAGGTCCTGTATGCTATTATTGTATATTCACAGGTAACAGAAGTGAGTTAATGCTTAGGTCCTGTATGCTATTATTGTATATTCACAGGTAACAGAAGTGAGTTAATGCTTAGGTCCTGTATGCTATTATTGTATATTCACAGGTAACAGAAGTGAGTTAATGCTTAGGTCCTGTATGCTATTATTGTATATTCACAGGTAACAGAAGTGAGTTAATGCTTAGGTCCTGTATGCTATTATTGTATATTCACAGGTAACAGAAGAGAGTTAATGCTTAGGTCCTGTATGCTATTATTGTATATTCACAGGTAACAGAAGTGAGTTAATGCTTAGGTCCTGTATGCTATTTTTGTATATTCACAGGTAACAGAAGTGAGTTAATGCTTAGGTCCTGTATGCTATTATTGTATATTCACAGGTAACAGAAGTGAGTTAATGCTTAGGTCCTGTATGCTATTATTGTATATTCACAGGTAACAGAAGTGAGTTAATGCTTAGGTCCTGTATGCTATTATTGTATATTCACAGGTAACAGAAGTGAGTTAATGCTTAGGTCCTGTATGCTATTATTGTATATTCACAGGTAACAGAAGTGAGTTAATGCTTAGGTCCTGTATGCTATTATTGTATTTTCACAGTTAACCTGAGTGAGCTGAGATACCTGAGTTTTAGCAACTGTCCGCATGTAGATGACTGGTGCATGTCCCGACTCCACACATTTAAACACAGTCTTGAGTTCCTGGACATCAGTGGCTGTGATCAGATCACCGAGGATGGCCTGGCTTGTCTTCATCATTTAGAGTGAGTTGTGGCAAACTTGCCTTAAATCCATTCAGAAAAAGAACTGGCATGACTTTGTGTTGTTGCATTCGATTCTCCATTTTTCATACTATTTTCCATGTTTACATAATTAAATAATAAGTGTGTGTATGGTGTTATGCCACTTTTAGCAATATTTCTTTGGAGGGGGGAGGCCACCAGAAATGGGTTTCACCCATTGTAAACATTGGGGGAATCGAACACGGGTCTTTGGTGTGACAAGCAACACCACAGCCCTAAATAATCAGTTTGGTGTATCATGTGTATCATGGAATAATAGGGAATACCCCATTAAGTATAAGAAGTGGAGTACTACATGACAACTATGCCTTGTTTACAGAAAGTTGAAAGGTTTGAAGCTGAGCAATCTCCCGAATGTGAAGCACCTCCAGTTGATGGTTTTACTCCTGGAGGAATCTCTACCGGAGTGTATGGTGTTTGGTGTGGACTTTACAGCATCTGATGCTGACCATGGGGATGTTCAAGAGGGGCAAGATAGTGAACTAGACACACAATCCAGAGAAGCTATGAAGACAGAGTCTATAGGATCAACAAAGACTTGATAATTTCTCTCCCTATCAACTGAAGAATGTGTAATATATGGCTGTGAATTATGAATATTGAAATCAGTCCAGTGTCAGTTGGAACAACTTGGACACTAGCTGAAGACTGTCAGATTGAATGTCCAGTGTATGTTAAGCATGTACACTGCTCATACTTTCAGCATGGGACTGTTTTCTAATCTGTTTAAGTGTTCCATATCAGTATGTTCATGTGACCAACCAACCAATGAGTGAGTTGGGTTTAATGCTGCTTTTAACAGTATTCCAGTTACATCGCGGCATGTCAGCTTAATGTGGAAGGAAAGCCCAAAGTGATGCAGGTCTCGGGCGTTTGCCACTTCTGTGAAAACCACAAGCATGGGTATGGTGCTGACCAACCTAGAATTAATAGGGGTGAACCAGGATTTGAACCCACAATCATAGGATTCTGGCATGGCAAAGGGACGTAACTCTGCACGGTGAGTCGCAGCACCTTGGGCCACCCGTGCCCCACCAAAATGTCTGATATGAATATGGGACAATAAACCGTGTGAAGAAGCTTGTTTCTTGTGTAACAGGACAAGGTACATGACTTTGTGCACCTTTTCTTCATGTTTCCTCTCTTTGAGGGAACCGTCAATCAGCTTAATGAAAATTGCAAATACATCAAGATAGAAAAGTATGCAATCAACTTTTATTTCAACAAAGTCACTCAAATAACAACTTACTTCACAAATACTGAAGCATAATTGCCGTGATTCCCATGCACGCCTCAACCTCTAACAGATAACCTCCATCTCTACGTATCAGTATGCTTTTCCCATCTCAAATTATGACTCTCTCGTCTGACAATGGTATCAGTTATCTTGCTTTATTTTCTCATATCTAAAATATCACTGGATACAACTGAATTTATTAGAATTCACTAATTCTCCTTAATATTTACAGTTAAAAACTTCAGCAGAAAATGTATTTGAAATTCAGTTTTCAAACAAACTCCATTCCAATACACAACAAACATTCATACAACGACCTGCCACAACACTGTAGCATTAAAAGAAAATAACCATGTTACATTCATTTCTTAACAATTTACCATTGACACAGTTGTAACAAAAACAAAATATACAATTTGACGATGACTAAAGTCACTCATGATTGAAATGATTTGATAACTTCAATGAGGCTGGATTTCAAAAACGTGGGAAAAGGAAAGACCCTTAAGGATTTTACTTAACAGTACAAATGTTCGAAACTTGGGAAACCATTTATTGGTTCAGTTTTTCCAACTTCTTGTACATGTAGTTTGGAGACAACATTGGCACAATGTCCACTCGTAGTGAGAAGTACATTTCTTGATGCGATCATGTTGTAATATATCCATTCTGCACAACCAAACACCCTTATGTGACATTTACAGTATATATACTTTAGTCAGCCATTAGGTTGAAAATGGATCACAAACATAACCATGGATGTTTTATGAAAGTGAAATAGAAATTGTCTTAGATTTTAGTTCTAAGACAAAATGTTGTCACTTTGGCAAAACTATCCCATTGAAAACAATCATTATTACCTCAGCACTTCCATTTGGTTTGTTTCTAGTTTAACGCCGCACTCAGCAATAGGATGGTGGTCTGTAATGATCGGACCCGTGAAGATCTGGGGTAGATTAGGTCTTGCCTTAAACAGTGACTATGCTTGTCGTAAGAGGCGACAACAGGATCTTGGTCATATCCCAATTGCATGGATCGATGCTCATGATGTCATTCACTGGACTGTCCGGTCCAGACTTGATTATTTACAGACCGGCGTCATATGGCTGGAATATTGCTGAGTGCAGCGTTAAAACAACAAAACTCCAAACTGTAATAATCGAGTCAAGACCAGAAAATCCAGTGTTCGTTATCATGAGCATCGATCCACACAATTGGGATACGATCACATGCATCAACCATGTCAGCAAGCCTGACCACCCGATCCTGTTAGCCGCCTCTTACGACAAGCATGGTCACATATTAAAACAAGCATGGGTTGCTGAAGACCTATTCTAATCAGCACTTCCAATACAATCTGAGTTATATGCCTGAATAGTGCGACTGACATGAATCCGAATGCAACTCTCTGGCAATTTTATTACGGTGTTAGTCTCTTGTGCTTCCAGTCCCCATGACCAGTAGACATAAACCCACTAATGTATGAACATGTCTACTTATGAAAGAATTAAAAAATTAAAACAACCCAACCCACAATACTTGACAAAAAACCCAACTGTCAAAGATGTAATTCAATACAAGATAAAACATTCATTGTGTTCAGACCAAAAACCCATGCACAAAAAAATCACTTATAGTTCATTATGTTCAAAATCTCAACAGGGCAATGAAATATTCCTGATAAATAAATGTTCAAATTATTGACAAGAAATACAATTTCATGCAAAACAGAAAAAGTTCACAGAATCACTCATCTTTTCCGACTTGAAAGCGTATGTCAGCTTGTTGAGACGAAAGCCCAAAGTGACCCTGGTTGTAGTTTATGGATGGTGAAACAGATCGGGGAGATTCTGGGATTCGAACACATGTTCAGTATATCCAGGCACAGCCAAGGGGCTTAAATCCGCACAACATATTTCTGCTCTGAAGATCACTTGGCCACCCTTCCCATCCAGCTCCTCCCTTAACTGAACACCTCAAGTCAATATTTTCAATGTGTGAAGTGATTCTTTAAATGGCCGATTCATTTAGGTACATATTCCTGTACAGAAAGGACATAACAGTTTGTCAAATGCGTCTTAAAACATCATTTCACATCTACAGTACTGTGTATGATAATACAGGCAAAAGTTTCTGCTCACAAAAATATTTTGAAAACTTTGGTATTTTTGATTGAAATATATATTGTATATGGTATGTTGACTAAGTGAAGATACCCCAATACACCTGCAAAAATATACAGAAAGCTTGACAGTCTGACAATGAATTGGCAATCCGTCTGGTTGATCACCAAAGCACCGGTGCAGTCTTCCGTCCCTGGTTACACAGGCCGGAACTCCAGTTGTACTCAGCATCAAACACACATTCAGAACCACATGATCTCTGGAAAGTCGGGGGCACATGACGTGACATGTTGCATGACGTCTACGATGGGTAGTAGGAGCCGTATGATCCATATGCTCCGTAGTGAGAGTGGTAGGCGGGGTATGAACTCTGAAACAAGACATGGATATGCTACAACTATATGACAGATACTGTCTATCAAGGGCAACTACTAAAGGGGTTTCACTATTGCGACTGTATTGCACTCGTAGCCCACACTACTGCAATCATGTAATATAAATGAGTTGTGAGAGAATGTTGACTGATCAAACTCAGGCATAGTTTAAAGCAAGCTGCCAGCTGTCATGCTTGGCTAGCCCACAAGAGCAATTGAGTAAAAGTTTCACACCTCAATCAGCAATACTGCAGCAACATTATACGTGTTATCTTTATCTAGCATATATAATATATACTGGTATATATATATATATAATGACAGTTTGAAATGAACCATGAAAGTCAAGTGGTCCTTGTGATAGCCATAATGTTAAAACTTCAGTTGTAAGGGGTCCCTCGATTCAAATAATATGGGTGCTAACCTCAGACCCACTCTAATTTTGAATACTGATGATGTCCTAGATTTGTTCATGTAGCAAGGCTGAAACACTTGTATTGTTCAAGCTGTATGCACAACATGCAAAACGTACTGAATAGTTGGGCCAATGGTAGTTGTAGGTGTTGGTGTCTGCAGATGAATGATGACTTGAAGCATCTCCCGTTGCACTGCTGCCGTTTGTTTCAGACTTGTATTTATCATGTTTATGCTTCTTCTCCGGAGGTGCGTGATTATCATCTCTGAAACGACAATGTGAGTTATCTTTTTCATTGCATTGGTCAACAGTAAACAGGCTGCACAAACCAAGGTCATCCTGTCAAGAAGACACACACAGGCAAGTCACAGTGGGAAAGTCTTCTTCAGTGGTTTATTCAAGTATCATTCATACTTAGCAGCCATTACTGACCTTCAATTTTGTCAACTCTCACATTTTTTTTTTTCAGATGGGTTTTACCCCCCCCCCCCTACACAAAGGCTAGAAAGTAATAAAATAAATGCTTTTTAGTAAACACAATTTTCTGTTACCAAAGTTACAAAAATAAAACTGAGAGGACCTAAAGGATTATCACTGATACCAGTAATGAGGCTGACTCCCTCTATTATGGATCTTTTATTTTCAAGTAATTATTTGATGTTTTGTTTGATATTTCAAACCAATTCCCAACACTATTTATCGCCCTATTTCCAAAATAGTAACCCTGTTGTGGGCAGTTGAATAAGTAGCATCCAACAAACATGACTGATAGGTGTCCAGTAAAATGCTTGTGAATTGATCATTGTTTAAAGACAACTTAACAACTGTCCAGCGTATGTTCAGGATTGTTCACTCCATACATACATGGCATCCGGGTGCTTCTTCTTTCTATCACTGTTATGGTCTTTCACAAGCTTTTGATGTTCATCATATGCATCAGTTATTCTGAAGTAAAAAAACATACATGACAACTCCAACAGGATATATTCTGGATCACTGATCAACAATACTGTTTACTGGTATTCAAGACAGCTAGAATGTTGTCAGGGAAATATTACCATCAAGAAATTTTGGGTATGTTAAAGGTATCCTTCAAGTGAGGAATACTGTCTAATTTCTTTAGTCTGCATATGTTCTGTTAGGATAAGATGTATGGATGAACTTATTTATTACAATTAGGAGGAACTTTTCGATGGAGGTTCTAACATCGTTATTAAGCAAGTGAAATGATTGTCGCTCCTAATTGTAATAAAGAAGTTGTTCATCCATATATCTTACCCTTACTTAGAACGCCAACTTCTATATGCCTCTAAAATTTGCATATGTTTCCTTTAACCAAGTGACCCTCACTGTGGGACATATCAACCACATTCATCCATCTTGTCTGTGTTAATACTAGTCCTTATGATGATAACTATTGGGCAGTTTAGCAAGGACTATAGGACTAGTGCCAATTTCTAGCGCAGGTTAAAACATGTCTACCATCTGTCCTAGGTGAAGGTACAACATCTTACCGACAGACAGACTAGGCTGGGTAATATTGGCAACACGTTTAGATCAATATCAAGCTTGATATCATCTTGCAAGAGTGCCATCATGACTGGTCACAATATAAATGATCAGCATCATTCATGTTAGGAGATGTTATTCCAGACATCCTGATGGAGACAAAGTGAGGTGAAATGAGGTTTAATGTCATTGCACTTATATAGTGACGTGCATCCACATGTGTGTATGGCTGCTTGGTCTAGTACGGGTTAATGCCAATTTTATAGAGAGATACCATGTCGGAGGAGTTTAACATGAATACCCCACTCAAACACATTATACTGACTACGAGCAGGCCAGTCCTTGTTTTCGGCCCTTAATGCCAAGGGCTAGGCAGAGTAACAACAAGTACAATCTTTAAACGTCTTTTGGTATGACGCGGCCGGGGATCAAACCCGGGACCTTCCACTCTCCGGGTGGATGCTCTACCACTAGACCACAGAGGCGGTCGGTGATTAATAAGACCACCATGACTCACCTCTGAATACAGGTGCCAAAGTCTTCAAGGAACTCCATTCTCTTCTGTGAAACCTTCACCTTAAAATCTGCAGACAGGTCACTCTTGAGAGCGTTGCTAAACACATCCAAGACACGCTGCTCTTCAATGGGTTGTGTCTGATACTCAAGGTCAAGAAGCTGTAAGAACAACTTCTCATTCTTCTGGAAAACACAAGATGGAACTCCATGAGGGCAATGATAATCTTGGATTGGTACATTTCATTATAATATTAAACAAACTAATAATATTAAACAAAATGTGTTTAAAATATTTTGAGCATATGCTTTGTTTAAAGACGCACTCAGCAATATTCCAACTATATGATAACAGCCTGGATCAGACGTTTCCATGTTTCACGTTGTTTAACGCCGCACTCAGCAATATTCCAGCCAAATGATGGCAGTCTGTAAATAATCGAGTCTGGACCAAGCAATCAAGTGATTGACATCAGGAGCATTGATCCACGAAATTTGGATACGATGAAATGCATCAACAAAGTCAGCGAGTCTGACCATCTGATCCTGTTAGTCACTGTTTTATGCATGTCTGAAGCAGACAACCAAGAGATGATGCCATTGGAGGAGGTCATCTCTCAGTATAGGATGCTGGGGATCTATTCTAACCTGGCATCCCAAATGGGTTGTACATATGCAGGTATATGAATACATAAACTGACATGCAATGACGGGCCTTTAAGTGTTCAGTGTACACAATCTGATTACCAAATATTACTGTAGAATGTCACTGTATACCAATTGCATGGATTGATGCTCATGATGTTGATCACTGGATTGTCTGGTCCAGATTCAATTATTTACATCATCATATACCCCATAGCTGCAATATTGCTGAGTGCAGCGTTAAACAAAAAACAAGAAAGTTTAATGTGGGAGGAATACCAAAGCTATCTTAAGGATCGCGGTATGGGTGAATCTGGGATTCAAACCTGGGATAAGCAGATCCTGGAAGCTAAGGACCGTAACTCTGCATAGCAACTTGAGTCAAGTAAGGCCACAAAGCTATCAAGCACCCACTGACAAAGTGACTAACTCTTCTGAACTCTTAGATACAAAGGAAACATTTAAATACCTTATCTTTTTCCAAAGCTTCTGCCAAGACTTCTCTTGCTTTTTCTACATTACCCCTAATCTGGAAGACAAATACATTCACATAACATACATATCAATCAGAATATCTGGTAATAATAATCTTGAAATAATTTAAGATGTTTCACAATTATACTTGACCTGAAAATGAGATAGTTACACCTGGTTGCAAAAACAGAAAATATGAAGCTTTGTTTGTTGTTTAATGCCGCACTCAGCAATATTCCAGCTATATGACGCCAGTCTGTAAATAAGCGAGTCTGGACCAGACAATCCAGTGATTGATATCATGGGCATTGATCAACGCAACTGGGATACCATGACATGCATCAACCTAGTCAGAGAGCCTGACCACCTGATCCTTACAACAATCGAAGCTGCCTCTTACAACAACAGGGGTTGCTGAAAACCTATTCCAACCCGGATCTTCACGGGTGTGTTCTCAAGCAATATCCTTGACCATCCTTTCATTTGTAAATGGCAAGAATATGTAATTGACTTTTAAAGCATTTATTTTTTTATATACAAGCAGAAACATGATGCTTTCATGCAGGTGTTTTGCTGCATGTCTTGAAATGTCATGTCCATAATGTTCCTTTATTAAGCTCATGTCTCCAACTCCTCTTTCTTGTATATTCTTACCTTCCTGAGATAGCGTGCAAATTTGATTGAGTAGAAAGATCTGATAGCTGGTGTTGCTGCTTTAGTGATGTAGGATTGGTACAAGTTCTCCACATTTTCATGGTTGCCCTGGCGACGCTCCAGACTGATACGCCGCATAGACACCATTACAAGATTTGGCACATTTTTCTCAATGTTTGACAGGACATCACTTGCCTCTGGATAATTTCCTGGGGAAAAAAGTTCACAACTGTAATGGTTCATCATTAACTTTATATAATAAATATGTTTTATGAATCATTCATTTAATACTTGTACATGTACCATGGGAAGTCCCTGTAGTGAGTGAGTCAAGGAACAACTGTTTTCCCTCGCTATGTATCATGATACACATCAGATACCATGATACACATCACATAACATGATACACATAACAAGAAGAGGTGAAAGAACAACTATTTTCCCTTTACTTTCATTTCTACCTAAACATCTTTGAGTCCAACAGAAATAAACATAAAAAATCCCCATACAAATCAATCTGAAGAATGAAAGTAGGCCACAGTCTCAGATAATGAGTCCACCATTCGTAAAATAAACTGCAATTTGAAAAAAAGTTTCAATCTAAAGTGGATGAGAAAACATGTATATTCATGAGAAGTAATTACAGCCAGAACGTTACAACACAAACATCTGTGGGTGGCAACACAATGTTGATACAGACCCCCAGCATCCACTCACACAGGCCCCTAGTGATCACACACACAACAACACAATCAGCTGTAGGCAGACATTGCCCTTAAACAAAGCCTACCTAAGTGGAAAAAGACAAAACGTGTTCATAAACAATTCAAGCATGAAACTACACCTGAGCTCATCACACAATGTTAAATTGCACTTTATTGTTAAATCCTCAAAACAAAGAGGGTTGTGATAGGTAATGACAATTAAAACAAATCCCTTACTAAAACAACCCCACTGGAGCAAAGGATGTGTTGACTGTTGTACAAACAAGGCCTCTACTAATAGACTAGGAGGAGGTTCATAGATTATATAAATTACAAGCAGGTCTTCCTCAGTCACACATTTGAAGATAGCCACACTGATACATCCTCATAAAGCAGAATGGGCAGCCGTGTATCTCGACTTCAAAAGCCTGCACAGGGAGGACAGACGTGTCCTCAAGACCTGATAAACAAGCATGACATGGCCATAGAACGAGCACACTCCATAGGTTAGTTCACATTCCAATTAATTCTGTTAATACTTTCTGTAACAAGAACTTCATCTCCCAACTTGCCCTACATACTTCTTACGGAGAAATTCCTGTCGAAGATATGATATTCAGTGCTTGACATTGGTAAAAAACTCCAGTGTAAATATTATATTTATTCACAGACTTCACATAGATGTGTACAATTCCATGGATAAATTCCCTCCCTTGCCTGTCGACACTGGCATCATAAGATTGGTAACATTGAAATATTCTTTCACCTCTTGCAGATAAGTACATCACAGAGCTATCAAGGAAGCTGACCTCCCAAGTCCCCAGTGGCCACATCCGGCATGGCATGCTGTTGCTACAGAGGAAGTGTATCGCGGAGGGTGTGCGTGAGATGTACATGAGATACGCCTTCGACAAGTACCTACAAGTCAGGAGATGCTACAGGAGTGCCGGCCACCCCATCCAGGAGCTGACAGCAGAGGAGTACCTCGCAGACATCAAGCAGGGCAGAGCCATATCCATCGGCATGTCCAGAGAACATAATGTGTTTCAGCGGCACGGATAGTTTAAGGAACAATACTGGATGGTACTTGATGACAGGCATGGCTTCACAGTGAAGGCCATAAAGAAACTTGATCACCGAGTTTCTGTCCTCATACTCACTGGCATCCTTGTGAAACTTCAAATAGTTCCAAGCAACTTGCTGCTGACTCAGTCTACTTGTACAGATACAAATTGTCCATTGAAATGGTTCAGCAATTCAGGGGTGCCTGTTTGCAATATTTTCATCACAAGGCTTAGTGCTCTAGTCACTTAGTGCTGGGTCATTTTTGTTATACAGAATTATACATATTTGTTACAATTTGTGAAATAAAAAAATTATTAAAATGAATTAATGTTTATTGTCAATAAATATCTTCTGCCTTGTTGCTGTTTATAGACACAGATAGCATCTGTACAAGGGCATACAGGGTTAGAACTAAACTCAAAACTTTCTAGCCCGGGTAAAGATGAAATGTTCCTAATGTTAAAACAACGCGGAAATGGGGAAATTTGTGCCACAGGTGATAGTACTATCCCCAGGCTGGCAGTCTAGTGTTACGTTGTAACCCTGGCAGACTTTGATGGCAATAGGTAACATGTGAGCAATTCTCCTCCTCTTGCTAATAAGTCAGCTGAACACCAACTCACCAACTATCAAATTAATTACCCATACATTACACAGGGAAAACATCTATAAAAATTATATGTCTGTTTTAATACTTCATCCCATTATATGAAAATATTTGGATTTTCCAAATAAGATTATAAATAAGGTGTCAATAAGTTGACTGTAGTATGAAATGCAAGAACAATGCTCTTTGTTCCCAATTCCTGACTGGCTTCCAATTCTTGGCTTGGAAACTATCCATTGTCCTGCTAATGACAAGCTCACTGTGTGATAGACAATAGTAGGTGATGCAGTAGGGAGACCAAGACCAGGCCTTTCACAAAACTAGCATGGAAAACTGAATGTCTTGATTGCCTTATTGTCAGTGTAACCATAGTCAGCTCTTTGTTGTTACACTAAGCCCAATCACTATTACACTAATGCCAATCACTATTACACTAAGCCCAATCACTATTACACTAAGCCCTATCACCACACCTTCAGTGTTCTTAATTGGCTTCTCACCTGGCTTCCTCATTATATTGTTATCTCTGTACATTAATTAACTGTACCTTGTTTAAACATCATTTTGTCTATATGCTTACTCAGTATTTACCTGATGAAGGGCACGAAGCAGCTCTTAATCACTACAAAGACCATGTTTGTTGTCCATAAAAGGAGTGTCATGTAGGCATGCCCTCAGATTGCCAAGTTACCTTGTCTCTCCTCAAACGCTGCCCAAGATAGGTGAATGTACGGCTTCTTCAGCAAGTGGATTGTACAGGCTCGCTGGTACACGCTCCTCACGCCGTCTACATTGTGCTGTTCTAGGTATTTGGCGTACTGCAAATATACCAAATACCTAGGTTATGTGTATACTTAGATGACATCTTTTTATTTTACTTCAGTTTTGACAAGGTTCTTTTCACCCAGTGTGAATGTAGATCTAATTCACACCCATTCAATTTTTTGGTTTTTCGTGGTTTGGAAAACATGGCAATTTACATAGACAGGGACATTTTACTCACTTTCATCCAGAAGTCTTCATAAAGTGCACATGCGATCATACATCTCTCAAACAGCACAACCACTCGTTCATGGGATCCATTTTCTATCTCATAGTCCAAGTATTCTCGCCAGTTTTTCAGCTGAGCTCTTTCAAGAGGTTTCACATGGAAATATGGGCGACGAATCTGAAACACAGGGCGGTTCCATTGGCTTGAGAAATAGCAAACTGACATGATTCAATGTATGAGTGGTTATCTTTCTCAACACAGGACAGACATTTAACTATTTTGCACAGAAATCCTCCTAATTCAGGATGCAGTTGAATATATCGAATTAACTCTTTTTGCAAATATCATTTCAGTCAAATTTCAGTCACATGTTTTGAAATCATTTGTATAGATCATAGTCAGAAGTTTCACTTTACATATTGATACTCATTTTTTTAGATAACAAAATGAACCTACAGTTTTCTTAACACGAAAACTTACAGCCTCCTCATAAGTCCATCTTTTGCTGACTTCATCCTCATTCAGTCTGTGGACTGTCTCTTGGTTTTCCAAGATCCGCTCCCGCAACCTCTTGGCTTCATCTTCATCAGCCTGTGAGTACAGGTATCAGTTGGTCAAACACAACAAGTTGGTACAGGACAGTACAGGTATCAGTTGGTCAAACACGACAAGTTGGTACAGGACAGTACAGGTATCAGTTGGTCAAACACAACAAGTTAGTACAGGACAGTACAGGTATCAGTTGGTCAAACACGACAAGTTGGTATAGGACAGTACAGGTATCAGTTGGTCAAACATGACAAGTTGGTACAGGACAGTACAGGTATCAGTTGGTCAAACACAACAAGTTGGTACAGGACAGTACAGGTATCATTTGGTCAAACACAACAAGTTTGTACAGTACAGGACAGTACAGGTATCAGTTGGTCAAACACAACAAGTTGGTACAGGACAGTACAGGTATCAGTTGGTCAAACACAACATGTTGGTACAGGACAGTACAGGTATCAGTTGGTCAAACACAACAAGTTGGTACAGGACAGTACAGGTATCAGTTGGTCAAACACAACAAGTTGGTACAGGACAGTACAGGTATCAGTTGGTCAAACACAACAAGTTGGTACAGGACAGTACAGGTATCAGTTGGTCAAACATAACAAGTTGGTACAGGCCAGTACAGGTATCAGTTGGTCAAACACAACAAGTTGGTACAGGACAGTACAGGTATCAGTCGGTCAAACATAACAAGTTGGTACAGGACAGTACAGGTATCAGTTGGTCAAACACAACAAGTTGGTACAGGACAGTACAGGTATCAGTTGGTCAAACATAACAAGTTGGTACAGGACAGTACAGGTATCAGTTGGTCAAACACAACAAGTTGGTACAGGACAGTACAGGTATCAGTTGGTCAAACACAACAAGTTGGTACAAGACAGTACAGGTATCAGTTGGACAAACACAACAAGTTGGTACAGGACAGTACAGGTATCAGTTGGTCAAACACAACAAGTTGGTACAGGACAGTACAGGTATCAGTTGGTCAAACACAACAAGTTGGTACAGGACAGTAAAGGTATCAGTTGGTCAAACACAACAAGCTGGTACAGGACAGTACAGGTATCAGTTGGTCAAACACAACAAGCTGGTACAGGACAGTACAGGTATCAGTTGGTCAAACACAACAAGTTGGTACAGGACAGTACAGGTATCAGTTGGTCAAACACAACAAGTTGGTACAGGCCAGTACAGGTATCAGTTGGTCAAACACAACAAGTTGGTACAGACAGTACAGGTATCAGTTGGTCAAACACGACAAGTTGGTACAGGACAGTACAGGTATCAGTTGGTCAAACACGACAAGTTGGTACAGGACAGTACAGGTATCAGTTGGTCAAACATAACAAGTTGGTACAGGACAGTACAGGTATCAGTTGGTCAAACATAACAAGTTGGTACAGGACAGTACAGGTATCAGTTTGTCAAACACAACAAGTTGGTACAGGACAGTACAGGTATCAGTTGGTCAAACACAACAAGTTGGTACAGGACAGTACAGGTATCAGTTGGTCAAACACAACAAGTTGGTACAGGACAGTACAGGTATCAGTTGGTCAAACACAACAAGTTGGTACAGGACAGTACAGGTATCAGTTGGTCAAACACAACAAGTTGGTACAGGACAGTACAGGTATCAGTTGGTCAAACACAACAAGTTGGTACAGGACAGTACAGGTATCAGTTGGTCAAACACAACAAGTTGGTACAGGACAGTACAGGTATCAGTTGGTCAAACATAACAAGTTGGTACAGGACAGTACAGGTATCAGTTGGTCAAACATAACAAGTTGGTACAGGCCAGTACAGGTATCAGTTGGTCAAACATAACAAGTTGGTACAGGACAGTACAGGTATCAGTTGGTCAAACATAACAAGTTGGTACAGGACAGTACAGGTATCAGTTGGTCAAACATAACAAGTTGGTACAGGACAGTACAGGTATCAGTTGGTCAAACATAACAAGTTGGTACAGGCCAGTACAGGTATCAGTTGGTCAAACACGACAAGTTGGTACAGGACAGTACAGGTATCAGTTGGTCAAACATGACAAGTTGGTACAGGACAGTACAGGTATCAGTTGGTCAAACATGACAAGTTTGTACAGGCCAGTACAGGTATCAGTTGGTCAAACATGACAAGTTGGTACAGGCCAGTACAGGTATCAGTTGGTCAAACATAACAAGTTGGTACAGGACAGTACAGGTATCAGTTGGTCAAACATAACAAGTTGGTACAGGACAGTACAGGTATCAGTTGGTCAAACATAACAAGTTGGTACAGGACAGTACAGACAGCAAAAATCTTACTGTAAGCCTTTTTTCAAAACACTGATCAATAGAGCTATACTACTGGTATCATGATACACCACATCAAATAGTAAGAAATGATGAAATCACTGAAATACAGGTCTAATACCTCTTTCTTCGTACATTTATTTAATGTTATCTGAAAAAATTTAACAAAGATACCCACAAGAACAAACCATTTTTAAATGAAGGGATGGTTATTAAATTTAACAGTCGGCACGTCCTCAGGTACCACGTCCTTGTGCTCTGCCATGCTTACAGTTGGTGCTATGGTATAATACTACTTCTGCCATTATGGGATGTAACTCTATTAGTTCCTGTTCTATTTATAGCGTATCGTGATCTCACAAACTGAAAGTATTGTGTGTATCTTAGTATCGATGATACCGTAGGTATCGGTGTATCGGTACAGCCCTACTGGTCAATGTTACAATTCAGACAATGTTTACACACTTGTTGGTGAGTTGGTCAAAATCTACAGATTGGATGTACATCAACTGTTACACCATTTCTTTTTGAACACATTACCATGGTCAGAACCAACTCTTTTTTCAAACCTCTAACAAATCTGACTGAGATATGAGTGGACATGCTGAAGTTAATAAAATACTGAAAACCCTTATTAAGCATACGTCTGAATATTTCCATCTTAATACTGGATACCTGTAGATACAACACCAGCAGAATCTTTTTTTCAAAATGATGTATAAATTATCAAAGACAACCCAAAATATGATTCTATCAGATGAATGATATCAAAGCCTTAATAACAATAAGAATTAGGAACCAGTTACAATGAACTCACCATCCCCCCAACAGCTTCTACCCCAGGTGGTGCCTCCACCCCAGGGGGAGCATCCTCCCCAGGTGGGGCCTCAGAGCCTGCCTCCTCGTCTTCGACCTTAACAACGCTGGCCTTAACCACCTCTTGCCGCAGCTTCAAGAACTCATCCAGACTCAGTATATCCTTCGGGTGGTTCTCCATTATGTGCTTCTTGAAACTGAAACAGTTCCAGATAGGTGAGTGGGTGAGAGATGTGAGTGAGTGAGTGAGTGAGTGAGTGAGTGAGTGAGGATGAGGATGAGGATGAGTATGAGTATGAGTATGAGTATGAGTATGAGTGAAGATGAGGATGAGTGAGGATGAGTGAGAGAGGGTGAGTGAGTGAGTGAGCGAGCGAGTCCACCACAAACGGGCTTCACACATTGTTGAAGGCTGACCCTTAGAGTGGCCTCCCTTTGTGGCCCCAGCCTTAGATCATTCCTGTCAGAGTGACCAATATCAAAAACAAAATTTGACTGCTTGGCTTTAGCTTTATTTCACAAACACGGCATGATGATTTAAGCACTAGGCTGCCCCACCGCCCCTATTAACCAAAAAAGCAACAAATTACCTCAAACACATCAAAATGTACCCACTGTTATCTAAGGGTTTTTCACAAATATATTGAGTTCTGTTTCATGAATTGCTTCCTTAATTCAGAACAGATTCCAATCTTTAACCACTGGCATGTTCATTTTGTTTGTTTAGCGCAACATGCCCGCCATGTCTGGACCAGACAGTCCAGTGATTGATATCATGAGCATTGATCTACATAATTGGGATATGATGACTTTCATCAACCAAGTCAGCAACAGACATATTTACTTCAAATCGCATGGAAACCTTTTGACAATAAATATTTAAGAGCAGGTTCAAAAGGAAAGCTAGCTGTCAACACGTGTTCATAGTGATTATTTTTAGTAGTGAACTTGAAATGCATATTACATATTTTGTGAGATTTAACTTACAAAAATGGGGGTTATTTAACAAGTAGTAATAAATTTATTGTAGCAAGTGCATCATCTTCTATCGATACAAAATAAAACGTACCATGTGTCATATCATCATATGAAAAGACATGATGCACAGGTGCACCGGTACACCAGTGTATCGTTTCACCCCTGCCATATAAGAGTTACCTGCTAGTTATTTGGTGATTGGCAGAGTTACGGTTAGCACATTCCAGTTATATCATTGGGTGTCAAGTTACTGTCAACTTAAAGATGGCCTGCCTATAATCATGATAATTGAATCTAGACTGGACAACCAGGACTGATCCACACAAAGGGGATAATGACACTCATTAAGCAAAATTACACCTTCTAGCCATCTGATCCAAACTTTTGTAAGCTTTTACTGACAATTTCCCATTGTTTTTCCAAACTCCTAGACTTACTTGTCATAGTGATGGCTGTACAGCTGTGTGGGAATTGATAACAATCGCTTGTACAACTGTGTCACCAGCTTCTTGTTGAGTCGCATGTTTTCCCACGATATATAGGAGTCCCATAGTTTGTCGGAGCGGAAGTCTGTGCCAGCTGCCGTGATTGACCTCTCATACAGTCTAGACAATTCAAACATCACCCATTAAACAAAGACAGAGTTGATACTTATGACAAACAAGCTGGCCAGTGAATTGTGCACTAATATTCACATTAGATATTGAATACCTCCATATCAAGGTCAAGCCTAGGTTTGTTTGTTTGTTAAACGCCACACTCAGCAATATTCCAGCTATATGTCGGCGATCTGTAAATAATCAAATCTGGACAATCCAGTGATTGACATCATGAGCACCGCTCCACGCAATTGGGATACAATGACATGCATCAACTCAGTCAGGGAGTCTGACCACCCAATCCCGTTAGTCACCTTTTACAAACCAAGAATCATAAACAGGGTGAATTGAAGATTTTAATCTATGATTATAGGATTCCAGGAAAACTAAAAGATGCACTCCTGCATGGTGAATTTTGGTGCCTTATAAGGACTGGACCTCACATCCCCCCTTCTTCCCTTAAAAAAAGATGCTTAAAAATGTGTAAAATCAATTCAGATTAAGAACTCACTTTGCAAACTTTAGTTATAACAAACTTCATGTTGTATCCAGGCAAGTTTGTTCGTTTTTTAACACCGCACTCAGCAATATCCCAGCTATATGACGACGGTCTAAATAATCGTATCAGGACCAGACAATCCAGTGACTGTCATCATGAGCATCGATCCACTCAATTGGGATACGATGACATGCATCAACCCAGTCAGCGAGCCTGACAACCCGGTCCCATTTGTTAAGCATAGTCGCCTGTTACAGCAAGCATGGGTTGCTGAAGACCTTTTCTACCCCAGATCTTCACAGGCAAGGTTGACAGTGACAACACAAAGAAACCTACTTCCGTATCTTCTCCTCCCCATCTTCATGAGACCCAAACTCAGTGATGTAGAAGTTGAGGTAATGCAGCCACAGCTCAACGCTTAACGGGATCGCCTTAACTCCACGCTCAAACACCTGATAAAACAAGAAACACATATTTAACGCAATCAACACAGCACTTATACCTTTACCCTGGGTACGAGGTTACAAGGGAAATCCACAAAACCACGGAACCCGAGCGAATCCGATTCACGATGAATTACAACTGATTTCATTACCGTGACTATTTCCCAGTGCACGCCTGTGTTGAAGGCTGGCCCTCAGAGTGGTCTCCCTTTGTGGCCCCGGCCTTAGATCATTCATGTCAGAGTGACAAATTTCAAAAGCGAAATTTGACTGCTAAGTTTTAGCTTAATTTCACAAACCCGGTGTTTGTACGTGGGAAGCACTCCATGCATTGGGTGCAATTTTCTGCAAAGAAAAACATGGCATAAAAAAAACATGAACAAATCTCGTACCCTACAATCTAAATTGTTGTTGAAAATTCTTTTCCTTTTCACTTATTTTCTGTTAAGTCTCTGGAGGACAAAAAAAAAAGTTGAGCAATTTATCTGCTTGCGAAGGGTGCCTATATTTACAGAAGCTATTGTGAAAAAATAAAAGCCAGTGTCTGACGAATACCAGAACACAACTAGGTTTTTCTAAGGTATTGGTATGAGATGAAAGCTAAATTTCATCGCAACAAAGTTTTCCAAAATGCTTGTTTTAACTTTCAAAGAAATGTGATAATTTGTGGTGTTCAAAATATAATAGTCAGGAAGTTATATTTAAGAACTTCTATTCTAGATGTGCATAGTTTTCAACTGAGATATATGCGGTACATCTTTCACAAAATAAGCAATAGCTTTGCAACTTTCGAGGTTTTAAAGTATTCCCTTTCAACTATTGCTATTTAGATTCCTTGCATCTTCCCGAGGCAAGTGAGTTAACTGACTATAAAGTCCAGTTTCCACCCTTGCCGAACTAGGCTGGTATTATGGAGTTACATTTTGGCTGGACTAACGAGTCTATGCATAGTCCAATCACAATCGCACAAGGAAATTGAAATCCGGTCCGTAAACTTTCATGCAGATTTCCGATCGATTGCAGGATTTGCAAAGTATGTGCACCGCCAACTCGAAATCAACAGATATTTTCCAAAACTTTTCATGTTTTTAATCAAGGTGCTCACATGATTTGATGCACTTGGCGATGTAAGACCCGTTTTGTCACAATATAGATCTTGATTATCGATCAGATCGTCTTGACCGGGTGCCACCATTTTGTTTGAAGCAAATGCAAGTGATACGAGAGGTGGAATCCATAGGAGAGGCAAAGAAGGGACATAACTCGTAATAGCCACTGGTGGCGCTATGATCGAGCCCAGGGATTCAGCCAAGTTCAGCAAGGGTAGAAACTGGACTTTTAAACTCATTTAACTCTCTTGCCTCTGGAAGATGGATTCCTTGGTGTTACAAGCTTGTTTAAAGCTAAGATGGGTTTGAGAAAGATTCATTTCTGGAATTACGAGCACTTAAGGGAGCTTAGGTTCTTTTCATGGACACTTTCCTCGAGCAGTGAACAGGATCCTATGAAGCAAAAACCTACGGTTGGTAGAAAGAGAACTGTAAAACAAATAGATAAACTGCATGTTTGTAACCATGCATGTATCAGTCAATAGATTGCACAAAATGTTTTGTCACTGTAAATACCGTGTACAAAATTTGTCATTCTCCCTAAAACATGTAAGCAAAATGTAGCTATGGAAGCAGGATAAGGACCTATCAGGATGCACCCAGTGTTAAATAAAAAGGTGAAAGAGTGTCTGAAATAACAATGGAAAGATAAATTGTTCAAAAAACCCACTGTTGGTCAGAGTGATGTGAAAATCTAGAACTTGATGGTCAAACATAAAAAACCCAATTCAGATTCTGTCACAGAGATTTGAATGCAACAGCACTAAAATAAAGCAAAGCAGTCATCTAAAAATAATTATCCTTTGGTCTCTCCTATGTAACAAACCACCTACCATGATCTCTTTGATTAGGATAATGAAACAACTACCTCTCCCAAAGGTAATATCCTATAAATTTTCCACCTACATATGAAACTGTTAAGGAGTGCTTGAGAAGACTTTGTGTGATAAACACTGAAGAGCGACTTTGCAGTCTTCTCATGCTGAAATCAACAGAACCAAAGTTAAAATTAAACTTGCACAATTTGACAAACATATATTGAAGTCAAGTCTTGGGGATTCTCCATATCTGCCATTTCGAGACGTCTTAAAATTCAATGGTAAAAGTACATACCGCCAAAGCTCGGTCAACGTCAGTAAATTTCTTCTCCATATCGCTGTATTTCTTCCAGTAACCATAGCAATAAGGATAGTGACTGAAGAATGCATCATAAGCCTCCTCTGCAGCTTGTAAGTTGTTCTGAGGAAAAGAAATAAACATGGCTCACAACATCTTCAAGTTACATGTATTGAGAAGCATGGATACATCTTGTCCAATATTCACAACTTCAAGTGACAACTGACAAATGCTAAAAGACTTTAAATATCAGGATTTATCTAGCTTTAATTAGGACCAATATTTAGTCATTATATTAACAGTGTGTGACAATTAAGTTCAAGTCATTATAGATCCATGTGCTTGAACCTAAACATGTCAAACCCATACACTACAGTTAATATACAGCAACAATGAAAAAACCCTGATCTTTCAATCTTAATAAACATCTGACCAATAGCCAGTTGTCAGGTACATCTCAATTTGTTATGACCAACTGAAATTATTGAAAAGACTAATCATCAGTCTGTTATTAATGTCACACACTGCTACGGACAGATACTTAAATACCCACTTCTTGGCTGTCCAGGAGTCTAAAACAGGCACCAAGTCAACATTTCTGGATACATACCTGCACATTTTTGGGTGCCACACCCTCAACTGCATTAAAGCTGGATTTCTTGAAAAAAGATATTGATTTTAAATTTATTTTAATCACTATATAATTGGAACAATAACATCGACAGTATATGCTTATGGCGATTCATATCAAGCTGACTGAATATTATCATGTATGTAATATCATGCCTTACCTCTTGCTCAACAAACTGCAGCAGGTATGTCCAACCAGTAAAGTCATTGGGATTCTCCTTCACTGCCTTCCAATACTTGTCCAGCTCAGACTCTTTCTCCGTTTTCTCTGCCTTCTCTACTACGTCAGTTTTAGCCTCTGTCACCATTGCTGTTTCTGAAACACCAACTGATCTTTGAGTTGTTCAGCATCAACATGTTTACTAACAGGCGTGTGTGCTGCAATTTGATTGGTTGAAAAACACTAAATGGGATTGGATCCCGGAAATCAGATTTTTCACCATTGTTCACTCCATATGAATACTTTAGCAATCTCATTATATCTGATCTTAGTACTCGCTACCGCTAAACAAAGACCTGAGGACATCCCATTATGCGTCATCCGACCAATCAGAGTGTCGCTTACCAGATTGGGGAAAGTGACAGTCGGAATGTGTTTTATAATAATGCAACCTACAAAAAACTAAACATGGGATATTCCAAATGATAGTTGGGGTATTTATGACTGAATCTGTCATCAAAATCATCGTCTATCGCTTGCTTCAATCGGATATTTGAACGGAAGAGACTTTGTATTGTCTGTTGGATGTACTGCCATACAGTTTAGGCCATCTATTAGCCATTCCAGAGGGTTCTTTTGTCCAGTTTTCAAATTTTAATCAACCATTTGTCAAAATATGTTTCGAAGCGTAGTCACCAGTTTGAAACTAGTGCTGTTAAGCTCAAGAAAGCTGCCTTCTGATTGGCTAATGTCAACTTCTTGTCAGTCATTCCATTGGTCGGTCAAAGTTTGCAAAATGTTTGTCTGGAATGACCCTGTAATGGGATGTCCTCAGATCTTTGTTTAGCGGTAGCGAGAACTATGATCTGATTTTAATGCAATTAATACTTTTCCTGATATTAAAGTATATTTTTTTATTTATTTGTTAAACTTTCTTTACATCAAGTAAATATTGGCCGCATCTGGCTAAAACTGTCAAAAAGTTTCTACTCAAAAACACCCACAAATCTGAAAGCATGTGTTTACCTCCTATTATGCTAGACAAGTACTTAGTGTACCTGTTAATTGTTTTGTAAAATAAGTATTGGAATCACATGTATCTTATACATACCATCCTCAAACATTTGCAAGGTTTACAATAACATCAAATAGGTTTTCAAAACAAACATCCATCAGTAACAGTAAACCAGTATAAACACTGTAGTGTCAGATATGTATCAAATAGTAAATACTATGGGTTTGACACGATTCGTATCAGAATTCATATCCAACCACAACCCTGAATCACTTGTTTTTCAATTTCAGAGATCAAATATTGGAAACTGAAGCAGAAACATGTAGGCTAGAGGGTACTGTTTATGTTATGCTATTTATAGCCAACCCGGAAATACTATCCTCGTGTTATGAGTTTTTGAGCCCTAAGAAGCATTTTTCATTATGTGTCTAATAACAATCCCTTTACACTAAAATTAAGTCTTACCTTTGAGAACATGTATTTCTCTTAACACTTTGAGGGTCAAATGACCATGTCTTGTTAATTTTATAGCAATAATGCCTTGCCAAACGAGAAGAGTCGATCTGGCGCCATCTTGTTACCGTCACATAATTTCGAGCCCCTTCATTATAGTCAAGTTAAAAATAGATGTACAGTCCGAGACATGAAATTACAGACAGGATGTTTACAAAAATCAGCTGATACATAATCGGTCCATACGATTGTTCTGATGCAAAATTATCATCAGATCAAGTCTGATTAAAATGGGCATTAGTGAAAAAGTAAGTTTTCAGATGTGTTTTCATAAAACTTATGGAATATCTTTATGTTGTATATATATGAATGAATTATGTAGCTTATTTCACAACTTAACTTCAGCAGCAAACGGTGAACACTTTCATGCTTACAGTGGGTTTTGAAGCATCTACCTTGATTTATGTCATTAAGTGAGTGGTCACATATATTGTTAGGGGCACGAAATCGTGTGACGGGATACAGAATCTGTTGTTATTCACGTTTTTTACACCAATATAACTTAATCGAATGTACTGTCTATATTACGATACAGGGGTTGTAAATTGATACATGTACTTTATCGCCGAGCCTCGTATTGCGATACAATACTTTATTGCTGTGTCTTACACCACTATAACAAACATGTCTGGTGAATATATTTTTTATTAGGAATGCATCATCATTAAATTTGTAACATTATTGTATCCATGGTTGTCTCATATATTTCACTGAACCATTCAAAGGTAGAAATTGCAATACGAATGGAAAAAAACACCTTGCACATAAAATGCTGCAATCTGGTAATATCGCACATATAGGCCTATTGCACTTCGACATAGCAGTTTCACGTTAATACATGTGCCATGTGAGAAAATCTGTAAATCTACTCTAAACCTTTCATTTCCAACTCTGCACTGCCTTGTGCATTGATTGTCATGACCATTAATTGTATTGTATGAGTAAAATTAAAATGTAAACACTAGTTCTGGCTAGTTTTCTTTTCCAACTTTTTTCCACGTATGTGGTCGACAAAATCTGGAAATATGTATCTCTGATAAAAATTTAGATCATTATCCACATGCATTAAATTAGCATAGGTCTCAATGCCTTAAATCAACATAGGATTACCTTGATTATCATCAGCCTGTTTCTTGAGTTCCTCACTCGGTGGAGCTGGCTCCATTTCTGGTTTACCCATATCTTCCGACATTTTGAACTAAACCTAAACTCCTACCATTGCGCTTAACATTTAGAGCATTGGGTATTGATTCCTTGTGACACTGTGTGGAGTTTATTGATATTCTTGCAGACGGCTGTTATGTCCCTTCAATTGTTAGGACGTATTGAGAATATACCAGCTAAGTCTTCGGGTTATTTTTTACACATCCGAGCAAAACTCATGGTCACGAGACTTCCGATCGAGTTCACTCCCCTTTGACAGTGTTTATATCGTCTCCAGAAATGGGACTTGGAAATATTTTCGTGTTGTCTCAAGTGACAGCGTTTCTCTTGTCCTTTATTTTCTCTTTCTTCATATTTGTCCCCGTTTGGTCAAATGTGAACGAATTCAGTGGCAACTGTTTACTCTATAGTTCAGGTTTATGGATTCCACAGTCGAGCATTTCTCAAGTGAAACTAAACATTGTGTGGGGCCCAAATAGTGCATGCAATTTTACTATTTTTGTTGGAGTTGCTGTGTTGGTCCTGTCAATATTCTACATGGTCTGGCAGTCACGGTACTTGTGTAGAGGGATTGACAGGTAAAATATTGAGCTAACAATTCCTGAAATATTAGAAACATTATCTTCTATGGTACTAGGCCTAATCTGTTCTGCAGACGGTAAATCAAAGGAAGGGTCTGTCATAATCCCAAGCCTACTACAACAACAGAACAATACTGCGGTTCTACTGAAAATTCATAGATGAATCAGATTTGTGTGCCAATTTATTTAATACTAGATCTATTTGTTGTGTAACTAAATGAAGGGATTTGTAAAGGTAGACACTCATTTCTACTATCAGATAGCCTACATATGGATTGTTCACCGGAAATATTTTTCATTCATTGCCATATCTTCTCTCCTGAAAGTGCAAATTTCATAAGGCTCCTTTTATCTGATCTTATCCTAAACTTGTGGTCTGAAAATCCTTTTTTGTATGTTTTCCAGTTCCTGGCTAGATGCATTTGTTACCTGTGCTGTGACACTTGTGATGACAGTGGTGCTGTTTGCAACAGCTCTCACAGCAAGTGTGGGCTTCAGGGAGTGGTGCTCGCTCATCACCAATCCAGTATCTCAGATAGAGCAGTAAGTCACTCACATTAGCCAGAAAAGGTGTGCTGACAAAGCCATTAAATCATATCAAAATTAGAGACTGTGGATATTTTGGGGCAGAAAAGGTACTAGGACCCAAGTACCAACGCTACAACTTTCCCAGAAGATGATAAACCCCAGACTATAAATTTGCTATCATCTGTGCCACATGCCTCACAAAGAATAACAATTTCTATGTTGCCATGGTTAAGACAAATCATATTATATCAGGAAGATGCGGGTGATGGCAAATTTCAGCTGCTGTTGCTCTCCCTGTTCACATCTTACAATGGTGGGATGTTTTGAAACATCTCTCAGTGATTTTGTGATGGAAAAGCATGTGGAGGGGGTACTGTAAGAGGGACATGGGTAATTAACATCTGAAGGTAGTGCTATGACATTTCCGAGTGGAGTGCAACTGGCATTTTATGTGTAAAAAATCACATGTACCAGTTGTCCCTGGAACTGATGCCTTCTCAACTCAACTTACAGTTACCCTTGTATGATCACTGAGTACTATAAATGACTGCAATGATTCTAGAAATCATGTTTGGTTTTGAAACATGCCCATGCCTAAAAAATGCCCAATAAAAAAAAATTCATGTACTATTTATGTAAAGTATATATGAATGATGAAACTACCCTATAGAGATCTGATTTAGAATTGGTCTTCAGCAACCCATGCATGCGATTATGCTTGTCATAAGAGGCGACTAACAGAATCGTGTGGTCAGGCTCGCTGACTTGGTTGATGCATGTCATCGTATCCCAATTGCGTGGAAAATGCTCATGATATCAATCCCTAGATTGTAGGTCCAGACTCAATTATTTACAGACTACTGTCATATAGCTGGAATAATACTGAGTGCTACGTTAAACAACAAGCAAATATCCCACTAAGACGTGATAATAAGGGTAGGCCCTTTATGACCTTATGACAATAGACAGGGCTACACGACATGGGGTGGCTCTAACTTTATTGGACCGCCTCCGTGGTCCAGTGGTAGAGCGTCTGCCCAGAGAGCGGAAGGTCCGGAGTTCGATCCCCGACCGCATCATACCAAAAGACGTTAAAAGATGGTACTTGTTGTTACCCTGTCTGGCGCTTGGCATTAAGGGGCTAAAACCTGACTGGTTGGCTCGGAGTCAGTATACTGTGTCTGAGTGGGGTATTCATGTTAAACTGCGGCATGGTATCTCAGTGAGCTGGCACTATAAATCGGCATCAGTCCGGTCTAGTACAAGCAGCCACACACACACGTGCATGCACATCGCTAAATAAGTGCAATAATCTTGGTAGCGACGTTAAACCCCATTTCACCTCACATCTAACTTCATTGTAAAGTAGAACAGCAAATAGCAAGATGGAATGCCCAAGGTGTCAAGGAGTGACTGTAAAATGATAATGACGTAACTGGTAACAATACATGACTATGTGAACACAAACATTTTCCAGCTATGTTTAGACAGAGATCCACACATTGCAGATCTTAGATGAAAATAAGCATTGACTGGAGTTTTCTTCAACTTTCAGATGATTTGTTTGTTTGTTGTTTAGCGCTGCACTCAGCAATATTCAAGCTATATGATGGCGGTCTGTAACTAATCAAGTCTGGACCAGTCAATCCAGTGATTGACATCATGAGCATCGATCCACACAATTGGTATACGATGACATGTATCAACCAAGTCAGTGAGCCTCACCACCCGATCCCATTGGTCACCTCTTACAACAAGCATGTCACTTTTTACGGCAAGCATGGGTTGCTGAAGACCTATTCTACCCCGGATCTTCATGAGTGACTTTCATATGAACTCTGTACTGTGTTGATTTTGACATGACAGGGCTTTTTTGTTGTTTGGCCATGTGTCTGTGATATTTTTTATGCTGATTTCTGGAGGTAGGCCTCAATTACTTACTCGCATTTGTGACATAGCTGGAATATTGCTGACTGTGACCATATACTCACTTAATCTTCACACTTAATGTAATTCAGTATTGTGTGTGCGTCCTTCAGATGTGAAAATGGACAGTATGATGGCAGGATTGTGTTCACCTCGGGGCTACAGATCAATACAAACAACTACTACACAGAGATGGAAATGTCGCAGGTAAGAAATGGGGACTGATAAGGGATGGCAAAAAACTTCGAAGAAGTCGCATTTGGCTAAAAGAAATAATAGTCTTGGTTCTCAGGCACTGCCCGCACCACCATAAAGTCCACCGCATGTTTCGTCCATTTTGAAATTAAAAAAAAAATTCTAATCCATAAAAACAATGCAATCCATTATAGCACACAGTTACTTCCCTTTACGTATGCACTGCTTTACTGTGCATCTCGTGCTATGGTCATGGCGCCAATAGGAGTTTGTATGAGAATCAATTATTGTATTTTGTTAAGCCTTATATTTATGTGTTTACTCATAAAATCAACTCATTCTACCGCTATTGATGTGAAGACTGTTATGTGTTATGTTCAATGATTTGTCTGAATGCATTCAGGACCTAAAGTCAGTAGGATATGGTTTTGGTGTTCATAATAGGAGTGAGTGAGTGAGTGAGTGAGTGAGGGGGTTGCACACTACTCAAATTGTGTGCCACAAGAAGGACACGAGTCAGGTCTGAAAAAAAGATTGTGTACCACTCCTCTTGATCACCCTTGTAGAATACTGATTCAATTTTTAAAATGGTTGCCGTGGCAGTCAATTTGAAAACATAGTCCCCATTACACCATACTGGGAACCACCACACTCCAATCCACCCCTCAGTTTTGAGGGTTGGCCCTCCTCACTGAACTCATTATGCTCATAGGTTCTTTCCCTTTAAAATGACGTTTGTTGCTCTGAGAGGGCAAGTACGTAAAGGCAACATGGCAACTTTCCAGTTTTTATTTCTTTAGGGCCTACTTAATCACAAATGCTGGACCAAAATTAAATTTGAAAAACAAATATAGCGTGAAAAAGATAGGCAAAATTGTCCCCATAAACAAAAAATTCAGCCACTGAGGGGATTCCTCTTCCTGGGGTAAAAATGGGTTTCCGGTGATTGACACTGCGCAATTTCAACTATCATGACGATTGGGCCGATGCACAGTCTGTCTGCTTCTGCCTTAGATTTTTTAATACATTCAACTTTTTTCTGTGTGCTCATCCATTTGATTACCGTGTCCAAAACTTTTTTGTCATATTTTTTACTTTACTTGCCCTTAAATGATATACATATCATGATATATTTTCCTTACCTTTTACCCCAAAAATATGAGTTAATATGTTATACTGTACCTATACAGTCTGTATTTTTGTGTTCTAGTTCGGTCTGTGGGCAACGTGGATCTGTTGGTTAGTTCTGTCATTTCTGTCAGTCATTAAGCTGTACCGCTTTCACAGACAGGAAGCGTTCCTCACAAGCATGAACCGAGAACGTGAACGTCTGCTCCAGCGTGTTGGACACCCAGCAACAGAGCCAATGTGATTTGGATGACACATTCAGGTGGTAGCTGTCTTCATCTGTCATGGTGCTATGTACACTGGGCATGGAACTCTCCATTAAGGAGGAGGATTTCTGTGCCCAATAACTTGCTGACAAAATTTGGATGTCTATATGAAGGAACAAAATTGTGTATTTTCTCAGCACATGAGTTCACACCACTTTGCAGGGGTAGACATTTCCAACTAGCTTCCAACTAGCCAATGCTCATTTTGGACTCCCGATTTCTGTAAAATGACTAGATTCTTTCAGAAAACCACTAGTACATAGATTTTCACCATAGAATCAGGCGAACTGACTAGTGGCCATGTCTATCCCTACTTTGCTGTACACCAAAATCAAACATGACAATATCCAGATTTATGAATGCTATGACATTTTGCGGTGTTACTTGTTTTACCTGTATGTTTCTTACCTGTGTTAGAGATGTTACCATGTTTCAATGCGAGGCATTTGGTGTACACTGTGGTGTATAGTGCTGTTCAATAGAAGGAAAAACAGGAAGGAGACTTTGAACGTTCACAAAGTACCCAGACAGGAATATGATGCTCACAATATATCGATATATATCTCTGAAGCAAGGGACCATATGAATTAATACCTTCCGGTATTATTTCTCAAAAATACCCTGACAATAAATGTTTCTTCTTTGTTGTATTACTGTGGAACCAGCTGGACAGAAGCTCAGAGAGCTTGCTCATGTGTTCAGTTCCAGGTTTGCCTGGTCCTGACTGGATTATTTCAGACAGCTGTTATATAGTTGGAATACTGCTGACTTGGGCATTAACTGACATTGTAAGGCTTAAGAAAGATAAAAGAATTGGTTCTCAGGCAATGACTGTTGAAAATATAGGGCAGGCGGGTGGGTGGTGTTTTGTTTATTTTTGGCTTTTTCAAACTAGTATGTAACCAAATAGTTGTGTACCATCAACCTGGGAAAGAGCCTCCCTACATGAACAAGAATACAAACTCCTATTGCCGCCATGACCATAACACGAGATGCACAGTAAAGCAGTGCACATGTAAAGGGAAGTAACCGCGTTGTTTTGAAGTATTAGGATTTATATGTTTTTTAAAAAATGGAAATAAAAACAAAACGTTCCGCAGACTTTATGACGATGCAGGTTTGAGAACCATGACTATTATTTTGTTTAGCCTAAAATAAATGGAAACATTTGCAGCAATCTGATTAGTTTAAAAATACATTGTTAATAGAGATTAGACATGGGTATTTTTGTGGACTTTTAATTGGGTATGAATGATACCACATTCATTATTTATCAGTATGATCAGTGATTTTATACTTGTTAGAACAACTTTAATTTTGTTGTGTAATACGTACACACATTTCTTTTATTCAGAGTCCAGATATACATGATATGATCATATGTTAGCATTGAAATTAGACCATTAACTGTGGGCCAATCATATTAATATGGACATGATCCTTTATTTCCCCACACATTACAACTATTGTCTGTTGATGGAGGACATGATCTTGACACAGTACAGTTCCAAGACAAACATTTAGTCCCAGAAATAAAGTTACCTCATTTAAAAATCTATATGCCGTCATTCAGGTGATGTTTCTGACAGATCACGATCTGAAAAATATTATCATGAAAGTGTATCCCGTGGATAAGCCGACCCCTTTCTACAGAATCTTTTTTCTGGTCCTCAAATTTCGTCTTATTCGCGGTCATATACGGTACACAAAATAAAAAGTAAAATTCAAATGGAGCCCAGAACAATACTTAATTTCACCTGAGGCAATCTAGACTTGAGTTGGACTCCTTTTTTTATATATTCTCTAGGGTCTGGGGGACAGACTATGCAGTTCCATGAAGTGGCTTGTGAATAATTGCTTCCCTGTATTTCACTGTAGTACATTGTTTTAATCATTTCTCAATTCATGCAATATTTTGTTTCTTAAGAGGTGATATGTTGATATTTGTAGACTATGAATACTGCATGAGTTATGAAATGTTACTTATATGGAGATGGCATATTTATAATATAGGAAGAATGAAATATGTTTATTGTGACCCCTAAATGTTGCGGAGTACTCATTCTATACATGTTCAAATCATATCAGGAATGGGTTTTTTTCTGAGACAAACTTAGTATTTTGCTTCAGGTCAAATCTTCTACAGTGAGCCGAAGACGACATGTAAATATTGAGATAAAGTAACTAAATTGATGTAGGCTTATTGACAGTATCACTGAAGGGGCAATGTCTGTCAGCACTCAGCACCATACCCAAGCTTAGGGGTTCCACCACAGTGGTAAATGTCTATGTGACCTACACCACCTTCGGCTATCTTCCCGCATCAAGCTGACACTTTGATATAATTATGTGACCAACCATGAAATAAGGGACCTTATTGGTGAAAAAATCACATTTTGACTTTTCATCATATTTTTAAAACTACAGCATCTTTGGAACACAAAAATACAAAAAACAAGTTTCAATTCATATTTATTACAGAGATACATGACATCACACATATCGATTTTCACTGAAGTAAGTTGACGTCAAATGACTTTGATACAATTGTATCCTAGCACCCTTAAGGTCCCTTTTCTCCTGGTGGGTCACATATCTGAACTATAGTGTCACTGAACAACCCTCACTGACCTACTGAGCAATGAAAGTGTTCCACTTAACTAAACTTTGCAGGTCTCCGATATTGACTCCTTGCCCAACTGCACCATTAGATCTGCATTTGCTTCAAGCTGCATGTGTTCACCCATCATTCCAGGAGTCATCGCAGTAGATGGCTTCTTGCCTGTTGCATGATGTATGGTCTTCCATAATAGGAAAATATTTATGTCTCAAATTATGTTGTCAGTTTTCATGTCAAACTGAAAAGTATATGAACAAATAAAGTGTATCTATGTACTTCATTGATGTTAGAAAATTGATTTCTAGGTGAAATAAGATGGCATCAGATGTGATGCCACATTCTGCAGAGTTAGAAAATAGTTTTTATTAGCACAAGTCCACTCATCTACCTTATGGTAAAAGTGTAGTGAGAAGTGTCTCAAGGCTTTCATGGAGACTAACAGAGCATCTGCCTGGAGAGCGAAAGGTTGGTGGTCCGATCCCCTAGCCCAATCATACAAAAAGACTTGCTTGCTGTTTCCCTGCCTGGTACGTGGCATTAAGGGGATAATGCTGGCCAGCTCCAAGGTAGTATAATGTTGGAGTGCACAAGGGTATACATATAGAATACTAAACGAGCTCCTGTGTAATACCAATTTTATGAAACGAGTGAATAGTTCTGGTATCTGACGAGCGAAAGCGAGTCAGATACCACAACTATTCACGGGTTTCATAAAATTGGTTTTACACGAGAGCGAGTTAAGTATTTTATTTATTACTTGTAATTTATAATGTTTTTAGAATTATACTGTTGAGTGTAAATAGGCTGACACCTACACGATCCAAGGCATAATCCAATTGAGTTTAACAGAATAATACTTCAAACACGTCAAAAGTTGAAACGTATGAATTTAATATCATACAATGGTCCACCTTTAGAATTCAGGCGTTCGTCCTACAAAATTATCGTAGTGCTAAGGCTATCACAACTCACATAATTTAACTTAGACTAACGACTGTCGTTGCGCTAGAGTACGATCGCCTTGTGGAACGGGGCCTTGCACCTCAAAGTTTACAATCACGTCACAATACCCGATGACGTAATTTGTTGAATTTTGTTGCAAGATCCATCGGCGAAACAATGCCATGTGACGTCAGCCTAGCAACAAGGTTGCTGGGGTCATCGAGTGTGCACAAGCTCCTCCCAGTGATCTATCATCTCCACACACGTCGTTGAATACGCCAAGGGATGTTGAGAGCTTTCAATATTTGTTCGTGAAGCGTGTTCCGAGAGTACATAAGCACACGTTTTGGTATTACACAATGTGTAATAAAGCTGTATGTTTATTAAACAGGTGATCTCTTCACGGGCAAGTAATAAAAGTGAAATTTCTTTAACGTGATGTTAAACCCCATTTCACCTCACCTCATTTTGAACACTGAATCAAGCTATCGTCTCTGCTTTATGGGATATTTAGATGCAGACACAGCGTTAGAAACTAACAGTTTTCGTCCACTAGTCCTTATAATGATAACATATAGCAAAACCCTTAAGAATGGCAATTTTCTACTAGTCCTTATGATACCTTTACCATTGGACAGTTTGGCAAGGACTACAGGACTAGTGCCAATTTCTAACCCTGAGACAGTGTCTTCATTTGGGCAAGATTTCTTTAAAAATGTTTAGCTTTTTACTAAGAATTTTGTGACGTCTGATTAGCATTTGGAACTTGATCAAGGACAAGTACTTAGGATAAAAAAATATTCTATTACAATTGAGGTGGCGTTTTGTTGTAGATTCTATAACCTATTTCAGTCAAGAGATGTACAGCAAGGTGAAGTATATTGTCCTCTACCCTTGTTTGAAATATACCCCATACGCAATCACATCAAACATTCCTGATTTTTTAAAAACATGTTTGAATAAAATCTAATAATTAATAGGTATATTTATTGGGACCTAATAGTATAATAGTGTGCATTGTACCAAAAAAGAGGAATTGTACTCCCTACACATACAACCATCCAGTTCTTGGTTAAGATTGGATATCTATGTCTGCCTGACCCCTTTCGGTTCGCGTTGTCCTAAAAAAACTATGCCTTCACACAAAAACAAACACAAATCTTAGTGAATAAGTATTTTAATAACTAGTGTCTTTGACTAGTTTAATACCAAAAAACAAATGTGACCATTCTCGGTACAAATATTTCATTGTATGTACAGTGAAGGTAAAATATACATAAAATTAACAATCTAAATACAGCGTAAAGTGTATTTAGGAAGACCATTACCTTCCCCCAAATTTTGATTTTGTAAGGCTGATAAATTAGTGTAGAAGTAAAAATGGGCTGAGTAAAACCATGTGTATAACCAGTGAAAACAACCATCAGAATAGGAAAATAGTGCTATATGTAAAATTACAGTGCCATCACTTGACAACATTTGGGGAACACTAAGTTTAAACTCACAACCATAGCATGATCTTACTCTCTGTAAAAGAGGTCTCACTTCTTGTCTATCTTCACAAAAGAGATATGTAATAGAAACAGTTTCATTATCAGAAATGTAGAGAAATATGGTGCAGAAAGCGAACTGACAACACCTTAATACTGATAAAAGTAATCAGGCCCAGACAGCAGCCATACAATGGAAACCACATGCAGTTTCAGACACTATAGTGGTGGTATAAGAGCAATGGTGGTAGAGGTGTGGGCGATGGTGGTGTTGGTGGAGTGGATGCTGATGTGAGCGATGGTGTTGGTGGAATGGATGTCGGTGTGGGCAGTGGTGGTGTTGGCGGTGGTGTGGGCGATGGTGGAGTGGGTGTTGGTGTTGTTGGTGGAGTGGATGTTGGTGTGGGCGTTGGTGGAATGGATGTCGGTGTGGGCGGTGGTGTGTTGGTGTGGGCGTTGGTGGAGTGGATGTTGGTGTGGACAATGGAGGTGTTGGTGTGGGCAATGGAGGTGTTGGTGTAGTGAGTGTAAGGCATGGTATTGTTTTCCTAACCTTAAAATCCAACAATGTCATATTTTCTCATTTATCATGTTCTATATATGCTTCAAATGAGCAAACAAACTTTTGTTGGTTAAATTCGATGACAAAACAAATCCTCATCAGTGACGACAGCAGGTGAAGAGTATAGGCACAACAGGAATAAAGTCCTGTAATTGTACAATTCATCTTGATGAGATTTTCACAACACTGGATGTCAATTCATACAGCTGGTTCGATGAAAGTAACAACACCTCCTATCTCCGAAAAATAATAGGAGGATATGTTATCACAGGAAGATTCAATATAGTCTTACATAGCAAACTACACCTACAAAGAGCACACTGTTAAATACAGCACAAACTCCAACATATCTACATACATGGTTATAGAAGAAACAACACTGAACATGCCCTATTGTGAAGATGGTGAAAAAAACAACCCACGATAATATAGAGGTAAATAAGCTACATACAATACTTTATACACTAAATGTTAAATGCAAAGCAAAATGATACACGGCTCTGCATTTTCAGATCAGCAACACGTGTAGATCAGTCATTATTCCACATGTACATTTAGTCTCATTGAATACACAGCTGTATAACAGCAAATGATACATTAGACCAGTTACTCCCTCACCAAGTTCAAGATTTCCATTTTATTTTTCAGTGTCAGTGAGTGTGTGAGTGAGTGAGTATGGTTTTACGCCGCTTTTAGCAATATTCCAGCAATATCACGGCGGGGGACACCAGAAATGGGCTTCACACATTGTACCCATGTCGGGAATCGAACCCGGGTCTTCGGCGTGACGAGCTAACGCTTTAACCACTAGGCTACCCGACCGCCCCTTCAGTGTCAGTAAAATGTTTGAGACAGAATTCTTGGTCAGGATATTTTCAAACAAATGATGTGCCGGAGTACTGTTCGAACAGCTACAAATAATGTATATTTTCATGCCATAATTAAGTTATTTCTTCCATCTCAGAACATTTTTGCCTGCCCAGGCTCTTCCTTTATATAGATAAGGGTTTTACAGACATCTGTCTGCTGAAATATACCCCTTTCAACCAAACAAAAAAGCTTTGGAAAATTATGAAACAATAAACATAATTATCATGACTGAAACTGAAATTGCACACATTTATCAAACAATAAATAGAACAGCTAATAACAGTAAAATTACACTTTGGCAGTGGAAACATTGACAAACATTTATTCATGTAGATATAAAAAGTGACAAATGAACTCATAAATTCTTATGAACAGATTGAATTTAATGGACACTCATAGAAAATATACTACTAATATAAATCAAGTAATGTCAAGATGAAAGTAATATGATACTTTGAAAGTTAGGTTTCTCGTTAATTACCTACTGCATTTAGTTTACCATACAACACATTAATCAACAGGCACCTTACCAAAGTGGCTGGTGTAACAGAATCCAAGTGGGGATGATAACATGCATAGTACAATCAAATGATTATTCACCATAAGAGACCTTCAACATGTTCATATTCATCTGTTACAAACCTTGTCTAAATACTGAGGAAGCTGATTAAAGAAATCCCACTTAATCTCTATATTGAAATTAATCATACCATGGATGGCTGTTTGAATTTCATGCAATGAAAATCAACAAAGCCATGTCAGTAAAGTACCCCATTGATGAAGAGATAGAGGTTTGGATTTCAACATCTTTCATTCCTTCACTCCGATGTCTTAGTACTGTTTCATTGACTACATCTTCTAAATGGCACTAAAAGACAAAGTACCTGCTTGTTCTGTAAATTGATCTGCATCACCACAGGAAATGTATATGTAGTGACTGGTGAAAAACTTAATATACTTTTCAGCTTCAGTGAACACTTGACAAGACTCCTTATTACATGTATATACTATATCACAGTGATAATGGTTCAAACAGGCTGTGAGATATATTTTCCCCGGTAGGTATATGGCATTCTAGTCATGCATGTGCCCAGCAGACTAGTGTAGCACTAAGCAGTTCTTGATTACTTATGGAATGGAAGTATCACTTCCCTAATTTTCTATCGATGTCCAGATCCATCAAGGAAATTCTGCCTCCATTCCTGGTGATAATGCATTTGTCTTGGGGCAGGGGGTGGGGGTTGTTCCATAGGGATGGGTGTAGAAGGGGGAGGAGTGTGTGGGGAGCTCTGGGCTTGCAGGTGACTTCCAGGTATAGGTGGGGGGTGGCGGTAGCTCTGAGGGGGATGGGATGAATAAGAGGTGCTGTGATGTCCCAGACTGGAACTAGGGCCATTGTTTGACATGGTGTTGGAATACATGTGTGATGAGTGACCAGGATGCCCATGGGAACTTGATGAAGGTAGATGGTTCATCGGTGGAGGTCCAGAGGAAGATATAGAATGTTGGCCCATAGAAGACGTTGAGGGGTGGTGACTCATCGATGGATGCTGCCCCATGGAGGAGCTAGACAGATGGTGTCCCATTGATGATGTTGAAGAATGGTGGCCCATAGACGAGGTCGAGGGGTGATAGCTCATGGACGTTGTGGGGTGGTAACTTGATGTTGGGTGATGGTTCATCATGGAGTTCGATGTGTGGTGGTTCATTGTAGAACTAGGATGGCTATTCATTGTGGAATTTGACGGATGGCTGTTCAAGCTGGAGCTAGTGGGGTGGGTGGTAAGTCCTGAATTAGCAGAATGATGTGTAAGTGACGAAGGAGGATTATAGCCAGGGGGAGGGGGAGGAGACTGGAATCCTAGAGACTGGGGACCAGAACTGATCCCTGGAGCAGGTGGGGGTGGGGAGAAAGAGTCAGGGGGTGGAGGTGGAGGATAACCCTGCCGAGATGGGGCGGAGGATCCTGGATAACCAGTCCGAAGGTTATTCCTTTCCGGCGCCACATCACCAAGTTTCCTCCATACAACCTGGAAATAAGAAATCATACAAGCATAACTCATCTGATACAAAACAGTCTTTCTTCGTTGACATTGCAATCTCCGAGGTATTTGTAATTACACCATTTGGTCCAGAAGACCAAAGCAAGCATAAATTGCAGAATTCACAATGGACACAAGGAAAGCCTTTCTGCCACAATGTTTAATTAATGATTTCTTTCAGCTGTGCAAAAAGTACTAAGAAAAATCTATACAGCTTGCATTGACAATTCCTTACATTACACATCTCCCTGACAATGGCCTTCTCCTTGTCGTCCAAGTTCTCATCTCCAACGTCTCGTTCAGCTCTTTCCAGTTGCTCATGCACTTGCAGAACCTGTTTGTAAAAACATCAGCTTTTAACAATGATCAACAGTTCATTCAGCTGAAATAAAGATGAAGGGAGATAATCATGTGAGCACTCGCTTTATCTATGGGATTCAGTGAGGGGAAGGAAGTGATTGTGTTGTGAAGACAGCAGGGAGACAGAAGGAAAAACTAAGTTCACAAAATTCCTAACTAAATGACAAATAAATCACAAATAGCTTTGTCATTGGGTCTGAAATAACTGAAGGAAAATAAGTCCAAACACGTCACTCTTTACTAAAGAAAATTATTTATATTTATGCAAACTTCACTAACCACATGATAGTGTTGGTTTTGTTTATTTCTAATGCTGTAAACAGCGGATCCTCATTAAAGTCTCTCCATAAGATAACAAACCAGTGTAAATTTTAAAAGGGGCTGCCATTGTCATAATTTCCTTCTTTTTCATTCTCCTACTATTAAACATGTTCATGTTGAAGTGACTGCAGATTAAACATAGAACACATGGTGATCATGCAAACCTTCATAGCATGCACAACTGCCTCTGGTTTACTGGCCCCTGCTGATGGTGTTGTGAGGGAGGGGGCAGCACCTGACACATGCCCCATGGGCCCAGACCGACGCAGAACACCTCCAGATGATGGCTGGGAAAACAAGGGGGGAGGCACATGCTATCATCCACTCGTATCTAAGGCAACATGCAGAGAGGCAACTAGACTAGATTTGTTGACAAAAAACACTAACAGTCAGATACAATGCAACAGACAAGAGAATGAAAGATGATGTCATTAGTAATGAAATGAAAAATGATGAAAACAACTTCCTTGGCTGAACTTACTTTTGACGAGATTACAAGGCTCCATTGATCACTTATTTTCAATCATATCATATAATTCATATTCCCAAGTATTGTCAAGGTTAATGTGAGTCATTTGGGTTTGATGCCATTTTTAGCAAAACTCCAGCAATATCACAATAGGGGGACACCAGAAATGGGCTTCACACATTGTACCCAAACGGGGAATTGGATCTGGGCCTTTGGCATGACGAGCGAAAGCTTTTACCGTTATTCTCACACTTCTGTGACATCATTCTATTGTTTAATTGCTCCATTATTTTCAGGAATGGACAGTTGTTTGTCAATTATACATCATCTTGAACCAATATTTCAATTAATTTACGCTTGGATTAGACGAAACTTTTTTCTTGAATGATTTCAAGTTTTGTCGGAAAATGTGTCACCATTGGGGTTGGAACCTGCATTGTTTGATTTGAGGAACCCTAAAAAAATATGTACATAATGTTGTGCTACAGCAAGGTACCTATAACAATGTTTATATTTAAAACAAATAGGTAAGCCTTTGACGAGAAAAAATATATTCAGGAAAACATATATCCTTGTTCAGGGATCTACATTTGCTAGATTCCTGTTAGAATGTATTTACAACGTGCAAGTGATTGATACAATTCCACTATAGGACCATACAAAATTATGAAGAGACGTCTACCATGCATTGTAAATATCAGCTTGTGCATATGCAATAGTGGCAGAAAACATATTCCTTGTGCATCACGCAAGTGCAACTCATACAGCATAAATACAGTCTACAAATATTTCAGGTTTTTTTTCAATAATTTTGGTCAAGAGAATGTTATGTCAAAGTGTAAAAGTAGGGATGTGTTTAAAGTGGGGGAATATCCTTGTAACTCTCCATTCCTTAAAAATAATGTGTCTCGGCTCATAATTTTTAGTTACGAGGACATTTCCCTCTATATAACCGCTGGGCTTATGTCACAGCCTCCAAGGTTAAAACTATTTGAGTACAAATATGAACGATAAAGATGTAAATAAGCTAACAATTATCATGTTCACAGGTAAAATTGTGTTTCACATCAGTATTGAAGGGTAAAAATCAGTGGCAGCCTTTTTAGAAATAGTAATCAAGTTAAAATCTGTGATCAAGCATATATGACATCATTATATTTAGTAGCACTGCTGAGATCATGGAAGCTTCAAGGGTCTTGTGTTTTTGTATGATAAACCATGTGGAGAATGTAAATGTTTTATGATATACTTCTGGCTGTCAACATGCCATAATAAATACACATAAGCAAAATAAGCAACTTCATGTGAGCTTATTTACCATATTTAATAAACACCGCAAAGATAAACAGATGATTCATCTTACACTGACAGTACACTACTATTTTAATATTGGAATTTGAGATCAGATCTGTTTTGATGACATCCCAGCATGGTCAAGCAAGGGAAATAAGACCATGAAGACAGTGTAATTTTTTTTAACACACTGTATTTACAATCATGCACTGAACAACAATAGGATGACATTAATCAGTGTTCAAAATTAGCGTCTGCCTATCGGCCCGTAGCAAGTAGATCTTGTTTCTGGCCCATAGTTTTAAGGTTATGTTGGCCTTCCGTAAAATTATGTGTCTATCGTGCCTTTGTATTTGTCACAATAAGCTGCAGTTTTTTTTATGAGGGCCTGAAGGGTTTAGTCAGGGCCTGCAGCTTCTAAAGTCTGTGGGTCCTGATGGCAGCCTCTCACTTACTTCTTATTTCAAACACTGACATTAACGGATCCTTAAGAATTATGAAAGCAGGACAACATCAATAAATCATGGCAAACCATACTTGTAACGCATCCAGCCTGTTGCTCAACTGGCCACTTGTACTTTGTCGGTAGCCATCTGTGCCACTACGGTCTCTCTGCAATAAAATTGTCTCTATGTTGTAACAGATACTTACAATTTGAAAATTCAATTTAATAATATCACTATCTCAGTCTGTGACTTTAGCCACTAGTCTGAAGTCTGAGTAACATTCAGTTTGGTCAACAAGTGTCATGCTAAAACATATTAGATGATGTGAATATTCTGGCACAAACCAGTCCAATAAAGTGATTACCATTTTCACATGTCAATGCTGGAGAATGTATGTCTGTAGTAAATATTATCATGGTAATGCACACAAAACCTGACAATTTTCATATTTTTCATAACTACTTTTATCTTACTATCAACAGTTTAGGTTTTTGTGTTTACGTAGCGTATTAGCTGATTCGTGTTTCAAACAAATTAACTTGGATACCTACCTGTTGCCCTGTCTGTTTCTTTTCATCTTCCAAATGTCGAACTTTGTTCTCCAGCTGTTTGATGTAGTTCATTGTTTGTTCAGGAACTGTAAGATGGAACAGTAGTTTTATGATCATACCATTCATCAGAGTGAGTAAGCATGGTAAGTTGATACTGTTTGGGGCAGCATTTTACTCAAATCACTGCATGTCACTTTAGTGTGAGGTGAGGTGAAATGGGGTTTAACGTCGTGTCATAGATTATTGCACTTATATAGCGACTTGCATGCACATGTGTGTGTTTGTGTGGCTGCTTGTACTAGTCCGGAATGATGCCGATTTATAGTGCTAGCTCACTGAGATACCATGCCGCAGTTTAACATGAATATGGCACTCAGACACAGTATACTGACTCCGAGCCGACCAGTCCTTGTTTCAGTCCCTTAATACTGAGCGCCAGACAGGGTAACAACAAGTATCATCTTTTAAGTCTTTTGGTCTTCTGCTCTCCGGGCGGACGCTCTACCACTTTAGTAGTGTGAGGAAAGCTGAAGGTTTTCTTGTCAAACACAAGCATAGGTTTCTAGGGACCAATTCTAGGTTACCGGTAACCTATCACAGAATCCCCACAGGGAAAAAGCTGAAGTGACTACTCATTGGTGAAAACCAAGGAGCACAGGTTTGGTGCAGATTGACCTGGGATCATAGTGAGTGAGTTTGATTTAACACCGCTTTTACTCCAGTTATATCACTGTGTGTCAGCTTAATTTGGGAGGAAAGCCTGAAGTGATGCAGGTCTCTGACGTTTACCACTTTGGTGAAACTGACAAACAATGGTATGGTGCTGACAAACCTAAAAACATAATCTAACCAATATCATGTTTCTTGCATGCCCAAGGGACGCAACTCTGCACAGTGAATTGTGAACAGTGCATCAGATTTGGTTTGTTTGTTGTTTTACGTCGCAATCTGCAATATTCCAGCTATATGGCGGCGGTCTGTAAATAATCGAGTCCAGACCAGACAATCCAGTGATTGATATCATGAGCATCAATCCACGCAATTGGGATCGATGATTGCTTCAACCAAGTCACCGAGCCTGACCACCCGATCCTGTTAGTCGCCTCTTACGACAAGCATGGGTTGCTGAAGACCTATTCTACCCCGGATCTTCATGGGTCTCAGTGCAATGCATCAGATGACTTGGCCACCCATGAATCAAAAGGGATCATAGTCAAGTGAATATAAGATTCAAACACTTGGAAGTTGAACAATGGATAAACATATTTTAAGTTCACGTATTTAAGTTTTTCCTCTTTACTAGACATTTTTTTTTGGTGCAATACAAACAAAGCCAAAACATTACTGGTACTAGTGGTAGTAATAATTACAAAAATCTTAACTGGGATGTCTAGTACTTAAAATTTGCCATACGTCTTGGGTTGAATATTGCCTTATTAAATACCTAGATATGTTAATTTCACCACTGGACAAATTGCTTTGGGAAGGGCCTATTTTTCTCCCTTGCAATACACAAACAATAATTCATTGAGATATTCACCAATTACTTAACAAACTTTTCTAAATTGCAATTTGTCCTATTGACTGACCCTTCTTTTCAAAATCATGTCTTTTAGAAACACAATAAAGATTATTTGATCCTGTCCCATATCAAGGTAAAAGGATAAAACATATTACTGTTTGATGTCCTGTTTGAATGTCCACCCACAGACTGACTCGTGATCATTGGTTGATGAAGCAAGTGAGAGGCAGGCCCCTCTTCATGTGCAGTTGTAGTACCATTACTGCTTCCATCTCCTTCATCTCTGGCTCCTGTGAACTGTACCCTCTCTTGATCCAGGTAGAGGCATAATTCTTTCAATTCAGTGTTGTCCTTGATCAACTCTTCTTGCTTCTGTTCGAGTTCACGCAATTTTTCCTGGTAAGCAGCCACTTCACTTCTCATTACACTCGCTGTATACCTACCAAATCTTTGCCATTCACGGGCAAGTTTTCGCCCCTTTTGTCTATCATCATCTAAGAAACAGCATAAATCTCTCAATTCCTGATTATCATCTTGTAATTTTTGATTAATATCTTTTAAACTCCGTATTTCCATGAGGTGGATCTGGATCCTTCTGTTAGCGTCCTTTGTAAGGCCAGTTAATTCGGTCAACAGGTATTTGTAGTCACATTCCACCCGTCTCAAGATCCTTATTAGGTCCTCTGCCCCTTTACGTCGCAGTTCCTCGTCTGACAGTTTGGTGAGCGCCGTCACTGAAGGACTGGGGTTGAATGTCTTGTAGGGAAGTGCACGAGTCGAACTCGTTCCAGTTGACTGGCTCGACATGCTAGTGGGTGTGGATGGCGCACTCGGCCGATGCGTTTCCCAGTCCATGTTGTGGGATCAGGCTGAAACGGACAATTATTAAAAACGATTACTCAACCGGCTACCTAACATATAGCATATTTTTGTAAATGACACAAGTCCAAGTTGATCATAAAATACAGTGATCAAGTTCAACATGTCAGCGATGTGGATAATTTGCGGTTTGGCAACTAAGGGATGCCCCGTCACATCACCGTTATTATTGCATACAAATGTATAAACTGCAAAAATGAACTGACAATCCATGTAAATAACTAATAACTTACTTGTTTTATCGAAATCGAAAGCCAAACAATGATAAACAATGTGTATCAGTCCATTTTGTGAGGGAAATCCATGCACCTAATCCGTCAATAAATCGTAAACATGGCCGACTTTCCCGTCTTAGGTAAATTCCCGCTAGGTGGCGTGGAGGAATGTGATAAAAAGTTTTTATAGCCTGTTTCAATATTATTATCCTTGGGATCCCCATTGCGTGCATGGAATGCAGAATATGCAGGGAAATGTCACCGTGCGCCTAAGTATATTAAACAAACAGATTATTTCCACGTTCATTAGAAATGTAGAACACAGTAAAGTGTGAAAGTATTGAATTTATGATTACATGGAATTAGATTATATAGGGTGATATATCTTTAGGATATAAATATTATGTTTGCGGGTGCTACTGACTATTCGACACTCGCACGTGCGACTATTTCCGTCAAGCCTGGAAAAGGCCAAACATGTCAAATATTTATTTGGAATTGAATTAGATTACATTTAAAACATTTAATACACTGGTTATGATGGCGCCCTCTGTTAGCAGATTGACTATTCTATGCCCAGAAATTTCATATGAAATGACGTCAAACTGGAATATTGCGTCACATTTGAATGCGATGACGTCATGATACAATGGACGATGTAACATGGCCTCAATATCTGATCTAGGAGAATATGCAAAAAAAGGACACAACTAGATTGAGGTTGTTCTTAAATCTTGGTCAAACGTACAAATTAATTAATGTGTTATCTCTTTCGCCAATCCGAATAACATGTTTTTCAAATTTTGGATTGGTGAAAAAAAAATACCAATCAAGAAAAAATATTCATACAAAGTAAAAAGTCCGAATGTGTTCCGGAATCCAATCCCATGTAACTTCGCTTTTCAACCAATCAAATTGCAGCACACACGTAGTCTTAGTGCAAGTACTGCACTTACATAACAACGTACATGAACGTGTGTGCGTCTGCTTGTACTAGTCCGAACTTTTGCCGGTTTTATAGTGCCAGCTCATTGAGATACCGTGCCGCTGGCATGGATACCCCAACCAGACACTGTATACGGATATCCGAGCTGACCAGTCCTTGTTTTATCCTATTAATGCCGAGTGCCAGGCAGGGTAATAAAAAGTATCATTTGGTTTGACGCGGCCAGGGGATGGAACCACCGACCTGCCGCTCTCAGGGCAGATGCTCTACCCACTAGACCAGTGGGCGTTTACTTATATATGTGTTTAGCTAGACTTACATTGAGTCCCCGAAATAAAATTTTCTTGTTAAAAAAATAATATAAATTTTATCTCCTAAATGTAAAATAATATCCAAATAGAGCCCAGGACAATCCTTAATATAGACATGCCAAATTATTCTAGACTTAAGTTGGACCCCTTTTTTTAATTATTCTTTATGGTCTGGGAGACAGGCTAATGTTTAAATTAGGAACTAGTCTAACTAATTTACCTAGACTAATACGTAGTCTATGAAAACATTTCTTTACAATAATTGTATTTTTTGCAAAGGAACCTTTCCCCTGCTGCTGTGTTCATATGTGGAATCAAATTAATTTACCTAGACTGATACGTAGTCTATGAAAACATTTCTTTACAGTGATTGTATTTTTTTGCAAAGGAACCATTCCCCTGCTGCTGTTTTCATATGTGGAATCAATTTAATTTACCTATACTGATACGTAGTCTATGAAAACATTCAACTGCTTTGGGGACCTTTCTAACCCCGAATCAACACGGAGAAATTGCCATGTAAGTTTTAATATGTGTCAGTTAAAGGCTCACTGCAAACATTACTTCACCAAATACCGCCTATACACCAATCCAATCCCTAAATAGAAACGCTAGATGCGGAATGTTTGAACTCCGAGCCTTACATTCCGAGCCTGTACAAAACTCTTACACAGGTGCCCCAATTCTATATATAGGCCACTGTGCACGTGCTGGTATGTATGTATATATGTTTGATATAAGTTTATTTGGTAATTGTATCTATTGAAACTTAAACAAGCTCTATATTTGTAACGACAATGAGTTAAACTATCAAAAGAGTTTTGTTTTGCGAAGAATTTTGATACAGAGTATAAGAAGCCGGAATGTGGGCGATGCATACTCAGGTTAGGGGAGCGCCATTAAAATCTCAACAAGAACTCTCGTACTGGACACACCTGCTGATGACATAGCATACAATTAGCGTGTGCACCAAACACGCACAGGTGCTTGAGCATTAAGACAAACAGGAACAATTTAGTGTTCGACACATCCTAGTTTTTAGTCAACATTTTGTCATGTTGAAATGAGTTGATGTGTCATTGGTGTTGCATAAATAAACGTAAAGACACGTTTCTATATTTCAGTATTGAAACAAGCTTTGATGCTAGAAGTGACTGTCAGGTTGATCAGGGTGTATTTTATTGTATTCATAGTCCGTCCTGAATAGGTGTGAAATCCTGATATTAGATCTTCGATTAAACTAGACTAACATCTAGTCTCTGAAATGAACATATCGTACAGAACAAAAACAGTTGTTCAATTATCTTAATAAAAAATATAATAAAAAGGAGCCCAGAGAATTTCTTCATTTTCAAATACTGATACTGCAGTAACCTAGACTTGCCAAACATTATAGCTTGCATGGGCTGGTTTTTTTTATATAGTTGTATCAGGGTCTGTAAGACAGACTAAGATTAGACGGAAGATAAGGTTTTTAAGGTTCACTACTTGTAACTGTTTACAAGTGGGCGGTGATATATGCTGGACAGAAGGGAGCTTCTGTGGGAACGGATGGAGGGATAGGTTCCAAGAGCGGTAGAGCGCGGAGAAGTATCCAGTTTACGAGCAGATATAGCACACTTACACTGACGGATCAAATTTATAACTGAATGTAAGGGACCGGTCAAGTATTACAGGGGGCGGGTGGATGGGGGTGGTGTGAGAGGTTTTTGATGCGCTAATTTACTGAAAATAAAGACCCTCACCTAATGCTTGTCATTTTATTTGATGACCCTCTCCATGTCCTTGTAAAAAGAAATCAAGACCCCCCCCCCCCCCTGAAAAGACAAAATGCAAAAGCACCTGATATTTTATAATGAAATGTCATTTTTACATGACACTCCCAAAAATATGTGTAGTATATTTTTATGACCCTCCCGTAGAGACTGTCATGTTTTTGCTGCTCCTCCTCAAATTCCCTTTGACCCACCTCACCCTATAAAATATGACCGGTCCCTTAATTATTAATTAACATTATATAGAATAAACAATTTTCAAAACATATCACAGGTTATTGGTAAATTGTTATTACTCTAAGTACTGTAGCCACGCTTGTTTTGGTTGGTACATATGACATTAATGTACAGTCATAGTTATATTCTTAAGTGTTTCCTAGAGTGATAGTTGTGGCCTCTACTAATGGCAGTTTTTGTATCTTTGAGGTTTTCAACGCGAAAACATGCTATGGTTACTGTGTTTTGTTAAAACAAAGGGTAACAGCAAATACCACCTTTTAATGTCTCTTGGTATGACGCGGCCGGGGGATCGAACCACCGACCTTCCGCTCTCCCGGCAGACGCTCTATCCACAATATATATAACTCGATAGGCGGTGTTTTCAAAACAAGATGAACTTCTTTAAAATCACTACTTTCCTACTTCTAGGTAGGGATCAGTTTCATGGTATGGTTTCACTATACTAGACCCGTGAAGATCCGGTGTAGAATAGGTCTTCTAAATGTTCGGGTAAGTGGTTGTTTGGTGAGACTAATGTAAGGGAGATAACTCCTATATTACTATGATCAAGCACACATATTGGCGGCCACGGAAGCGAGGCAGCTGTGAATGATGCACCGTTTTACCATTTAATCCCAATTTTGTGATAGTTGTTATAATTCAATAATTCATTTTTGATGTCATAATATTGATTTTTAGATATCAATGAATACATTTCGATTACAAGATAGCATTGCGCGAATCATTGATATCGCTAAATCGAATTTGTGATATAAATATGCCTCAGATTTTTGATATCACAAGTTCGATTTTATATGATAAATACATTTTAAATATCACAAAATAGCTTTTAAAATGACATAAATTCATTGTGGACATTGTGTTACACATTCATGTCGACAGCCACAGCTGTTGTTAGGTTTGTCTTTGGATTAGTTCTAATTTAATTATTGACCTGATTGAAAACCTTTGATGTACATCGTTGAATTTCATTAATTGGTGGCTTGTTATTATCAACCGGAATTGAAAGTGGCTTTGCCCCACAATAGGGGTTGCAGTAGTGTAAGTTAATGTCCCCCACAGAGCGTATCGTAAGTCCATGTCTTATATATATATATATATATATATATATATATATATATATATATATATATATATATATATATATATTGCTAAATTGTTAACTATCGCCAGCGACTGAAGGAATGATGCAAAGCCTGCAGGGGTACCGTTCAGGTAGCAGAGATACCGTATGCCCCCATGGCCCAAGTATGGTAGTCTAATTTGGTTGCTGGCGACCTGTCGCCAGTTTTTATTATGTATTTTTATGTTTAGTGACCCTTTTTATGGTTACATACTTATTTTACTGTCCTTTGTTGGCAGGTTTGCTTAAAGTCCAAATAAATCTATTATCAATGTCACACTTTTAATTGTCACGATATGATTGAATTACTGCGGATGTGATTTTGAATTTTAACTCACTCACTCACTCACTTTGGATGATCGCAACACCTGTGTTCAAAAACCTATGGGGTAAGAAATGAAATTGCCACCACATGACCCGACCATACTTGAAATGTTGGAAATTTGTGCAGATTTTTTGTGTTAATTTTCAAAGATTAGATATCTCGCTAACTTAAGGTATTTTGTATTGAAAATCAAACATATGATTAAATCAACTGAGAAGTATAGTTTCTTTTGCTACTCAATATATATATATCTTCTCTTGTAAACTGAACATGTTGACGGGTTTAATAGTGGCTACATCACTCGAGGGACATATCATATTGTCGGGCAATTCAAGATAATCATTAACACATGACTAAGGTCGTATAATTTGACATGAAAAGCCAAATGTTTCTATTTATGTATTTTTACTTACTTATCTTTCATGTCCTAGTGTGAAA